GCAGCTTTAATCCTGGCGACACCACTTAGCGTGATGTTTGCACACTTGCTGAGCAGAGGCAAACTACCGGAAATCCGGAAGCTGGCCCACATCACACCAATTTTCAAAGGAGGTCGACGCAGTGAACCCTCAAGCTACCGACCAGTGGCCCTTCTCTCTATACCCTCCAAAATTATGAAATCCTTAATATACGACGGTATACAAGAATATTTATCATCCTTAAAGTTCTTCTCACCTCAACAGCATTATATGACCAACCTGCTGACTGCGGTGGATAGATGGACAACCATCCTTGATCGCAAAGGGAAGGTTGACGTCATCTACCTGGATTTCTCAAAAGCTTTTGATAGGGTCAACCACGTATGCCTTATCAAGAAGCTTAGACGATTGGGTATAAAACCCCCTTTGATTGACTGGCTCAATTCATATCTAGAAAACCGACACTTTAACTTCAGGGGTGACTTCACTCTCTCTCAGGCTATGGAATGTCCTAGTGGGTTCCCCTAGGGCTCAATACTAAGACCTCTTCTCTTCTTGATTTACATTAACGATCTTCCTCAACAAGTTTCATCTGACTTATTTCTTTTTGCTGATGATGTGAAGCTTTGTAGAGAGATGCGCAATAAATAATGATATACTAGTTCTTTAGGAGGATCTGACCTGACTTCAAAGTTGGCAAGACGACAACGGACTTACCTTCAACACTTCAAAGTGCAAAGTAGTCTGTTGTGGTGTCAATCTGTTTCATTTTTGATCGTATGAATGATTGTTGTCAAAATATACGTACGTCTATCCTCGTATATAATAAATGACTTATTCCGCGTTGGTGAACAACGGAGTTAAATACGTCAAATGCGAGAATGGATTTAGAATACGAATATTTTTTACACTGATTGATCTGATCAGGGTGATGAAGCGAATAAAAGCGAACGAAGCGAAAATGATGCGTAGTGGAGATGGCTGGGAAGCCAACTCAATTTAAGCAAGCGTTAATCAGCATTTATAGTCGAACAAAAATGAGTGACATACATATGATGAATAAGATACGAAGTGTACACATATACGTTCATATAAAAGTATAGTCAGGGTCAATAAGCGAATAATGAACAAGATCAAAATATGACTCATGACAGGCGAATTGGCTTGGTCAGTAGCTAGGATAAAGTATATGGGCTTAACAAATAAATTGATACTACATAGCCCCCATGTAGAAAATAGCACATTTATAAAAAAAAATGTCTGCTTTCGAAAAATAGCACTGCAGCGGTATGCGGATAACGTCAAAATGTGTGAAAAAATGGTACAATACTTGATAATTGCAATGTCATGTGAGGAGTGAGCGTATAATACGAAAGTGTCATACTTATTTAAAAAGGTACATGAATATTCTCAAAGTGCGGACAAAAATAGATATGCTAGCATGTGATTATGAGTAAATTAGTAAGCGTACAAAAAATTTAACATGCATTTATGTCGTGACTGCCTGGATGATAAAATAACATGTTTGTATGAGCAATTCGAAATATCGTGAAAATAGAGCAATAAATTGTTTATGGGTATGACAGCGGAATAAATCATGGAAATAAGTGATGTAGAATATAATAGAAATTGGTCTGTAGTGCCGACTGAATATGAGGTTAAAGAACAGTGAAATATGTTTTGATAAGCCGCAGTAGACCAGCAAGCACTGATGGTGTGGGCGATGATTTCAATCCACCCGTGTTTGTGGGGCAGAACATTTTGTTTGTATCAGGCTCTTTATAGGTGAGAACAAGTCAATAGATCTGTGATATTGAGATTGTTCACCTACACTCACCATTAAGACTCATGTTTCTAATTTTTGTGCTGGATTAACTATTCTACTAAGACAACCTTTAACATGCTAACTCGGACTTTTACATGAACACTGTGTGGCAGGCGTCGGATGAGAAAAGAAAAAAAACTGACTGTAAAGGATATGGTTGCTATTTTACTTAACACTACTCTCTATATGCACCCTCTGTTCTTCCTCATTCCAACCTTGACTTCCCTCCTTCATTGGAACCTACTCCACCTTGATAAATATAACAACTCATTGTTCTTTATTACTGCCTTCTCTCTTCTGGAGCCCCTAATCGCAGTTTACTCTTGCAACATGAGCTAGTATCAATTTAATCTAATAATTTATCATACCTCCATCTGTTCCACTAATAAATGTTAAGCATTGATTATCACTCATATCCAAATGCCTTGCTGTTCCTCGGTTTCTCTTTTATTTTTTCTCTTCAGAATCTTGCTCTGAGGGTGAAGCTATGTAACTTTTGACATCTGGAACAAGCTTGACGAACGCGCTTTCCCGAGGTCATAGCTCGAACCAGGCGCTCCACAAGCCTACTTTATAACAACTATAAACTTAAAAAGCTGCATTACATAAATACTTAGGACTACCAAAACCCTATTACACTTTTTGTCGAGATTGGATCTGGTATATAACGTGGACGCTATGCCCCTTTGGAAACTATTCTTATGAAAACACATTATATCTGAACGAATGAACTGCTATCAACTTTTATAGATTATAATTACTAAACAAGCTTGCTTGGGATGCATACTGTGAACCGGTATATGTTGTAAATTGTAGATCATGCCTGTGAAAATGGCGTGTACCTGCTTTTGCAGAAATATATTATTATATATAGAGTAAAAGTAGTGTCGATTGGCGTTGAGCTTATTCGAATTTACATAACTGAAGTTTATTTGGGATAAGAAATAATCCAGTCGTACGAAGATGACTGCACCAATGGGTGATATTCGTGCTATACTGCTATTGATAGTGATAATAAAATGCGAAGTTGTCGTTGCGCTGGGTTATCGTTAAATATGTATTGGCCGAATGACCAGAGGAACAGAATAGTGACTGCTGAGACAAGATACGTGGAGTCGTATTCTTTTTTGGTCATGAAGCCTAGCGTGCTTTGTGTAGTTAGAGGGATATGTGCTCAACCTCGTTTGTTACGAAACCGTACTAAGGTATGATAGAAATACCAATACATATGATAAAAAATGACAGCGAGTGAGACTGACTTGAATGTGACGAACAAGAGTGCGTCTTTTAGAGACCAGCTCTAAACTCTATGTTCTGGTGTACAGTGCAATGGGGATAGAATATTAATAGCAGTAATCGAATAGTTTTGATGGATATTGGATGATGCAGCATTCAGTCATACATATGAATGAATAGATAATATGAACATAATCATTACTAATCGGCTGGTAATGCGGCGTCAAATACTTGATTTGCGTATAGACATTAAAGTATGGATCATCGTGAAACCAAAATTGATGAAGATCAGTTGAGGTTGTCGCGTAAAAAGTAGAAAACGACGATTGCTGACTACCGATGAGATGAATGAATATTAGTTGTATCGAGAACATAAGTTCCCACTATCGGGAGTATGACTCTAAATTTATGTCTATGATAGTGTGTAATATTAGACCGAAAATGACATGAAAAAATTGGAACGAACACACTTGAATCAGGAAATGTTTACGTCATTGGATAATAAAAATAATCCAGTGAGTTTCAAGTAACGTAACGTGTACTGTCCATATCATTATAATTTGTTCGATTAGTGATTTGACTGCGTAAATGTCATAGTTTAATGTCAATACGAACAAAAATAATAATTCCACGTTAGATGATGATATGACATTATTGTTATAATGAGCATATGATGATTATTCGAATCATAACGGAATATGTCGTCGGCGGTTCCATTTTTGGTTTGTGTCCACTCGTTGCGGTTGCCAATCCTGCTGCATGTTCCAAATACGGCTCACCAATATGTTGAGTGTTCGTTCGGCGAAGCATCCAATTTTGTTACGCGTTCGCATCTCGGGCTAACCAATATGTGTAGTGCCGTGCTTCAATAATAGTTCAATTCGATAACCGTTATTATATCAATCTGAACGGTGTATAACATCAGAAGACAAAGGGAAGCTACAACTACACTTTTAGTGACGAATAACATAGGCTAGAAAGCAGTGAGCACATGAGCAAATGTTAGCGAACGAAGTAAAAATGACATGCATGGGAGATGGCCGGTAAGCCAATTCGCTATGAGCAAGCATTATTCAATATTTATAATCAGACAAAAATGAATGACAGACATATGATTGGTAGAATAAGAAGTATGCATACACATACGCTCATATAAAAAAATAGTCAAGGTCAATAAGCGAATAATGAACAAGATCAAAATATGACTCATGACAGGCGAATTGGTTTGGCCAGTAGCTAGGATAAAGTATATGGGCTTAACAAATAAACTGATACTACAAGTCCATCTGCGACATGTTGCAGACTATAGTTATAACGTAGGTAACTCCTCTCTAGAAGTTTCCCAAGTCGAAAAAGATTTCGGAGTGTTGGTACCCTATGACCTGAAATCGTACGCGAACTGTGACAAAAACGTATTTCAAGCAAACCTTGCACTGGTAACATTGAAGCGCATTTTTTGCCAGTTTGACGATAGAACCTTCCACATAATCTTTAATAGTTTTATTCATCCTCATTTAGAGTACGGAAACATAGTATTTCCTCCCTCCCTCCAAAAGGATAAGGTCACTCTGGAACGTATCCAACGCCGAACCACGAAATCAGATCAGGGACTCAGGTTCAAACTTTATGAAGAGCGCCTCCAATCACTTAACCTTTACCCGTTAGAGTACAGGCGTTTTAGAGGTGACCTTCTTATGACTTACAGTATCCTTAATTCTTCTGGTCATCCCCTTAAACATTTTCTTAAGCTTAGTCACAACACTAACCTAAGAGGTAACACCCAAAAACTGGAGACCCAACATAGCAGAACAGACTGCAGACACAACTTCTACTCAGTTAGCGTTGTCAAATGCTGGAATTCGCTGCCGACTGAGCTAGTTCAAGCGACTTCCCTGGAGTCATTTAAGAGGAAAATTGGCTTATTCTTAAGGACTAAGGATAACATTATGATTTACCAAATTCTTCTTTTCCTCTATTATCGTTAATATACCTAGGTTCTTGCCTGGAAGTATTGGTGATCCACTGCTACTAGACACGGAAGCCCGTTAAGCGAAAGCTTTTTCTATTCCGTCCTCAACCATTTGAACCATTTTAATATGATAAAATTGTAGGTCACAATTTGTGAAAATTTGGCGGGGAAATGTAAATTTTGGGTATGTATGTGGTTTGAACGCTTACCTGAAGTTTCGACCCAAAGATTGTCTTAATTTAAGGGTTGTATGGTTAATGATTATTGTTCATTGGTTTCAGTAATGATTCTTGGTTTATTGTGTGCGCTTGCCCTATCAGTGACTTACCTTTCTTATTGTTCCTTTTTTTCGCAACCCTCACTTCTCTGCACGCTGGTCTAGTACGCAAAGTACATTCTTGCTGACACAAACCCTTACAAATTTATCACAAGGAGGGATGAATCTTTCGGGTTACGATTAAAGATCTGAAAAGCCCCCCGGGTTAGACTATAATTTATGGGCAACCTTTGAGCAACGCTCCAATGACCTTAAGAATGTCCATCTACTAACTAGGACTAAGTGAGGGTTATAAAGCAGTGTGATAAATTAGAAATATGATTTACGTTTGGTGGTTATGGTTCGGAACTGGGAGAGAGTTATATAAATGACTATTGGTAGTTATCATAATGGACCAAGAAGTGAGTACAATGGGATGTAAAAATGAATGAAGGAAATTAGCTAGTTTATAAAGATCAGTAGACGTCAATGTTGAGATGAAATTGAGTGGGATAAAGTAATATCGAAGGGTTAGGATACATCACGAGGGGTAACAACGGTAAGACTGGAAATTTCGTCTTGTCTCATAAATGTGTCACTTCCTTGGTGAGTTTTTCTTCAGGGATTGCCTCACTGAGTACAATAGCTGGCTTAAGGTAGGGATTGGGTTGATATAAACTGATCAGTATGCATCTGCCCACATCTTAAAATCTGCAACTTAGTTGCACACTTAAAATGTATGTAAATTTTTCTCGACAAATGTGGAACCGTGCAACCAAATGGGAATGCATCAAGCGAAAACTCTGTAAAGGTAAACCCTATCATATTGAACTATTCTTCCCAGCTTACAAACAAACAAGAGACCACCTAACCATGGTTTATAACATACTGAGTAGCTCATGTCACCCCGACCCCCGCTTTGACCCCACTATTGTGCTCCACGAAATAACCTAAAAAATCATCCATCAGAGAGTAAATGCACAGGTTTTATTGCATTTTTTTTCACTTATTGTTGTTTCTGAAACGGTCAATTCAGTTCATATTTTATGAAAGAGGATCAAAAACCACGTAAAAAAGCACAGATAATTGTTTCACCAGAATTCGACTAAGGACAAATAAGTCGAATTGTAGAAACATTTAGTCTCATGTTTGATTGTTTGTTGTTCTCAATATCTTGAAGTGAAAATTGATAGATAAATTTAAAAAATTCTTTTGGGAATGTCTTGTCCAAACTAATTCGCTTTATAATTTTGATTTTTGAAAACTTTTGCAGATTTTGTTTACTATGTCTATATTTTTGCGGATTAAACGTCCAAACACTGATTGTCCTAGTCAAATCTGTGAAGCACAAAATCTTATAAAACGTCCTAAATCTGACTTACAATCAATTCAATTTAAATATATCGGTAGCCAAACTTCAAATTGCTCATTAATTGGCAAAATCGACAAAGTATGCACTTCTTCTGAAAAACTATGTAAGATTATATGTAATACCTCAGATGCTACTGTCGTTGGCGAAAATCAGACAGTCAAGTGTCAAGTGAGTTCCCTATATCTTTTTATGTGCATGTAAGCGAGAAACAATGTAACGCATCTCCAAAGCAGGTTTGTGTGTACTTAGTTGTGAACCAAATTTATTTTGTGTGAAGATTGATAGTAATACTCAGTTGTGAAAGCCGAATTAAACGAAGTAGGGTTCATAATTATAGTTTTTAAGAGATGAATACGTTAACCACATCAAGCTGTCGTTTCTTATTTGATATTATCAATTCTTTATAGTTAGCTCTGTGCTTCGCAAAGTATTAACATCATATTTTGGTAATAATTAGTTTTACTGTTGGTCAACTTTAGATTAATACAACTCAAACTAATATAGATCGTAATTAATTCTTGAAAATGTATTTTAGGTAATCGTGTGAAAACCGCTCTCACGTTTCTATTAGCTTAATAGTATAGCGTTCTCTGTAGGACTTAAAGACTCTAAGTTTGATCAAGAATTCACACTGTTGGAAAATGTCAAAAAACTACAACTAACAAAGTAATCATTGTTTATTTCTGGTATGGTTCGTAATGAATGTTATTACCGTCAGTTATGCGACCGTAGATAGTGCTGTAAATTGGTCGTTGAGTTTGTAAATTGTGATGAACCAGTTGATCTATATTGGCCAGAACACTTGTTCATTTAAGTACTACTGTGCTAAGAGTCCAGGTCTCTTAGATTGTGATAATAATCAAATCAGCAAACTAAAAGTCCGAGTTCTAAGTCACACTGTCAACCATAAGGTGTTTCCCTTAAGTAACCAGGACCATCCACAGCTAATCTGCTTTTCTACACCGAAACGGAGGGGCCACAAAAGGTTGGTCCTGAAAGTAGATTGCTTCACTCTGTCACATATTTCCGTTGCCCATGGTAAGGTGTTAAAAGTCTGGGGCTAACTCATCGTAATAAACTTACGCGTCTGTTTGATCTCAAGCATTTGCTATTTGAACTCCACAGTCACATTCTCAGGTCATTAAGATAATGAATAACTCAGTTCCTTCTGTAGGCACCTCAAAAGAAGTATGTTCAGTAAATATTTTGCAACTTGGAAAAAGTTCACATTAGATGATTTAATGTAGCTGAATACCATCTAGATAAATATCGATCTCTTTCATAACTTGTATTTGGACATTGTACATCCCTTAACAATCCTTAAATTTCTTTTTGTTCTAGAATGTCTTTTCGATATATAAATTATGTTAATTATAGAAGGGGTTTTGTGGAGATTTAGTATTTATCATTGTTGAAAGCGTGAGTCAATTGAAGCTAGACCACCATGGAAAACCTGGAAACACTGGACGGCCGTTTCGTCCTATTATGGGACTCCTCAGCAGTGCGCATCCACGAACCTGCTCTTGAGAGCGAGATTCGAACCCAGGTTTTCCATGGTGGTCTAGCTTCAATTGACTCACGCTTTCAACAATGATATAAATTATGTGTTTGAAATCTATTTCAACTTTGTTTTACCTTTTATGCTCATGTTTGTCAAAGTTATGTCCTTTTTTATTATCACAGGAATTATCTTTAGCTTGTAATTTATAAAGAGAAGTAGTCTTTTCGAATAGATTAAAAGGTTAGTGTGAAATGATTCTCTGAACATTATCAACAATCGATTTTCAGTTTAGTGATCTAAAAGTTACAGTTTAATTTGTTTATAGTTGGTTTTATTTTGGAAAAGTGTATCTTGAATCTTGGATTGCACATCTGATTTGACCGTTACGTGGTTTTTATACTGTTTGTCTGGTAAATACACGAACCGAGGTCATAAAAAAACCGAAAGTAGGGAACATCAATCAATTACTTACTAACGCCTGGTACTCTTCCTGGAGGATCATAGGTCGCCCAACAGCATTCTCCATCCAACCCTGTCCTCGGCAATGCTTTCCAGTTCTTTTTAGTTGTTATTCACTCTTTTCATAACTGTTTCTATTTCCCGGCGTAATGTGTTCTTTGGCCTATCTCTTTTCCGCTTTCTTTCCGGATTCAAAGTTAGGGATTGCCTCGTGATTCAGTTTGGTGATTTCCTCAATATATGTCCTATCCACTTCCAACGTCTTTTTCCTAATTTCCTCTTCAGCTGGAAGCTGGTTTGTCCTCGCCCATAAAACTCTGTTGCTGATAGTATCTGGCACATCAATCAATGCTCCTCACTTATTATTACAATATACTTCATTTTCTTTATTCAAAACATCCCTCAGGCTCTTTGTCTGTCAAAATAATCAGAGTAGACATTTGGGTAAAGCTTTAATAACCCAGTTAGCTTGTTTATTGGAAATGTTACGTATGTATGAAAAAGTTCTTTGGGTCTTTTAATTTTTGTTGAATGTTCGGTTAATTATGTATACCATCTTCGCATGGTGTGATAAAACTTCCTAGATGTTACAAACAGAGAGATCGAGTAAAAAGTGGTTTCATTTCAATAAAATCAATTCAATAAATGCAACACTTTTATTTTGATGTGTTGGAAATAGTTTGTTAACTTAATTCACTAAAGAATGTTCTAAAATCCAATATTTTCTAAAATTTGTATGAGAATCGGCCAAAGATGACAGTTTTAAATGGCTGATTTGCGGTTCTCAAATCGCATCTTCAGTAAAATTTTCCGTATTTCTTTTCCGTTCTGTTGATTATGAGATGGATCCAAAAGTTTGAGTAGCTGTACGTATTCTTGTTTTAAATGTTTCGTGTTAATGCTTTCAAGTATTACAGAGCCAAGTTTACTTCATTTTTTAAAAATTAGTGGTGTTTCCCACACTTTGAGTTTAATAATTGGTTTCAAAATGCACATTCTGTAGTTTGTATATGTTCCAGATGTAATTATATTTTGATGCCTCAGTAATCGCCCCCAAATAACATGGTACGGCCGAGAGTGGGGAGGGCCCACCCTCTCTCTCGAAATGCTCTCACATGGCTACGCGTATATTGCCTCTGCCAGGGAAGTCCTACTTAGTGTCTTTTCGCATCGGAGGTGTTGTTTACGAAGATGAGAGGACGAAAAGCGAATGTCCGGTGCTTTAACCGGGTTGGTGGACATGGAAAGTCCACCTAGGGGAGTTGGAAATCCGTGATTTCAAACCAATGGTGTACATGGTCTCCAGTATCCTGAGGAAACAAATGGCGTATGAATCAATCGTTGATCACCGACTACCATTGGACTGCATCTCCTCACGATGCTCCACTGCCTTGTGGATCAGACCTTTAGGTCGAAGGCTCCGGGTGTGGCCCCCCAAAATGACCACCCGCTTCAGTTTGGGCACCTGGGTAGTATCACAGCCCTCACACGAATCAAATGAGATTTGTGAGGCGCATATTTATCTGGTGCTTCCTTGTACCAATATTTATGTGTTTAAATAAATAAATAAATTATTGCTTCTTTGTGCAAAACTTAGTGCAATTGATTCACTAAGTATGTATTTATCTACAGGATTTCGCAAAAAGCATTATTTATATGGTGGACGGGGGTCTATTGATTTTACCTGACTGTTTAAACCAGGGTTCGAACTCTCTATCTATTGATTCAGGCACCCAGTTTTTAACTCACGTCAAAACATTCATACTTATCCAGTATACCAACGTCAAATGTATAAATAACATATGTTTCTAGACTGAGATTGATAGTGATTAACAGTGGAATAAAGGACGTGCGTTTCAGCCTATTTTGGACTCGTCACTAGCTGGATGTACCTGAAACCCAATGTTAATGCTCACTCTGGGACCTGGAACCAGTATCTCTCGCTTTACACACCCATAAGTTAATTGAATCCATCTCTTCCTTAAAAAATTGCTTTTTACTGATGACAATATCAAGAGAATCCACACACGACGTACAAATGCTAAAAGGGACTGATCAATTCAAGGCTTTAACAACAATAACGGGGAGATTCAAATGTTTACAAAAGGATAATAATAATCACATTAGTTGGGGATTAATGTCTAATAATCAGAATGAAAATGAGAATTACGATAATAAAGCTTTCAAAGGTATTTAATCCTAAACAAGATCATTAGAGAATACACTGATTTGATATTTGTGGAATAATTTTATAAACCAAAAAAGGTTGACTTCTATCAGAATCATGTCTTAAAACTAGTGTCTAAAGAATATAACATTGAAGAGTAAATTACATGCTTAGAAAAGCAAGATGAACATTGGTCATATATATATATGAATAAAATAGATGATCAAGTTTGACCTCAATAGCATACAGAATAACATGATTACTTTTGCTCTGCATAAATTCACTAACTGTGTAATCTAATTTGGTCATTGTTTTACTGTTAAAACACACGTTAACTGTCGCACAGTTTGGTTAAGGTTATCTACAACGTTTCAATGTTGTATGCAGCCCATCTGATCACTTCCTTTCTCTCATTTATTTAATAAGGTTAAGGTTGGATATCGACGTGTAGTTTTCATTCAAGATTTGATTTCAAGAAGCCGCAAGTACTGGATATAACACAGTGAATGAAGACTGACAAGAGCGTAGATAACCTCAGTCATACAAATTCTTGTGCAGAACACCAGTAAACCAGTTTTATCTTATTACTGAGGTTTATTTATTTATTTATTTGGACATAAACATTAATATAATGGGGCACCACATATATATGCCCCACACAAAAATTTTCATTTCATTTAATTATGTGAGGGCTATGATACTGCCCGGGTACCCAAACCGAAACAGGTGGTTTTCTTAGAGGGCCACACCCGGAGCCTTCCACCTAAAGGTCTGATCCACAAGGCAGTGGAGCATCGTGAGAAGATGCAGTCTAATGGTAGTCGGTGATCAACGATTGATTCATACGCCATTTGTTTCCTCAGGATACTGGAGACCATGTACACCATTGGTTTGAAATCACGGATTTCCAACTCCCCTAGGTGGACTTTCCATGTCCACCAACCCGGTTAAAGCGCTGGGCATTCGCTTTTCGTCCTTTCACTTTCGTAAACAACACCTGTGGTAGGAGAAGGTAGTGAGTAGGACTTCCCTGACAGAGGCTATATATTCGCGTGGCCATGTGAGAGCATTTGGAGAGGGAGAGCGGACTCTACCCACTCTCGGCCGTACCAGGGCATTTGGGGTAAGAAGCAATAAATATGATAGCCGAATGTTAGTAATGTATAGAAAGTATGTACACTTATTTCGTTTTGATAGTTAATACTGTGATTTTAGGTTTTTAACAGCTAAGGTGAACCCACGAAGTAAATGAATTCACGTTATTCTGTTATGATACTTTTTCTTTCTTTATTCAAGTTGATAAATGGGAAATCTGTTTCTCTTGGTACTTCGACGATTAGTCATCTATTTTAAGTAGATCACAGATAATTTTGGACAATAAGCAAAAGAACATAATACTATTATATTCTTTCTTGTTGCTCGAATAATGAGGTCGAACGAGATAGTGAAATGGGTAATAATCGTGAATCCAATTCAACAGACTAATTTACTCATCATTTATAGTCTTTATTCCATTGGAGTGTAAACAAAATCTCTATTTAAATATCATTGATAAACAAAACTGAAATCAATTTACTCTGGTGATATTTCTGATTAAAAAACGACCACAAAACACTCAAAATTTCAACTACTGAATGTACAGGTTCAAACTCCGCTTCATGTAATTTGACACAGGACAGGACTGTCCTCGGGGATTGTCTATTGAAGAAGGGTGTGCCCTGTATACAAACACCTCAGTCAGAGTGAGGGCATACAACCACCTTTCTCCATTGTTCCATTCAAGCAGTGGGGTTAGGCAGGGTTGCCCAATCTCACCATTCCTCTTCAACTTTACTATCGATGGCATTCTCAAAGCAGCTCTTACGGATGTAAGTAATGGCTGTGTGGATCTGTTGCCTGGAGAAAGACTTCTTGACCTTGAGTATGCGCAAGTAGGATATGTGCTCTGCACCCTCGAAGTGCAAAGTACTTCTACAAGACTGGCAGGATTGTAATCCTGTACTCACCCTGGGTGGTGAGCAGATTGAAGTAGTCGAGAAGTTCGTGTATCTAGGTAGCTGCATAAGTGCTGGCGGTGGCGTGAGTGATGAGATCGATGCACGTGTAGTGAAATCCAGAAAGGCTTATGCCAATCTGGGCCATCTTTGGCGCCTTCGTGATGTTAGTCTGGCTGTGAAAGATCGGATCTACAACGCGTCGGTGAGAGCAGTTTTGCTTTATGCTTGTGAAACCTGGCCTCTCCGAGTTGAGGATGTTAGACAACTCTCTGTGTTCGATCATCGTTGTCTCCGAAGGATTTCTGACATACAGTGGCAACACCATGTTAGTAATGCTGAGGTTCGGCATCGAGTGTTCGGGCGCAGAGACGATAATTCAATTGGTGTCACTATCTTGAAACACCGACTTTGGTGACTCGGGCATGTTTTACGAATGTCGTCCCAAAGAATTCCACGTTGTGCATTATTTGCCGACTCTGGGACTAGTTGGAAAAAGCGGAGAGATAGTCAGTGTATGACATAGTGTTGTGGTATGAAAGAAAGCTGCAAAGAGCTAGCTTCTGTTGGTCTTTCACGACTCCCTGGATGGGGTCCTAGAGATGGTGCAACACAGTGGCTTAAGACGTTATCAGATATGACTCAGAATAGAAGCCGGTGGCGATCCTGCTGCAACCTTCTTTTACTTTCTACATAAAGAATGGTTCTAACTTTCCTAACTGAACGAGTTCTTCTGGTTGTACATTTCTGTTTCCTCCTTTATTACTCTTATTATTATACTAACATACACTTATTTGTGGTTGTTCTCGTTCTTTTTTTCTTATATGCACCTTACCCGGTTTTCTCTTCCCGTTCTCGTTGTTTTGTGTGGCGCATATATATCTGGTCCCCCCTTGTACCAATATTTATATGTTTAAATAAATAAATACTCAGGTAGTTGTATAGTATACTAATATAACTAACCTTCACATAGAGAGTACTTTCATCATAACTGTATACAATTATTTTTTGAATACTTGCTTACTTATGCCTGTTACTCCCAATAGAAAATAGGCCACCGACCCTCATTCTCCAACCCACTCTGTCCTCTGCCTTCTTTTCTAGTTCTATCCATTTTTGTTCATTCTTCTCATGTCTGTCTCTATTTCTCGGCGTAATGTGTTCTTTGACCTTCAAGAATCCAAGTGATGAGGGTTTATCTTGTGGCGTTGTTGGGTACTTTCCTCAATATGTGTCCTATCCACCTTCAGCGCTTCTTCCTGATTTCTCCCCCCCCGTTTTTAGTTAGTTACATAGTTAAATTATTATTATTATTATTATTATATCATATTTTCTTTTAATATTTTTCTTCTCTTTGTAGATTAAAGTGAACAATTTAAAACGTCCTGCTATTACCACTGGAGTTTTTGATGATTTTAATAAACTTAATCTTAATTATTCATCAAAACCTTCTATTGGTCCAAATCCTCCAAAAATTTTTAAAATTATTGAATTAACCCCAGAATCAACTGATGAAGCAATTTCATCGACGAAATTAACTAACAATAATGATTTCGATAATAATGATAATAAACATCAATCTGATTATATGTATGATATATATAAAATGATATCGACAACAACAACAACATCAGATTCCAAGGGTTTATCATCAGAACAAACAATTTGGTGTACAAATGATTTATTGAATAATAATGATCTATTCATGAATAATGGTGATAATTATATTCATGATGAATATAGTTGGGAATTAAATAAAGATTATTATGATTATACTAATGTTGATGATGATGATGATGATGATGATGATAATGATGAAGATGATTCAAATAGTGAATCGAATTGGCGTAATGATTATCCTGATGAAAAAGAAACTGGTAGTAGTTCATCGAATTATTCAGATACTGATTCTTCATTGAATTATAATCGTAATAATGAAGATTCAGATTATTATTATTAACTTTTTCTTGTATGAACTTTTTTCTAAAAAAAAACATTTTTTGTATATATAGTTGTCTACTACTTATGCAGTGTAGTTATCTTCGTTAATAATTACCATTATATTTGTGTGTGTATGTGTGACATTAGCATACTGCTAAGTTGTGTAGGTTAAAGCAAATGGTGCTCAAACTGAAACAGGTGGTTTGCTTAGGAGGCCATACCCAAGGCCTTCAATCTAAAGATTTGATCCATAAGACAGTGGAGCATCGTAAGGATGCAGTTCCATGGTAGCCAGTAGTCAACGATTAATTCATACGCCATTTGATCCCTCAGGATACTGGGGCCAGCCAATGTGCACCATTGGTTTGGAATGAGGGTTTTCCAACCGCCCTAGATGAACTTTTCGTGTCCACCAACTCGATTAAAGCGCCGGACATTGGCTTTTCGTCCTCCCAATTTCGTAAACAACAGTTAATACCACGAAAAGTCAATGAGTAGGACTTCCCTGACAGAGGCTATATACGCGTGGCCATGTGAGAGCATTTGGAGAGGGAGAGCGGACTCTCACCACTCTCGGCCGTACAAGGATATTCGGGGGTCACCCTTGGTGTGTTTGATATGAAAAAACAACAATGTCCCCATACAAATATTTTTCTATAGAAATATCGTTTAACAATGAAAGAAAAAAATAGTAATCGTACTGTGAAATACTTTAAAAAAACCCAAATGATTGTATTTTCGTCTGTGCGAATGGTCAGCTGATTAAATAGCCAATTTCACTTGAGGCATTTCAGCAATGATTGCATGAAGTGCTGATAAACCATAAAATGATACACAAAGTCTTCCGATTTCATTTAAACTCTCTGTTTCACCGTCGACAGCTTTAGCAGCGGTAACTAGAAATTTAAAAAAAAATATACACGTAGAAAGTAAAGGGAAAAATTCACATTCATAGATGGTATTTGTTACAGACTGGATTCAGTTAGGGTATCGTTAAAAAAACTAGTGAATACTTGCCAGCTGCTTTTTTCTGGTACTGAACAATTCGTGTTTAGAATACTTCAGCAATGAAATCCTTTTCCGAGAGATAGAACCTTCAAATCCCTAGTCATAAATGATAACATTTCGTTATTAAGTATCCACCGATCTCCGTGTTCAAGCTTCTTTCATTTTAGTTATTAGCTCAATCATCATCGATCTCTCACATTCTCGCTTTGATATATTTGTCCACTAAGCCAATATTTCACAATTTAAATAAAAAAACGATACTAATTCTATGCTCCTCCTCCCTGACCCACTAACGATGGCAACCTCGGTAGAATTGTAATAACATTTAAGTTAACCGGTTATATATCGTTTACAATGATTGCAATTTAAAATGTGAATAGTTGTCACTAAACACAAATAGTGAAAAAATGCACAGAAAGTTCGTGATTTAATGAAAATGTGTTGAGAGTTGACCTTAAATCCACCTCAAATAGATTTCACTTCATAATGATCGGTGGATGCTGACGCTAACGAAGACAAAACTTTCATAGATTTAATAGCGTTAGTGAACACTGGAATAAAACAAGTCATATAAGAGAGAAGGTTTTGGATATATCTATTCCATATATTCTGTAATGAAGGCAGACAACAGTAGATAAGGATCGGAGAAGGCAAATGTGCTAACCTTGTTTAGTGAAAACGCGACTCAATATTGATAGGTGTGAAAGGGATACAAGTATATAGACACATACATATTATCACACACTCATGTTTAAGGTCATATAGAATGATTAATAACGTATGTGTGTAACACTTGATGGCTACAATTTCATTCCTCGTAAGTTACGTTTTGGGATCGCACGTACCCAATAGATAAACACCACAAGTAATATACTAACGCTAGTGTCAAAATATCAGTGAACATACGATAGTATTGAAGATACTATATCTTATAGACGGGTATCAGCAAGAGATCTAGTAAAAGGTAAACAGCTGATTTCACCTACTGTGGTGTATGCTACTTATGTCGACAAAAGTACTGTGTAGCACTGGTCAAAAATAGAATGTCTGGCAGAAGGTTGAGAATGTGGAGAAGGGAAGAAAGGAATTGGTATGGAAGTCCAGGAACATTGAACATTTTTGTAAATGAAGTATAGGGGTATGGTTTTTCTTTACAGATACTTCTAGAAGAACCCTTCCACGGTGTGGGCAACCGGGAAGACATAACTGCCCTCATACTTCTAACAGCACTCAAGACCACTGTATTCATAAACAATCTCCTTCTTCACTTGCTACTATTCCTTCTACCTCAACTTTCAACACTAAACTTCCTCTTTCGGTTTCCTCCTCAAGTGTCACCATGGCCAACGATTCTAGTGCGCGAAACACTGTTCCAGGTCTACTAAAACCTTGCTCCAAACCTTACATTGGAGCCTTCAACGTACATAACCTAAGTCAAATCGGTCAACAGGCCTCCTTGGCTAAGACCCTAGAATTTTGTACCATTGATGTATGCTGTGTTTCCGAAACACACATACAGGATCCAAGTGTTGTGGACATTCACTTGACCTCACCTCACCAAAATGGACAGCCAACGAAATACACCCTCCGTTTATCTGGCGACCCCATGATTAGTTCTAATGAACTTGCAGGTGTAGCCATAGCACTTAGATGCATAAATGTGCCTGGTCCTACGTTGAAGAGCTGACTGACTGACTTTTTACCGACTAACTACACTACTTTATTCACCATTACTGAGTAGTACTCGTTTGTGATATATAAAAAAAGAAGCACAATATTCAAGCTTTAATTGAAAACTATCTAATTAAGTCAGAAGGAGTTTTGTGGAGATTTCAGTATTTTTCAAAGTTGAGACCATGAGACAATTAAAGCTAGACCGACATAGAAAACCTGGAAGCACTGGATGGCCGTTTCGTCCTATTATGGGACTCCTCAGCAGTGCGCGTCCTTGTTCCTGCACTCGCGAGATTCGAACCATTCTCGAGGCAGAGCTCTTAACCGATAGACCACTGAGTTGGCTGTCATCCAACGATGTTAATGTCTAACTTCAACCGGTTCACGAAGTTTGAGCAAGCGTTCACCAATTGTCTTCAGTGAGTTGTTATCTCACAACAGACGTGGTTGAACTCTACAGGTCACTGCTTCTCACTAGAACTTCGGGACATGAGGAGTCCCATAATAGGACGAAACGGCCGTCCAGTGCTTCTAGGTTTTCTTTGGTGGTGGTCTAGTTTCAATTGACTCATGGTTTCAACTTTCAAAAATCTAATTAAGTTTTTTTTTAGGAAAAAGAAACTCCTTACTTGGAATAAATACATGATCTATATCACAATTATCTTGTATGATTTGTCTAATATTAATCATAGCATAACCAATTTCTTCACATTCAGCTGATTGTGTTGTTGTTGTAGATGGTTCACTAACAATAATAAAAATTATATTACCATTATTTGGATCTTCTGGTAATAGATAACTAGCTAAATATTGTCTACGTTCATAATTCTCTGTAAAATCAACTGGAAATGCTGTGATGTGAAGAAGAAGAAGAAGAAAAAAAAGAATGAAGAAGAGAAGAAAATTATAGTAGCTAACATGATGGGTAAGTAATAGTGAGGTGGTTAGACACAAGGTATTAGGTAATGATGGTAAATCAGTTGATAAGGTCATGAATCTTCATCGAATGAGATGGTTAGGCCACATGTTACATATGCCTGAACACCGATTACCATGAAGCGCAATGCTGACTAGTGTAGGGGGCGGCCAAACCAAAACGTGGCATCAGTGCTTGAAGTCACTAACTTCTAGTCTGAGCCATGTTGGTAGATGCAGACTACCTGGTTGGATCCGCATGACTGTTGTAACCAATGGTTGGAGACTGTGGGTGACATGGCTCAGAATCAACCAAAATGGCGCAGGTGTATACACTCTTTATCTTCCCTTAAACCTTGAGATTAAAATTGCTTCATATCTGTCTTCCTTCCTAAACTATATCCTTATACACAATTTTTCTTTTATATCATGGTTCCGTTAAATTAACTACTTCTATGAATCCGGTGTTGATCTTGTTGTGCTAACGAGGTATGGCAACTTGGACCGATGCATATATGTGCCTGGTCCTACGTTGTAGCTAACTGACTGACATTATGCATTAGTTTTATGTGGTAAAGTTGTGACAACCCCCCCTCCTTTCATCATTGTTAGTAGGTAGTTGTGAAACATTTATTTACCTTGATGATATTTTTTTGTCTTAACATTGGTCTTAGTAAAATCAAGACCTGGAAACTATCCTATTACTCAATCAAGTACTAGCGATATACAACTTAAGATATATGTATTATTTCGAGTTGTTACAAAAATATCTCTCTTTTTTCTAATGTACAGATTATGTATGCAGCACGCTAATATTCCTATCTTTATTTGGATGACATAATGTATTCACTTACTGAATGAACTGGAAAATATCGAATAATACATACATTCAGATTTGGATACACTACAGATTCATGGATTCGTAGCTTATAGCATCGTACATTCTTCATCATAACAGATGACTAGATATAATTTAAAGTGGTTTAGATGCAAGTGCTTTCTGTTTACAAGTACCAAGTAGGATGGAATATACGTCCTGTATCCCACTGCCGGGCACATTTCATTTGTTCTTTATCAAATGACTGTATAAATGCTCTAGAACAACCTAGCGAACAAACCAAGATTACTCTACGCGCTTGACTCTGAGAAAAACGGAACATTTTACACAGTTGAAATCACGAGGTGATCTAAGCTAGAACATCATTAAAAACCTGGAAGTACTAGACGCCTGTTTCGTCTTAGTAACGCCGGTCCATGGTCTCACACACGGGACATGAACCCAGGGCCTTCGGTTTCATGCGCGAACGCTCAACATCTAGACCACTGAGCCGGCGTCCAATGGTTTGATTGTCTAAATTTAATCAAACCATGATCTTGAGCAACCCTCCATCCATTACCTGTGTTGGACAGCTGTCTCACATGAGATACGGATTTGATTCCACTATTCATGACTTCTCACTAGAACTTCAGGAGTTACATCTTGAAGCTAGTCAACGGTGAGTGTTCACACACTCAGACCAAAGGTTCTAGGTTAGAGTTTCGGGTGTGAGAGCGTGGATCCATACTGCCGAAGAGTTCCGTACTAGGATGAAACAGCCGTTTAGTGCTTCCAAGTTTTTAATGGTTGTCTAGCTTAGATCAATTTGTGATTTTAACTGTGAAACTATAATAATCTCCACAAATCCCTTACACTTCAAAACGGAAATTGTTTCTGTATACTCTATTTTGATCATTAGGATATGGTCATTTTAGATTTATAGCCAAATAACTGATAATAATGAACTGATAGGTTCTGGGTCAGGGATGTGCACTGCTGAGGAGTCTCATAATAGGACGAAACAGTTGTCCAATACTTCCAGGTTTTTCATGTTAGTCTACCTTCAATTGACTCTTTATTGTGCAAAACTTTTCTTCAACTTACTTTTAGTATAATAAAAATTTGCTTTTAATATATTATTATTATTATCTATCCATTCAATTAATGGATATGTACTAGTTTCAAATGGTTCTTTATAACCAAGAAATGAATATTCAATAAATATTTGATTTGGTAATGTATGATTGTTTTTTAATAGTTTAGATAAATTGATTAATTGTAAACCATGTAATTCAATTTTGACATGATTTTCATCGGTGAACATTGATTGAACAATTGGTGATGCTGATAATGGTTCTGGATCTTGAACATTGTTACTAGTAGTTTTCTTAGAAATAATTGATGGATTCAATAAATCTAATTTCAAATTTTGTGGTTCATTTGTTTTAGTTCTAGGATGTGGAGTTGGAACTGATGGCAATAAAGAAAAACAAAAAAAAATTATGTGTGTAAATGAAATACTTCATAGATTGTGTGGGATTTTAGGATGAGATTATAATTTATGGATGCCCTGGTACGGCCGAGAGTGAGGAGAGTCCGTGCTCTCTCTCTCTCTCTCGAAATGCTCTCATATGGGCACGCGAATATATAGCCTCTGCCAGGGAAGTCCTACTCACTGCCCTCTCGTGGCGGGGGTGTTGTTTACGAAATTGAGAGGACGAAAAGCGAATGTCCGGCGCTTTAATCGGGTTGATGAATATGGAAGATCCACCTAGGAGCGTTAGAAAACCCTGATTCCAAACTAATGGTACACATGGGCTCCAGGACCCTGAGGGAACAAATGACGAATGTAACAGTTGTTGGTCACTGGCGATCACGGAACTGCTTCTCCTCACGACGCTCCACTACCTTGTGGATCAGACCTTTAGGTCAAAGGCTCCGGGTGTGACCTCCTAAGAAAGCCACCTGCTTCTGTTTGGGCACCTGGTCAGTATCACAGCCCTCACACAAATCGAATGAGGTTTGTGTGGCGCATATATATATCTGGTGCCTCTTTGTACCAATATTGATGTGTTTAAATAAAATAAATAAATAATCATGAGAATGGTCATCTACCGACTAAGGTTAAATGAAGGTGTGAAGTGGGTTACTTATATCCACATAAGTAGTATATAACGATGGTGAGGCAGAGAATATATTTCAGTACAAGATCGATAAGGAAAGAACGGAAACGAAACGCACTTGGTATAAAAAATGCATGAACAATAATAATTGGAGACGATCAACGGTTACTGACAGAAGGAATGGTCAAGATTGAGACAATTGATTGATAATTTGCAAATAAACAATTTTCTATATACACTTAGTATTGTTTGTTTGCATCTTTCCATCGATGTGTTTAGGACTGCAACTGGTCAGTCTCTAATTGGCATATGTGCATACTGTGCGTATTGCCTCAATATAGCCTTAATTCACAAGTATGGTAAGCAGTGGAATCCAGGACGCGCGTTTCGTTCTATTTGGGACTCGTCAGCTGGATGTACTTGCATCTCAGAGTTGATGTTCACGCTGGGACTCGAACCCAGGACCCTCGCTTCAAACGCCATCGCGTTATCCACTCGGCGATGGCGTTTGAAGCGAGGGTCCTGGGTTCGAGTCCCAGCGTGAACATCAACTCTGAGATGCAAGTACATCCAGCTGACGAGTCCCAAATAGAACGAAACGCGCGTCCTGAATTCCACTGCTAGCCATTATCCACCTCTGCTTACCAATTTATTATATAGTTCTCATATTTTACTGAGATATTCTGTAGAGTTGGGCCCAGACAAAATGGATTGTCGCTATCCGTGTTCTTGTTCACTACAACGGTTATAGATAAGTGTAAGAAACTAGGATCTACAGTTGTACGTTAGAGTTGGTAATTAGATTTCGGGCTTTCATCACGAATTTACATCAGGTATAATACCAAAATGGTATTTAGCTAAATAAGGGGATGAATCTCGTGCTGAAATTCAAGATCTGCTATCTTAAATTATCATTAATTGAGAAGAATGGATAAGATTGCTCAATAAAAAGTATAGAATAATTTTAAAACTCAGAACTCAGGTGTGAAAACAAATGTATCTAAGCTATCTCTTCTGACAATAACAGTCGATAGAATCAACCACTAATCATAATTATTACACGAATCTCAATACTAGTATGGTGTATGCTACTTATCTTGACAAACATAAGTAGTATGTAACATCATTTAGAGGTGGAATACCTGGCAGAAGAAGGTTGGGAAAATTGAACTGAAAAGAACAGGAATGGAAACAGATAGTAATTGCAATAGCGATTAAGAAGCGATGAAGTTTGAGACAATTGGTGTAGGATTTTCAACTGAAGTACTTAATGTATGGTTTTCTCCACCTGAATATTTACAAGTTTTCAAGCCTACGTATCACAGCTAAACTGAATCGGTTGTAACATTTTGCATTTAGGTGGGGAGAAATTCACCCCAAACATGTTTACTATTTTATTCAAGGCGATCAAAAGTGTTTTCAGTCATCACGAAACCGAACGTTATCATCTGCATATCCTAGGTAAGTTAATGTTACATCTAGAGCTTTGATTCGTGCTATGCCGCGTACTACTAGACTGCCACGACGTGCAATGTTTTATGGATTAGGAGTAGATTGAAAGAAAGCTAGGGACGGCCAGTCCAAAACGCGGCACAAATTCATGAAGTCACTGACAATTGGATGGAGCCATGTTGGTAGGTGTAGACTATCTGTTTCGGATTCGCGAGAGGATGACAACCGATGGTTAGAGACCTTGGATGACATGGCTGAAAATCGTTTGCAATGGTGAAGGTGCATCCACATTTTGTATTCTGCCAATTTCTAATCTTCTGAATTCTTCATTTTTCTATCTTTTTTCTTTCTCCAAATTTAATTCACATGATTTTACTTCTTTAATCACATTTTCAAACCCTAATCTCTCACATTAATGCTTATACTCTCACTACTTCTACCACTATGGGATTTGAATTAACAACTGCATCTCTCTGTTAATGTGTTATGACAACTCGAACTGATGTACGTACGTACAAAGTTCTACGTTGTGACTGACTGACTAGGCTACTTGAACGATCGAACCCGTAACGTCGCAAGAGAGAAAACAGAAGACTAATAAGTAGGAATTTTATTCCCCAAACAGTGTCAAGTATAGTACAAAAATTTTATGTATTTATAGTTTTTTTGGCTGAAAGTAAATCATCATTTCGTACAGCCAATAGGCACACAGGGGATCCTTCTTATTCATCCAATACACATCGACACTCTAGAATCTTACCCTAGTGGTGATTGGGTGGAATGTCTTCGGTTCTTTCTCTGCTTCTTAATGCTTCCTTGAATCTAACAACGAGTCATATGTACAGTTAATAAATCTCCTGATAGCAGGGTAACTCCTGAAAAGTCATACTTAAAAAGCCTTCTTTCTAAAAGGATGCTTATAATCAACTTAAATAGAATAGGATCTAGCTGACAACCCTAAAGAATACTATTTGAAGTTGTCAAATAAGATAAAATTATTATCAAAAGGTTTTTTTTGAGAAGATTTAGTATTTCCATAGTCGGAAGCGTTAGTCAATTGAAGCTAGATCACCATGGAAAACCTGGAAACACTGAAAGGCCGTTTCGTCCTATTGTGGGACTACTCAGCAGTACGCACCCACGACCTCACCTCTAAAGATTCGAACCCAGGACCTACCAGTCTCGCGCCAGAGCACTTAACTGACAGACCACTGAGCCTTCATTCGATGGTGTTTATGTCTAACTTCAACTAATACACGAAGTTTGAGCAATCGTTCACCAATTTTCTTCAATGAATTCCTATCTCACAACAGACGTGATTTCAGGAGTCCCACAATAGGATTAAATGGCCGTCCAGTCCTTCCAGGTTTTCCCTGGCGGTCTAGCTTCCATTGACTCACACTTTCAACTATGAAAATAAGATACAAATTTGTTATAAGCTATTACTCAACCAATAGTAGTACCCTTGTGGCCAAATACAATGTAAGTTTGTTACAATAAGAATGAAGTTCATTGTTTAGTCTTACCAACTGATTGTTTCCCTGAATTTTCTAATTGAATTTGTATCGATGATGATGATGATGATAACATTTCATTCGATTTTGTATTGGTCTTTGAATGATCCTCAGAGGGAATTGAGATCTAATATTGTTTAAGAAGAAATTCAATAAAGAAAAAATGGATTAGAATCAGTCAAGGTGATGGAAACTGTATACTTTTCTCAGAACGGTTAATGAGTTATAAGACTGCCTGTTTTCAACTACTTGAATGATTAGTACATATTTAACCATTGTATAATATGGTCAGTAGTGTCGATTGGTACTTGTGTGATATTGGCTACTTATATCCACATAAGTAGTATACAATGATGGTCGGGCATTGTGTGTATTTCAGTAGAAGATCGATAAGGAGAGAACGAGAATTGAATCACAGAAGGAATGAAGTCAGTTTCGTAATGAGTAGCTACAATGAGCGGAGAAATGCTCTTAACAAACTTCATATAACTTATTCATAATTAATATTGAAAAGTAGTATTATTTCGTAGAATCACTCAATTAATAACTCTAACAAATACCTTTTGACAAAAACTGAATTGTACGTTGAATTCGGCACAGACTGGTCTCAGTTAGGGAACCAGGAAGCATTAGACAGCCATTTCTCTATAGCATAGGACTTAGTTTTGACACTACAGCTGATTGACCTTGTAACCTTCAGGTATAGCTGTGAATGCTTAACAATTAGAATCACCAGGTCATTGTCCAATTATACAGTTTGAGCTTAAATCACTCTTCAATATAGAATGACAATCTCCCCTGGAAAGAAGGTTGTAGGTGTGAACTATTGATTAGTCCTATACCAAGAAGAAATAATTGTACGGTGATCCCTAGTTCTCAATGATTCTCTAACAGAGATAAATCTGTGACCAAATCAACCCAAATGTTAAACCAATCTCCACAAAACACTAGCTGAATAAATTGAAGTATTGGTATGGTAAAAACATATGGTGTTCCCCACCTGATTATCTGTTTTATTGACAGTTAGTTCAGGAACTTTGGCAATGACTTGATCTAGATCAGGTGTATCCTGTTTTTTTCTAGTTGAGTTATTCGGCAAATTGTCAGGAGGATTCAGTTTATCGATAGGTTTGGTAAATGAGACATTAGATGATGATTTTGGTTGCAAGCAAGCTTCTTTAGAAGATTCATATTGAGTTACGTAGGGCTTCTAAAAGAAATGAAAAGAATGTGAATAAGAAGTTAGGAATAGACAAATCAAATGAAACAATGAAAACTAATAAGTAAATTCGTAAATTCATAGTTGAAAGCGCGAGTTAACTGAAGCTAGACCACCATAGAAAACCTGGAAGCATTGGATGGCCGTTTCGTCCTATTGTGGGACACCTTAGCAGTGCATATCCATGATCCCGCCTCAAGGGATTCGAACCTAGGACCTATCAGTTGGATGTCCACTCAATGGTCTAGAGGTTAAGCGCTCGCGTGCGAGACTGATAGGTCCTGAGTTCGAATCACGCTAGGCGAGATGATGGATGCACACTGCTGAGGTGTCCCACAGTAGGACGAAACGGCCGTCCAATGCTTCCAGGTTTTCCATGATGGTCTAGCTTCAATTGATTCACACTTTCAACTTTGAAAATACTGAAATCTCCACAAAACTCCTTCTGATAATTATTTCGAAAATTTCTTATTCTAAATTTTTAAATATTCTGAGCCAGTCAAATATAAACCAGATGATCAATGAAAGATGTTAATAACTGAATGCTACTGGTACAGAATCAGCTCGATTTTCTGAGGAAATCGATATATAATGGTGACTGGAAATCTGTCTTAATTTTCCAGAGGAGACAGATATACATCTGTGAATGGGTAAAACTATACTATACTGACAATTTTGAGTAATCAATTGGAGTTTAGTTAACCGATGAGAGAATTTAAAACGCTGTTACAGGTATCTTGCAACAACTGGAAAGGATTGCCAAGGATAAAGTTGGATGGGGAATGTTAGTGAGCGGCCTATGCTCCTCGACGATGGGTAACAGTCATAAGTAAGTAATTACCAGATATCCTGTTGTTGAAAATCATGATTTTCATTATATCTCGTATTTCCAAAAAGATTGGATGGTTATTTTTATATGAAATGAACTTTTAAGGTCAATTATATGTTAGGGCTAAGTGTATTAGGTCTAGATGTTAAGGTTAAGAAGTTTTAGGTTATTAGTATTAAGGTTAGGATCAAGGGTTCATGAGTATTAGGATTAAGGATTAGCGTTAGGTAGTTCTAAGGTTAAAAGCTTGGGTTTAGGGTATCGCCTGATTTTTAAAACTTTGATCTTACAACTAAGTTATTGATGTTCTCAGTAATTTTGTCTTCTTTTTCTTAATATTTCAAAACTTTGAAGCTGAAACTGAATCCTTATTGACTTTCTTTTGATTGGTTAATCTCAAGGTTATCCATAAAATCTTTTAAGGTCATCAGAAAAGCATAATTTTACCTATGAATGAGTTATGGATATGTTTCGATTCATTTACTGAATAAGAGCTGATAACTTTCATTTTTGTCTCTGAAGTAAGTAGTATAATCATACATTTAAGAAGTGTGTACATCAGTAACAAAAACTCAATTTTCAAAGTGATACGTTTTACTTAAACAAAGTTAGTGAACATTAGTTACTTTTTATCGTTGAAATCATGAGTCAATAGAAGAAAGACTACCATGGAAAACCTGGAAGCATTGGACGGCCGTTTCGTCCTATTGTGGGACACCTTAGCAGTCCACATCCATGATCCCGCCTCAAGGGATTCGAACCTAGAACCTATCAGTTGGATGTCCACTCAATGGTCTAGAGGTTAAGCGCTGGCGTGCGAAACTGATAGGTCCTGAGTTCGAATCTCGCTAGACGAGATGATGGATGCGCACGGCTGAGGTGTCCCACAATAGGACGAAACGGCCGTCCAATGCTTCCAGGTTTTCCATGGTAGTCTTACTTCTATTGACTCATGATTTCAACTATAAAGTTACTAAACTCGCCACAAAAAACCTCTTCTGTTAGTTATTTTTGTCAGTTTTTATTGAGTATTTATCAAATAACTATGTTATGGTTATTTTATATGGTTTATCTGGTAGCCTTTAAGCTCATTCATCGTTACTTGTCTCTTTACTGTTGAGAAAGTTTTTAGACAATTAGCCAAATGATGTATTATCCAACTCTATGATTACGTAATGTAGGAAGTTGCATAAAACATCAATTATGATGTAATAAACATAGTCGATAAACAGAAATGACGAAATGTGCATACTGGACTCCAATGTTAGACAAATTCCATCTATTCTATATCATCAGATCAGTTCGGAAAGCAGTTTTTTGTTAACAAAATGGCTGCTTCATCAATCTCATCAAATGGTCCATGGTAAGTTGACCTACTGTTTGAAAATGAAACCTAGAAATGAGGAGACAAATTTTCGATGTAGGTTTGTTCTCTGAGCTGAATGGTTTGGTCGTGGAGCTTTCATCGTCCTTCTGAACGACATCATCAGCACAAGCTTCAGGTAGAACTGAATTGTTTGAATTTCTCCACATGTGATTAACAGCTTGTCCTGTGCACCTCTATGTTGATTGGTTTTTATTGACCTTAAATCTGTCATTGTTTATTTCTTTGTTTTGGTTGTATCTCCTATTGGTTTGATTTTATTTCCTATGTTTGTGCATAATTTTCTTGATTGGTTGATAAATTAGGTTGATTTCAATGTGCTTGTTTATTGCTGATTGACCTGAGTTCCAAGCTTCTAAAAATTCTCTGGTGTTTTTGGAATTGGACGATGAAAGCTCTACGACCAAACCATCCAGCTCAGAGAACAAACCTACATCAAAATCACCCACCTGAGCTACGGTGGTGATTGGAGGTGGTCAACAGGAAACCTAGATCATGAAATTTGTCGATTCTTAGTGACCAATCAGCTGCAAATACATCTTTGTTTCACAAGAAGTCTGCCGTGGCTCGAACAGTTCACTGACAACTTCTATGACTATGAATCTATGTGACACGGAATAAAAACCTCTAGGGAGCATAAACTCCACTAAGAATAGAGATACATCTTATAGACCTCTGCCAAGTAGAAGGAAACCTAATTCAAGCAGGGTTTCTTGTTGTCTACTTCCAACCATCAGCTTATATAAACAAAATATCATAAGTAAACTGAAAACAATGATTCATATAAAGTTTTAAGTTATTATTACCTCAGCAGCTTGTTTTACTGGTTCCATTTCTAAATCTTTAGATTCTTCCATATTTGGTTGATTATATACTACTGTATTACGACTATTAGTAGTAGTAGTAACAGTATAAGGTTGTTGCCAATACATTTTTAAATATAATAAACCACAATTAGATTGATCTTTATCGATTTGATTAGATTGTTTCCGTTTTTTGAATGTAGTTAGGGGGAATATTTCAAATATACCATCAATTTTATGATTTTTATTGATCAAACCAATCAGTGGAACTGTAGCTAAGCCAAGACAACTTGTCTCAGGTGAAGGATCTGCATTATCAACAATGTAAATGTTTAAATTCTGTGTTCTTAAATAACTGCAAAATAAATAAGATTGAGATTACTGAGTTATCAATTTTCAACATGAACTACATGAATATGATGCCATTTGTTCACAGAACTAACTTTATACAGTTGACTGGCCTCAAAAAAGATTTCCTGGAGTTCTACTGAGAAGCCATGACCAATGAATTTTAACCAGGTTTGTGTGAGATGGTAACTCACTGAAGACAATGGTGGACGGTGAGGTAATTCCGTGGATTGGTTGAAGCTGAACATTAAGACCGTCGGATGCCGGCTCAGTGGTCTGAAGATTAACCGTTCGCATGCGAGACCGATAGGTCCTGAGTTTGGATCTCGCGGAGCGGGATCGCAGTTGCGCACTGCTGAGGAGCCCCATAATAGGACGAAACGGTCATCCAGTAGTTTCAGGTTTTCCATGATAGCCTAACTTGAATTGAATCATAGATTCAACTATAAGATTACTAAAATATCAAGAAACTTGAAAATGCATTGAATCAATTTAACCATGTGTTACCTTCCGTAATTTCTAAATATCTCACCTCTGATAAGTATCAATAGTTAGAAAACTTAGTTCCAAAGAGGTTGAGAAAGATTAATTCACAACATCCTGTTAATCAATTCGTTACTATTTATAGTCAATTTCATAACGAATACAGAAAAACATATGATCAGTCTTAATTTATATGTTACTATAATGAGAATATGAAAAAAATGTCCTCAGTATCAATCTCGATAAGATCAAAATATAAGTAATAATATATTTCATAGATCTAATAATATTTTATCTTTTTTATAATATACTACTTATATGTTAGATAGTAAAACTGTGAATTGATGTTGAGTGCAATCGGTATCCTATATCTGGGAAGCATCATTGATGAACACGGTAGATCTGATGCAGATGTGAAGACGCAGATCGGCAAAGCAAGAGAAGCATATTTACAATTGAAGAACATCCGGAACTCAAAACAATTGTCTGTCAACCAACAACAAGATCAGAATTTTCAATACAAATGTCAATACAGTTCTACTGTATGGGGCAGAGATATGGAGAACTACGAAAGCCATCAACCAGATGATACAGGTGTTTATTAACAGTTGTCTACGCAAGATACTTCGGATCTGTTGGCCAGACACTATCAGCAACATTCTACTGTGAGAGAGAACAAACCAGATTCCAGTGGAGGAAGAAATCAGGAAGAAGAGTTGTAAGTAGATAGAACACATTACGCCGAGAAATGTTGACATATACGTGAAGAATGAACAAAAGTTGGTTAGAAGTAGAAAAGAAGGTCCAGGACAGAGTGGGTTGTAGAATGCTGGTCGTTGGCCTATGTTCTATTGGGGGTAACAGGAGTAAGTAAATAATTAAGCAATAGATATTTCACAACTGTGTCATATCTCAAAAATCCACTTTACTTATTAAATTTTGAACAATGATATAGTACAGTTAGCTTATATTGTACAAAGTGTATAATCGGTTGAAGTTAGACAATAACACCATTGGATGCCGGCCAGCTCTATAGTCTAAAGATTAAGCGCTCGCACATGGGGCTGATAGATCCTGGGTTTGAATCTCTCGAAAGAAGGATCATGAATGCGCACTACTGAGGATTCCCACAATAGGACAAAACAGCCATCCAGTACTACCAAGTTATCCATGATGGTCTAGCTTCAATTGACCCCATGATCTCAACTATATATAATAAAACAAACAAACTTACTTATCAAGTTCATCATTCATCTCTAATTGTATAGTATGTAAATCATTAAATATTGGTGTATTATTCTCTTTAATTATCATAGAAGCATATTCTAATTCATTATAAAATTGATATACAAAATAAATTGATGGTAAATAATTTAAACGCTGTTGAATATTTAAATGAGTAATTTTCATTATTTCAATAGTAAGAATATTTTTGGATAGATCTGTTGAATGTAATTCATCATGATGAATAGATGATTTATTAGTGAATGTTATAGATCCAGGTAATTGTTGAAATCTTTCTTTATAAAGTCTAGAATGTACAAGAAAGAATAGGATTAATAAGTAAAGATGGATAGTGGTTAGCAGTGGAATTCAGTTCGACAAACGTTTAGTCTTATTTAGGACTTGTCACTAGATGGATGTATCTGCATCTCAGAGTTGATGTTTTATTCTGAGACTCGAACTCAGTACCTTTCGTTTCAAACATCATCACGTTATCCACTTAGTTACTGAGTCCTGATAGCCACTTGTTTGTGCAGTAGGGTGAAGTTTAAATTCACTTAGTATTGTTTGATTGAATCATCCCATTGATGTTTAGGACTGTAATTGATCAGTCTCTTATTGGTTATATGTGACATGATCAATTTCAATGGGAAGATTCAGCCAAACAATACCAAGTGAATTTGTATTTGATTAATGTTTTTTTGACATTTATTATCTGAATTGTAAATAAACATTTTAAGATGTTGAATTATACTGGAGTGTGTACTACTGATATCGACAGATATAAGTAGTATGTATCATCAATTGAAAATGAAATACATAGTGGCAGAAGTTTAAGAAGTTCGAATAAAAGAAAACGAGAACAGAGGATGATTAGTGTAGAAATGAAGAAACAATCAAGTCTGAGACGTTTCATTGATATTTTGTAAACGAAGTATTTACTGTATGGTTCTTAGATTTTACTAGAAGATTCTGTAATTTTGTATTCAAGTACATTCGACTGTCTCCACTTGTGTTCTCGTTCACTGCAATACTATCACATGATCATAATAATCTTATCAGATAGTACACTGAGACGTTAGGCCAATCAACAGTGTAAGTTCAATCCTTTACTTATTTGGTGGTACTAATATTCGTCGATGACCTTGAGTTATACGAACAGAGACCTTAAGGATAACTAATCAGATGAATCCTCTAATACAAATAAATGGAACAGCCCAATGAATATGCAGTTTTAGGATGTTAGCATCACAATCCTGTTATCAAAAACATTATATTTTTAACGTTAAACGTCTGACCGTAATACTCATAACACTAAAGCTTTGAAGTAACGTAGTCTCTGAACTTATAAAATTACTAAAATCTCTACGAAACCTCTTCTGGTTATGGTATGGTTCAAAAGGATAAAAATGACTATCTGAACGGCATAAAGATCCTTTCAAATGATTAGAGTGAACATCAGAATCGGATAGTGAAGAATGGGGTGGAAGAATCGATAAAGTAGACTAACCAATATGATTTTATTTCAGAAAAACTGTTCGAAATGACAAGATATACCTGAACGATAACATTATGGCTAATATAATCTGCCAAAAGTACATAAAAAAAGGCTTACTCTTTCAACCTGTTTTAGACATCATTACAAAATGATTAATGCAAATGCTCAAAGAAATCCTTAAGTATAATGTCAAGGATCCTTAAAAATTTGTTCATGATGTAAAACACTATCAGTCAAGAATAAATTCATGATGTCATTAGATGTATTGGCTATATTCATCAAGTTTCATTACAGGGAACTGTGGATTTATTTTATTTTAACTCCACCTGTAGCCCAATTGGGGGCTACTGTCGTTCTCAAGCTCAGATAAAGGAGTAGGGTTGGGCATGGGGTTAGCTACCTCATCCCGCAGAAAACTAACTCGCTAAAAAACGCTAACCATGGTTATATATCCAGTGAACTAATAAACAGGAGTATAAAAGCCTTAATTCTTGTGTCTACAATAAAAGAGTTAATCATCACATGTTCACTTTTGATTTAACAATGAATATTAGTCATTTGTTTTAGATCACTTAAAAGCGATTAGTATGACCTACAAGAATGAAGCCTAATCGGAGACATCTTATGACCTTTATTTAAATCTGTCACATTCACTTACTTACTTACTTACTTACGCCTGTTACTCCCAATAGAGCATAGGCCGCCGACCAGCATTCTCCAACCCACTCTGTCCTGGGCCTTCTTTTCTAATTCTATCCAGTTCTTGTTCATTCTTCTCATGTCTGTCTCTATTTCTCGACGTACTGTGTACTTTGGTCTTCCTCTTCTCCCTTGGCCTTCAGGATTCCATGTGAGGGCTTGTCTTGTGACGCAATTAGCTGATTTCCTCAAAGTGTGCCCAATCCACTTCCAGCGCTTCCTCCTGATTTCTTCCTCCGCTGGAATCTGATTTGTTGTCTCCCACAGTAGATTGTTGCTGATAGATAGTGTCCGGCCAACAGATCCGAAGTATCTTGCGTAGACAACTGTTAATAAACACCTGTATCATCTGGATGATGGCCTTCGTAGTTCTCCAGGTTTCCGCCCCATACAGTAGAACTGTATTGATATTTGTATTGAAAATTCTAACCTTGGTGTTGGTTGACAATTGTTTTGAGCTCCAGATGTTTTTCAGTTGCAAATATGGTGCTCTTGCTTTGCCGATCCTCGCCCTCACCTCTGCATCTGATCCACCGTGTTCATCAATGATGCTGCTCAGATATGTAAAGGTTTCCACATCCTCCAAAGCTTCTCCGTCAAGTGTAATTTGATTGGTGCATATTGTATTGTATCGGAGAGTCTTGCTTTTCCCTTTGTTTATATTGAGACCTACTGCTGCTGAGGCTGCTGCTACACTGGTCGTTTTCTCCTGCATTTGTTGTTGCGTTTGTGATAGAATAGCCAGATCATCTGCGAAGTCTAGATCGTCAAGTTGCATCCTGCCTGTCCACTGTATCCCGTGCTTTCCTCCAGTCGTTGACGTCTTCATGATCCAGTCGATTACCAGGAGAAAGAGAAAGGGTGAGAGTAAGCAACCTTACCTTACACCAGTTTTTCCTTCAAACGAGTCGATGAGTTGTCCTCCGTGGAGGATTTGGCAGTTTAGTCCATCATAGGAGTTCCGTATGATATTGACTACGGAAATGATAAACATTTCTCTATGAATATCCTTTTACAAAAACAATATTTTTGATTCTTTGATAACGTAACCACTTATATATGGGACAAATTAATGATCAAGATATGAGAACGGTCCATGAGTGAACTCAATGAAGCTCTAAGAAGCTCAGGAAGAACCGAGGATATTCCATTCCAGAATCTTGACGTTCTTCTTTGATATTGAATAAATGCTAGAAACCATTGCATGCGGATTGGATGACTGTAATGATAATTTCATTTTAACTAAAAACTACAAATACCTAAGTGTTATGCACCGTATTTGATGCTGTTTGTAATAACACTCCTTCTCAATCATTTGTGTTCTCACTTGCGACTTAGAGTGTTTGCGTGCTCAAGTGGTATGTAGTATAACAAGAATCTAAGCTGTAGATATAACACAAGATTTATCCCAAATCGAAAAAAAAACGGCATTCGAATCAAGTAGATCTATATATTTCAATAATATAACTTACTTAATAGAATCTGGCATTGATGCAGTTAGTCGTATCCAATAATGTAAAGTTCCAAACTTTATTTTTTCATTTTCTTTAATATTAATAGAATTATCTGGAGTAGAGATAAGAAATAAATCTAATTGACCTTGTCGACGTACAATACTTCCTTGATCAGGGATTTCTATACAGTCGTCTAAAATGGAATAAAATGAAAGAAAATGCAAAAGAACTATTATTGAGAGTTAATGGTTCTTAATAAATAAGACATTTCTTAAGATGTAACATTGTAATGAACCAGAACATAAGTGCGGAACAACCAAAACTACAGAATCTCTTAGTAACATCTAAGAACTGTACAGTAGTTACGTCATTTGCAAAATGTCAACCATTCTTCTTAAACTTCATTGTCATTTCTTTTGCACACCAATCATTATGTGTAATTGTTCTTTTCTCTTCGATCTTCTTAATTCTCTGTTGCCAGGTATTTCACTTTGGATTGATGATACATACTACTTATATCTGTTGATATCAGTAGGACCCACTACATTATTTGTGAATATTTCAGAGTCTCCACTATTCCGGTGTATATCTACAGTTCACTTCTGCATATTATTGTTTGCGTTGAGGAGATCCAGAAAATTCCCCCTCTCCGAAAAAAACCAAAAAACTCTTAATAGGAAGAATACATTCTTCCTATTTAATGTCTCATACCAACTCGGTGCTCAAATACTGCGAAACTATTCGATCGACTTTAGACGAAAGTCCTTATGATGCCCAAAAAGCTGTTCTGAAAACACTAAAAAACATCTTGCCCAAACAGCATTCAATAAAAGATTTGCAAAAATTTTCTATGTTGAGTCTCTGATTAGATGATTACCTGTACTGCTACTATGTTTAGTAGCATTCTAGCATTTTCCGGAAGCCCAAGGTCATCTAAAATGCTGAAAATACCCTAGATCGTCTGTACATGAATGAACCTTTGGAATAAAGTGTTTCTTTTATATTTTGTACTTTTTGTCTCGTGTTAAGGTTTCTGTGTAGATTTAGCCTGAGGATTACTTGAGGGCTTAGGAAATCAAATCTAGCGTTCAATTAAAAGACTTCTTAGTTTGATTAATTACAAGATATCAGTTAATGATGATCTGATTTCAAAACAGCAGAACCAAACAACATTCCGGCAGAAGCACTGAAAGCAGATGTAGCAGTAACTACAAAGATACTCCACATTCTCTTCAGTAAGATTTGGGATGAAGTATAAGTACCAATAGACTGGAAAGAAGTACTTCTGATCAAGATACCAAAGAAAGGCGATCTCAGTAAGTGTGATAACTACAAGGGCATTACTCTTCTCTAAACACCAGGAAAAGTCTTCAACAGAGTATTGTCAAACAGAATGAAGAACACCGTAAACGCCCGAATTCAACAGGCTGGCTTCCGTAAGGGTCGATTGTGTACACACGAAATCGCAACTCTACGGATCATTGTGGAACAATCAATTGAAAGGAATTCATCACTTTACATCAACGTCACTAACTACGAGAAAGCATTTGATAGTGTGGACAGGACAACACTATGGAGGATTCTTCGACATTAGTCATATCATACGGAATTGCTATGATGGACTAAACTGCCAAATCATGCATGGGGGAAATCTCACTGACTTGTTCGAAGTAAAGACCACTGTCAGGCAAGGTTGCTTACTCTCACCCTTTCTCTTTTTCCTGATGATTGAGTGGATCATGAAGACATCAACATCTGTAGGGAAGCACGGGATGCAATGGACAACTGGAATGCACCCGGGCGATTGTTACTTCTCAGATTATCTGGCTTTTCTATCACACGCGCAACAACAAATGAAGGAGAAGACGACCAGTGTCGCAGCAGCCTCAGCAGCAGTAGGTCTCAATATATACAAAGGGAAAAGCAAGATTCTCCGACACAATACAACATGCATCAATCGAATAACACTTGACGGAGAAGCTTTGGAGGTTGTGAAGACCTTTAAATATCTGGGCAGCATCATCGATGAACACGGTAGATCTGATACAGATGTGAAGACGCGGATCGGCAAAGCAAGAGAAGCATATTTACAACTGAAGAACATCTGAGATTCGAAACAACTCTCTGCCAATCAACACCAAAATCACAATTTTCAATACAAATATCAATACAGTTCTACTGTATGGGGCGGAAACCTGGAGAACTACGAAGGCCATCATCCAGATGATACAGATGTTTATTAACAGTTGTCTACGCAAGATACTTCGGATCAGTTGGCCGGACACTATCTATCAGCAACAATCTACTGTGGGAGAAAACAAAGCAGATTCCAGTAGAGGAAGAAATCTCAAATGTTATCTTAGTTGATTTGGTTATCCTATTTATGAATAGATATGAATTAATCCTTCAACAACAACAAAAATTGAGGGATCTATTATAATCGATGATTCTCACCTTTTCCAGTAAATAATTGTGTGAAATTAAGTTTTCCAACAGCAATAGTACGATAATTGGAATTGATAACTTGATGCATTTCTATAGTGCATGGTTCCTAGAATAAAGAACAGAAATGTTAAAGGTGACTAGCATACATCTGTCAGATAGTTTAATGGTATATATACAAGAAGGTAAATTCATAAACCTTAGATTATAAAACTGACAAATATCCAATATCCCCTTACATTTAAATAGGTTTATTGATTTTCGTTAAACCAAAATTATTAATTTGTTACATTTTAAATGGCATCGTCAATCCTACGTCAGTCCTACAGAGGGTCAGCAAAAGCTTGAATAGGTCACTGGCAACTTTATAGACTCTTAAACTGTATGATATTGGTTTGTATTCACCAAGTAGGACTTGTACCCTCAAAATCTCAGATATGCCTTACGGATGATGCCAAAGTCCGTATTCGTCCAAGATTCGGACTTAGGACCACTCGCACCTTAAGCGAGTATCATACCCCTAGAACAACGAATCACTAATGGGGCCAAATAGCACAAAACGTGGTATCATAAAAGGTCTAGTTGTCAATTCTCAAACATCATATTACAATGAAGACAATAACTTTTAAATATGACTCTCGATGACTATAAACTGCTGAAAATTGTATGCGTAAAACTCGGACACATACTGTATTATATATACAGGCCCTATTGTAACTCATAGATCACTTCCAAATGTATAATCATTACAACTTAACTTCGGTATTATAACATTTCTTAACTAATTACCGGTTGTTATATCCCGACAAGAATAATGAATAGTAACTGTTGGGAACTATTTATGGACTTGTACTATACATATACTTTTATTGTATAGTTGTTAAGTAGCTAAACTATTCACATTCATGTTCCTCTTATTCTAAGCTTTGACCCATAGACTATCATTCTATGAATTACCGTTCTTGAGTTATGCCCAATCTATCAATTCACAGCTACACTTGGCTAAATCTTGTACAAATTTCAATAGTTGAGATCATGAGTCAATTGAAGATAGACGACTATGGAAAACCTGGAAGTACTGGGCGGCCGTTTCGTACAAATCTTGTTTCCTATTTTATGGTGTGATGTGGTCTGTTTCGTTTGTGTGTAAACCCAATATCTTTGAAATACACGATCCATATCGCAGAGACTGAGATTTGTGTTTTGGACTTAACAGACAAGGTTCGGCAGGAAGAAGGACCAATAAAGACTCTAGATTGTTCGTATGGGTTTTATGCTTTATTAGTCTGGTCGATAAATCACTGTTCCCTAATTAGCGATAACATTACGTTAAATATATATATATATAGGATCACAAACCCACAAGTTATAACACTTGTACATTTCACTGCATAAAATGTTTATTTATTTGAACACATAAATTCTGGTACAAAGGGGTACCAAATATATATGCACCGCACAAATCTCATTCGATTTGTGTGAGGACTATGATACTGCCCATGTGCCGAAACTGAAGCAGGTGGTTTCCTTAGGGGGCCACACTCGGAGCCTTTGACCGAAAGATCTGATCCACAAGGCAGTGGAGCATCGTAAGGAGATGCAGTCCTATGGTAGCCAGACATTCTATTTTCGAAATCTTCATTTCGTAAACAACATCCGTGGTGCGAGAAGGCAGTGAGTAGGACTTCCCTGACAGAGACTATATACGCATGGCAATTTGAGAGCATTTGGAGAGGGAGAGCGGACTCTCTCCACTCTCGGCTGCACCAAAGCATTTGGGGGTTGGAGGCCTCGCCGAGATGTATACAATGAATATTTATGAAAATTGTACTGTCTATTGGAATTTCAATGATTACATCCCCCCCGAAAAAAGTAAGCCTTTCTTTTATATAGTTGAAACCATTAGTCAATTGAAGCTAGACCACCATAGGAAACCTGGAAGCACTAGACGGTCCTTTCGTTTTATTGTGCGACTCCTCAGCAGTGCACATCCAACATCTCGCCTCGCAAGATTCCAACCCAGGACCTGTCAGTTTCGCTCACAGCGCATTGCTGAAGAGTCCAGCAATAGGACTGTTGAGGAGTCCCATAATAGGACGAAACGGTCGTCCAATGTTTCCAGGTTTTCCATGGTGGTCTAGCTTCAATTGACTCATGCTTTCTACTATGAAAAAATCTCTCTTTCCCTATTTGCCTTAACCCTACCCTTCCCCCCCCCTCCCCAAAAAAAGGAACAATCCATATTAACAATAACCGAATACATATTCAATTTTACCTTGATTAAATAATTCATTAATGTATCATTTATTTCTATAGGATATTGTATTGTCATATTTAAATCGATTGAATTATGTATAAATAAAATTGGTGTTGCTTGTGTTTCATAATCATAAAAATCCCATGTTAGAAATAGATTGATTGATTCTTCAGTAATATGATTCTTTTGATTATTATTCGTTGTAGAAGAAGAATTTGTTTGATATTTATATAGTAACGATGGTAACAAATGTAATTGACCTACATGGAACTTTTTTTGAAAGAAAAAGTATTAAAGATATCAATGAGAAAAAGAAAGTGAGTAGATGATTAACAAAGTCAAAATTTATGCTACTTGGCACTCATCAGCAAAATGTACCTGTAATATTGAGGGAAGGGATGCTTCCTGACGGGTTCGATTCCGTGTTACTCATCTTCATAGTCAGAGATGCTACCATTGAGCCATTCAGGCAGCGATTGACCTCTTGTAGGATTGAGATGTATTTACAATTGGTTGATCACTGGGTGGTAATCAATGTCATGTATGTTAGGTCATTCTTAGTTCAGACTATGTCCAACCATCATCTTATCTCAACATAGTGCACGCAATGTCCAGTCACTTAGACTGGTGGCCACATTGCAACTTGGTCCATAGGATGCGATCTGCACTAAGAAGGACCTGACATACATGACATTGATCATAACCAAGTGATCAACCAATTGTAAATTCCAAGTTCAAATATCACATAAAACGAACAGTAGAAATACTTTCATATACTACTTAAAACGTTCGAAACGACAGTGAATAGTTATTCCTTGTCACCACAGATTCAAAATGATAATACTTAATGTATGGAATACTCAATTCTGTCTCTGTACATTGTATATAACCGGTAAATTGACATTATCCTTAAATCCTCACTCTAAACACTCTATCTTGAAACAAAACTTTGACTGATCGAGTTAATCAGATAGGGCTTCTTTGATTTTTGAGCGAAGCTGATGTATTCATGTGGCTATAGTTTATGTTTACTTTACAATTGATAATACTTCTTGATGAAAATTTTAATCTTAATCCCCTAATCCTATTAGTACTTAAAAACACTGAAGGGATTCTTGAAAATCTTTTTGGATCCCAATAAGAGTTAGAGAAGATAGTTGTTCGTTTATTAGCTATCGATTATGCAATCTATATCTTTGAGGATGACTTTAAGTATCATTGTTTTTCGATCTGCAGTCATAGCAACCTGTAGAAGAGTGTAAAGTGCGTTCAAAATTTGTTACATTATTATACACTTTTTCATGAACTATCCATTTATGTAATCTGTTTTCTGATTAGCTAGAAACTTACTTAAAATTTGTCACGGTTGTTTTAAGCTCATCTCTTTACCATATTTTTACCTAGAAACAAATGAACAGTTTCCTAAGAGTCTTTAAATTATTTCTGGTTACCGTTAAGTTTAAGAGTTTAGACGAAGTTTATGGTTAATTTACTTGTTATATACATTCTACGTAGAGAGAATTGAGCCTTCAAGCAGACTATAGTAACTCAGACATATGAATTTTGAGTTAGTTCTATCTTTCTAATGACTCTATTCATTTCATAGAGAGTCATAATCCTTAGCATGATACCTTTTATTGTCATGTACTTGTAATTCTTTACTTGCACATGTGTACTTGTTTCTATGCCTGTACACTTATTATTTGATCTAATTCTTGTTTCTTTGTCACACTACGGGTTACATATTTTGAGTAATGATGTAATGGTTTAAGGTAATTTAAGATATTCACTTGTACTAAATTGATATTGATGATTTGATCATTATTCTAATTGTTGTTAGTTGCATTTGAACAATGTTGTATCCCGATAACAATAGTGAATGGTAACTGTGGGATCCATTTATGAACCAATACTATGCATATATTTTTTATCGTTTAATCCCTGAATAACTAAACTATTCATATTCATGTCCCCCTTATTATAAGCTTAATTTTGACTTGCGAACTATTGTCATATGATTTACCATTCTTGAGTTATGCTCTATCTACCACTTACTATCTCCTCTATTCTCAGCCACATTTAGCTGAATCTTGTACAAATGTTATTTTCTATTTTATGGTACGATGTGGTCCGTTTGATTGGTATATAAACTCGGTGTGTTTGAAATATAATGATTCATACAGCAGAGGCTGTTTTGGACTCAGCTGGCTGATGATAAAGCCAAATTGTCCAAATTGAAACAGTTAAAACTTGGTTTTTACCTATGATTTATTAATTGAATCACCGTGACTAAATTCCAGAGTTCATCACTAGAATTCCAATAAGTCTTGATTAGTGGAATCCAACTATATCAGGATTCAGGCAACCACTTATCGATGGGATTGGAATGTAGTTACACAATATCATGGATTGAAATACTGGATCGCAATTCAGTGATCTGAAGGTTATATAGTTTCAGTGAGACCTGGAGACTCGGGGTTCGATTCCCTGTTATGGGGTTATGCGTATACAATGATATGGAGTTCCACATGAGGACAAAACAGCTTCACAGTGATTCCTTTATTTTTAGTATTTGTTTAACTAAGATCAGTTAGTGATGTAAACTATGAAATACAAAAAATCTTTGTGAAACCTACTATAGTGACATAAATAGGAGTTGAAGAACGGTGGGCTTTCCCATTGACTGTTATATTTCAAATGAATTACGAAATATCCTAACTAGGTTTTAAGTGAGAACAACTTGTTTCTGAATATATGGAGAAAGTTGATCATTCCCAGTGACTGGATCATCTACTAATCTAAAAATATCTTTCAAACAATTTCTTTATCAAAGATTTAAAACTTATTTAAAGACGAGTGACTTGTTTCAACCATTTATCGTACGAAAGGGATATTTAGTTGACTTTCATGGATCTCTTAATTATCTTACTTACATACCAATTTGGGCACAAGCACTAAAATCGTCTGTTTCATTATCTAGTAGGAACGACCACACAACATAACACTTTTTCATTGGAATCATGGGTAATGTCAGTATAATGTTCGTTCCCATTTGTAAGGATGGCTCGTAAACAAACTCAAGGAAGCCTAAAGAAGCCCAAAAAAAGCCAAAGTCATTCCATCCAATCACCGCTAGAGGAACATTCTAGAATGTCGACCTGTAACTCCCCCATTGGATAAATAGGAAGGCCCCCCCTATCGGCTGTCCGAAATGATGATTTACTTTCAGCCAAAACCTATAAATACATGAGATTTTTGTACTATATTTGACACTGTTTTAGGGAATAACATTCCTACCTACTAGTCTTCTGTCTTCTCATTTTGCGACTTGGGAGGGTTCTAGCGTTCGAGTGCTCAAGTATTACGTGACATACTAAGAATCTAAGTTCGAGATATAACACCATTTTGGCATTTGTCGAAAAAAACGAAAAGAACGAAGAAATGTCTTCAGTTCATTCGTTCTAATCATGGAGAATTCTGGTCTAAAATATATTTGAAAATATATCATAACATACATCCACTTTTACATACCTCGATTAAGCTTTCTCCTGGCTTTAAAGCATCTTCTGTTGTCAGCTTGTCATTTGGAAGTTGATCACCCTGTTAGATTCAAAATTGAATGTTGAAAATGTAATATAAATAAAATTTACATATAGTTATGTTTAGAATACCCCCCCCACACACATTTAACTTACTTGTATATAACAAATGAATTACTGAGTGATGAGTATGTCGATTTTTTTAAACAAATAATAAGCTAAATTCACCTGGTGTTGTGTTTTTGAATCTTCCCATTGTTATGTGGGACTGCAATTGATCAGTCTCTTGTTGACATAAGTGCATCCTATGCGGATTACCTCGATATTGCCTGAAGTCACAAGCTTTTTTAAAAAAAGATGGATAGTATCTGACAGTGGAATGCAGGACACGCGTTTTGTCCTATTTGGAACTCATCAGCTGGAAATACTTGCATCTCAGAGTTGATGTTCACTTCAATGGGAAGATACAAGCAAAAAACAATACCAAAGGAACTTAAAATTCACCCCATTGTACAAGTGGGTGCCCATCACGACTCAGTAGATGAAAGAATATTGCAAGTGGATAGTGCTAACGGTACTGGGTTCGAGTCATAGAGTGAATATCAACACTGAGATGCAGGTACATCCAGCTGACGAGTCCGAAGTAGGATGGAACGCGCCTCCTGAATTCGACAGCTAGCCACCATCCATCTTTGATTAAAAATAATGAACTATATCAATTTTTTTCAACACAACACTCAAAACTCATTTTTAACAGTCACTTAATTGTACATTGTGTTATTCTGTTTAAATAAGTAATTGCTGAGGTCTCGTCTTGGCTTCGAAAATAATAGCCTCAGATTTTAGCCCACAAGTGGATACCGCTAAAGATGTATGAAGTAGAGCAAAACGAACTTCCAGTTATTACTAGCTATCAAGAGTCCTTAAGCTTAAAACCGATCTAAGTCAGATCACTAATGGAGACCTGGAAGCGATGAACAGTCGTTTCTTCCTAGAATGGGGCTACTCAAGAGTGCACGTACTTACTTACTTACCCCCGTTACACCTCATCGAGAAGCATAGACCGATCACCACCACTCTCCATCCAACACTGTCCTACCCAATCCTTTACACTTGTTTCCAGTTGCTATTCATTCTTTTCATGTCTACTTCCAATCCTCGACACTGTGTTCTTCGATCTTCCTCTTTCTTCCTTTCCATTCAAGATTCCAAGTCTGCACTTATCTTGTGATGCAGTTTGATCATTTTCTCAATGTATTCCCTATTCACAACATCTTCTGATTTCCTTTTCAGTTGGAAATTGGTTTGTTCTCTCCAAAAATAGACGACTGTTACTGATAGTATTCGGTCAACGGACATTCAGTATCTTATGTAGACAATTGTTTATACATACCTGCATGTGTTTTGATAATTGTTATGGTAGTTCTCGAAGTTTCAGCTCCATACAGTAGAACTGTCATGATGCTCACATTGAAGATTCTGATTTTGATATTCGTTGACAGATAGTTGTTTTAAGTTTCATATATTCTTCAATTATAAGAATATTGTCCTTACTTCAACAATCCTCACTTTTACATCTTTATCAGATCTTGCACATACATCAATGATACTACTACTACTACTACCACTACTATCAGTGTAAAGTTAACTTATCGTTAAAAACAAAAGAATTAAACTAATTTACTGATCATATTCATTTGAAATTTATAATTGATGTGTGGGCGGAGAATGATAATGATTGGTTGTTTATTTTGCACGTAGTCAGACATGTAGATAAGTCTATCTGACAGGTGTCAAATGAGTTATATATATATACTCCCCTATCCTTATTATTGACTAATATTGATTAATTGATTGGTCCATATTCACGTTCTAGTCAGGCTAATCACGTGTTCGTGATCTGAATTGTATATTGAAGTCCTGTAGAATAGACGACACTGGGTGAGGGGGGGGGGTAATCTTGTATAGATATTCGTCTAAGATAACTTAACCTATCGTTCACATGTAAAAAAAGAAACTGGATCATTATAATCAGAAACCCTAGACTGATCAGTTGCAGTCCTTAACCTCAATGGGGAGATTCATACAAACAATACTAAATGAATTTAAACTTCATCCCATTACACAAGCAAGTAACTATCAGGACTCAGTAACTAAGTGGATAACGTGATGATGTTTGAAGCGAAAGGTACTGGGTTTGAGTTCCAGAGTAAACACCAACTCTGAGATGCAGATACATCCAGCTAGTGACGAGTTCAAAAATAGGACGAAACGCGCATCAAACTGGATTCCACTCCTATCCACTATCCATCTTTGCTTATAAAAGTTTTTGAATTCAGGCAATATCGAGGTAATACGCACAGGATGTACATATGTCAATAAGAGACTGATCAATTGTAGTCCTTAACATCAATGGAATGATAGAAGTAAACAATAGCAAGGGAAACAGAAACCCCCTAGCATAATAATAATGCAAAACATACTTTATATTTATTCATTGAATTATATAATAAATTATGTAATTGATTTTTTAATTGTTTTATTTGTTCATTACGTTGATTTAATAAATTTTTATATTCAATTAAATGGTGTTCTGTTTCTAATTTATATTCGGTTAAATGATCTGTTAATTGTTTTATTTCAATTTGATAATTTTTATTAATTTTATATTGATTATGTAATAATTTTCTTGTTTTTTCTAATTCATTAATTGTATCTATATGTAATAATTCAGATTCATTTAATGGTTTTAATGGATCTAAAAAAAAACAAATAAGAGAAGAAACAAATTGATGTATTATAGTGTAAACTACTGATATTGATAGATATAAGTAGTATGTATTATCAATAGAAAATGAAATACCTAAAGATAGAAGATCAGTACTAAGATGGATCACCACTCAGTGATCAATCAATGGTGATTACATTTCAGTTCTACAGGAGGTCATTCACGGCTTGAATAGCTCAGTGGTAACGTCTCTGACTATGAAGCTAAGTGATGCGGGATCGAATCCGTCAGGGAGCACCAGTTCCCTCAAGATTACAGGTACACTTTTCTGACGAGTGCCAAGTAGCACGAAACCCGGGTTCAGGAGATGCAGTCTCATGGTAGCAAGTGATCAACAATTGATTCATACACCATTTTTTCTTTCAGGATACTGGATCGCATGTGCACCATTGGTTTGGAATGAAGGTTTTCCAACTCCCCTAGGTGAACTCTCCGTGTCCACGAACTTAGTTAAAAAGTACCGGACATTCGCTTTCCGTCCTTTCAATTTCGAAAAAAACAGTAATGTCACGAGAAGGCAGTGATTAGGACTTCCCTGACAGAGGCTATATACGCGTGGTCATGTGAGAGCAATTGGAGAAGGAGATCGGATTCTCCTTATTCTCGACCGTACCAGGGCATTTGGGGGCTTATTATTATATATTTCTTATATTTCTTATATTTCGATTGTCCTTGACAATTAAAGAAGATTCAAATTAACTATCAATCGAATGTACAATGAAATCTAGGTCATATTAGTCGAAAGAATAATGTCTGTAGTTCACAAGATACATAAACAACATGTTAATGATTGCGTCATACTTTATTGTGTTCAAAAATTTACATCTGTGTAGGAATACAAATTTTAATGGAGTTTTGTTCTCTAAGCTGTATAGTTTGGTTGTGGAACTTTCATCGTCATTCTGAACGACATCATCAGTCTGAGTAATTTACAAAACAACTAATTAAATTGAAATCAGTATACAAAATCGGAGATTGATTCCCTTCTATATACGTTGTACTTGGGACCTTCAGTTTTAAAACAGCTTCGGAAACAAATAAAGTCTGATAATCCAATAAAAGGAGATGACAAAACATCAATCGTTGTCGATGTGAATTCATATGATGACAGGAAATTTCTCCTTACTTACTTACTTACACCTGTTACTCCTCATGGAGGAGCATAGGCCGCTCAACAGAATTCTCCGGCTGTAGCTCTTATAGTGCTACTGCCGGTCCCAAGCCCAGATAAAGGAGGAAGGTTGAGTATGGGGTCACCAACCTCATTCCGTAGAAAACAACCTTACTAAAAAACTCTAACCAGAAAATTTGTAACAGTTATTCAGATGGTCTGTAATTATCAGTTAAACGACTGTCTTAGGTTGTAACTGAAATGATAGTCCTGACAGCTTCTTATCATCTTTTAACAGTTAACCGGTATCCGCATATCACAACTACTACTACCATTAAATTTACCTTTGTTTTGACCTAATAAATATTTATCAGCATTAGGTAGTAGATCATCATCGACTGATTGAGATTTTGATTTACGCTCTCGTAAGATCATAATAGCATCTTCTAATTCTTCAACAGTGAATCCAGTAATCTATAAGAAAATTAGTTGAGAAGAAGCAAAATATACATGGTTTCAGGTTGGGAATAGATAAACATTAATGTAAGAAGAATGATTCATAACTAATTTCTGCTGTAATCTGAAATCATTGAAAGAACTTCACATGGTATTGCTTACATGTATCTTCCTATTGATATCTGGGGCTGCAATTGATCAGTCACCTATTGGCATATGTGCATACTGTGCGTATTGCCTTGATCGTCCCTTAACTCATAAGCATTATAAACAAACATAGATAGTAGCTAGCAGTGAAATCCAGTTTGACGCGTGTTTCGTCCTATTTGGTACTCGACGGCTGGATGTACCTGCATCTCAGAGTTGATGTTCACTCTAGGACTCGAACCCGGGACTTAGTGGCCGAGTGGGTAACGCGATGGCGTTTGAAGCGAGGGTACTGGGTTCGAGTCCCAGAGTAAACATCAACTCTGAGATGCAGATACATCCAGTTAGCGACGAGTCCCAAATAGGACGAAACGCGCGTCAAACTGGATTCCACTGCTAGCCACTATCCATCTCTGCTTACCATGCTTGTGAATTAAGGTTTATCGAGGCAATACGCACAGTATGCATATATGCTAATTGGAGACTGACCAGTTGCAGTCCTAACAAATCGATGGGAAGATTCAAACAAACAATACTGAATGAATTAAGGTGAGTTAGCTTTATCATCTAGTATCAGCTAACACCTGATAACAGGAGATGACTAGTTTAATGTAATAAGGATTTAGATGATTTTCTATCATTTGAATTAATGAATTCAAGTGTTAACTGAAATACTTAAATAAGTATAAATGCATTTTCATAGTTGAAATCACGAATCAATTAAAGCTAGACCACCAGGGTAAACTTGGAAGCACTGGACGACCGTTTCGTCTTATTATGGGACTCCTCAGTGGCAGTGCGCATCCACGAATGACAAATGCATTTAACTAAGGATTGCGAAATTGAAATGTACAATTTGGACTCTGTACTAGTAAACGCTTCCAAATATTACCATTAAGAATTGGAGGGAGAAAGGTAACCAACGGAGTTAATTTATCAAAATGGGGATTTGTAGAGATTATAGAATTTTTAATAGCTAAATTCATAAGACGATCTGAGGTAGACTACTTTTGATAAACTGGAAGCACCAAACGACGGTTTCGTTCTAGTATGGAACTCCTCAGGACTCATGAATTCAACAATTAAAACTACTAAGTTCTCCACAAATCCCCATTCTGATAATAATTATGTGCTCACAAGTAGCTAGCATTAAGATGAATGTCCTTGAGTTCTGATGAAAAGTCGTGAACAATGGAGTCCAGTCCGTGCAAAAAATCATGGATAGATTGAAGTTAGACATTAACAGTGGCTCAAGAATCTAGAGGTTATTATTATTATTTATACACATAAATATTGGAACAAACGGGTTCCAGATACATATGCGCCCTACAAATCAAATGAGATTTGTGTGAGAGCTGTGATACTGCTCAGCTGCCCAAACTGAAGCTGGTGGTTTTCCTAGGGAGCCACACCCGGAGCCTTCAACTTAAAGGTCTGATCCATAAGGCAGTGGAGCATCGTAAGGAGATGCAGTCCCATGGTAGTCGGTGACCAACAACTGGTTCATACGCCATTTGTTCCCTCAGAATATTGGAACCCATGTGTTCAATTGGTTTGGAATGAGGGTTTTCCAACTCCCCTAGGTGGACTCTCCGTGTCCACTAACCCGGTTAGAGTGCCGAGCAATTCGCTTTTTGTCCTCTCAATTTTGTAAACAACAGTAATGCCACGAGAAGGCAGTGAGTAGGACTTCCCTGGTAGAGGCTATATTACTCATGGCCATGTGAGAGTATTTCGAGAGGGAGAGTGAATTCTCTTCACTCTCGGCCATACCAGGCCATTTGCGCATGAGATCGAAGGTCCTGTGTCCGAATCCAGAGAACAGGATCGTGAATCCTTACTGCTGAGGAGCCGTCTAATAATTTGAGGATCGCAATGGTGATCTAACTTAGATTGAATCATGAATTCAACTATTCAAAGATTTAATTCAATTAATGGTAAGTATTTACTTGTGCAAACATTTGAGTTGTTGTATTTGTCACTTTAGGTTGTTCATTTGAATCAACTTTATCAACTTGTTTACTTGGCACACTTTCTAATTTATTAGATTGTTGTTTATTTGGCAGAATTTTCTCTTCAATAACTTGATGATCAGGTGAATGTTTTTCTTGTTGTTTTAATTGTTGTTGTAAATTATGTACCATCATTTCTAAATGATCAATTTGTCTACGTAATTTTTGTTCTTTCAATGTCCAATTTTGTTCAGGTTTAATAGAGAATGCGCTACAATAGAATATATATATATATAAGTCAAAGAAATTGTTCAGTATCTTAACATATTACTTGACAACTATTCAATATCAATCAGTTAGTCAGTCAGCTACAACGAAGAACTAGGCACATTTATGCATCCGTCCAAGTTGTCATACCTCGTCAGCACAACAAGATGAACACCGAATTCGTAGTAGTAAATTTAGTGGTGGTAATATATAAAAGAAAGGCTGTATATAAAGGTATAGTATAGGAAGGAAGACGGATATGAAGCAATTTAAATCTCAAGGTTTAAAGGAAGATAAAGCGTGTATACACCTACACCATTGTGATCGATTCTGAGCCATGTCACACAGAGTCTTCAACCATTGGTTACGATAGTCACGTGGACCCCAACCAAGTCGTCTGCATCTCCCAAAATGGCTCAGACTGGAAGTTAGTGACTTCAAGCACTGATGCCAAGTCTTGGTTTGGCTTCCCCCCTAACTCTCTTCCAACCATCGCCAATACTAGTCAGCATAGCGCGTCGTGGTAATCGGTGTTCAGGTATACGTACTATGTGGCCCAACACCAAATTCATAGAAGTAGTCAATTTAATGGTGGTGGTGATATATAAAAGAAAGTTTGTATATAAGGATATAGTAGAAGAAGAAAGAAAGATATGAAGCAACTTTATTCCCATAGTTTAAGGGAAGACAGAGAGTATATACACCTACGCCATTGTGATCGATTCTGAGCCATGTCATCCAGAGTCTCCAACCATTGGTTACTATAGTCACGCGAACCCCAACCAAGTAGTCTGTGTCTACCGACATGGCTTAGAGTAGAAGTTAGTGACCTCAAGCACTGATGCCACGTTTTGGTTTGGCTTCCCCCCTAACTTTCTTCCAACCATTCCCACCACTAGTTGACGTTGCACGTCGTGGTAATCGGTGTTCAGACATACGTAAAACGTGACCGGACGAACAATTATAAATCTAACACACACACACAGAGAAATAAAAAGACACGAAATAAACCTGTGAAGTGCATTTGTGACTTAGTTGATTAGTTAGTTGAATAATTGAACATAGTGAAAGACAACATAGACATATGAATTCATACAAAATTCTTTGACAACAATGAACACGCTAAAATTTACATGGTCTCAGATCTATGTATAAAAGAAAAGTTTTAAAAAGAAATTCTTAGATATCCCATAAGGAATTCAGTTGGTTGTATATGAAGACTATTAATACTTTACATTGAATTATAGTTTGCAATGATGTCTAGTTCATTAGACTAATGGTCATTTTGTAATTTGATCAATAAAATTAGATCATCACTAAGGATCAGATATTTATGACACTAGTGATTGGAAGAAAAGTAAAAGTTGAATCGGAATCATAGATGCACACTGATGAGGTGTCCTATATTAGGACAAAACGGTCGTCTAATACTTCCAGGTTTCAGAAGGGGATTTGTGGAGATTTCAGTATATTCCAAAGTTGAAATCATGAGTCAATTGAAGCTAGACCACTATTGAAAACGTGGAAGTACTGGACAGCCGTTTTGTCCTATTATGGAACTGACTTCAAGATACATGTCCTGGAGTTCTAGTGGAAAGCAGTGACCAGTAGAGTTCAACCACGTGTGCCGTGAGATACAAAATTACAGAATCTTTAAGTAAAATATGAGAGCTAGACATTGAATACATTATTTGCAAATTTATATCATTTATCCTTCACATTCTGTATGATTCTTCTGATTCACAATTCCTTCCTAATTCCATTTCTGTTTTCCTTTAAAACCATTTGCTGCTAGGTTTTCAACTTCCGATTGGTGTTACTTACTACTACCATCAACTTAAGGAGCATATACCACACCATGTTTATGCCTAACCAGTCGACTAATTCACATTGATTTCTTCTTAATCTCACAAGAGTCCTTTAATGTAGAACTTGTAAAGAAAAAGTGATAACACGATGTGGCGTACATGCCATTCAAGTATATGAAACGATCGTTGAATAAAATAAATATGTGTTCATTTCATTTAGATAATTCTCTTCAGTTTCATATAACTGACTATACTCACAATTGATTGATCACTGGGTGATGATCACTGTCATGCGTGTCAAGTCCGTCTTAGTGCTGATCGAATGATATCGATCAAGTTGCAATGTGGCCCGACACTGCGTGCACTATGTTGAGGTAAGAGGGTGGTTGGAGGTGGTCAACAGGAAACCCTGGACTCGGTTTCGTGCTACTTGGCACTCGTCAGGGAGCACCAGTTCCCACAAGATTACAGGTACACCTTGCTGACGAGTGCCTTGTAGCACGAAACCCTGGTCCAGGGTTTCCTGTTGACCACCTCCAACCGATTATACTATTTGGAAACAAGATATACCTATCTTTATAATATATACAGTAAATGGAATATGGCTAGCATTAGAATCAAGGACAGACATTTCTCCCTGTCTGGGACTCGTCAGTCGGATGTACTTTGATGTCAGACTGGATGTTCACTGCGGGACTAAAATCTATTTTCGAATTGAATTATTATCACATAATATTTACAAGATACTACTAATTAAAGTTTGCATAGGACATATATACATCTTTAGATTAAAAAAACAATGAGAATACAAATACAGAAGGATTCATAGTCATTTATCAAATTATTCCATTATATAATCAATAAGTGATTAATCTAGAAAGAGGGAAATGTAGTGAATAAAGCAATGGAAAGAGTTGGTTTATAATAAAGTATCATCTTAGTGAATATTAAAAATTGACATCACGATTGATTATAGTGTAGTGTGGTCTACTTATATCCATATATAAGTAGTATATGGTGATGATCAGTTATAGAATGTATTTTGGCAGAAGATCGATAACGAAAGAATAGAAATGAAGCGCAATCGGTATGAAAATGCATGAACAATGAAATCAGAGAAGACGGACTGATATTTGCAGAAGGAACAGTTAAGATTGAGACAGTTGATTGATATAAGGTGGTGGTTGGAGGTGGTCAACGGGAAACCCTGGACCCGGGTTTCGTGCTACTCGGCACTCGTCAGCAAGGTGTACCTGTAATCCAGAGGGAACTGATGCTCCCTGGTGGATTCGATCCCGCGTCACTCAGCTTCACAGTCAGAGACGTTACCACTGAGCTATTCGGGCCGCGACCAACCTCCTGTAGGACTGAGATGTAATCGCAGTGTCGAGCCACCTAGACTGGTGGTCACATTGCAACTCGATCGATAGCATTCGATCAGCACTAAGAAGGACCTGACACGCATGAGATTGATCACCACCCAGTGATCAATCAATTGTGATTACAGTTGATTGATAGTTTGCCAATTAATTGTTTACTGTATGGTTATCAGAATTGGGTGAGATAGTCTGTAATTTGTGTCTATATACATTCGTTTGTACCCACTCCTATTTTGTTGGTGGAGGTCTAAAAGAAATAGTTAGTGAATTTATCCAATTGTAGTTTTAAATGGGTTAGGGTGTATGGTATCTGATATCTGATACTGATACATACTCTTCATATATGCAAGCCGGGTTACTTGAGAGAAAAGGTGAAGAATAAAGAAAGAATTTTATAGTTGAATTTATGAGTCCATTGAAGCTAGACCACCATGGAAAATCTGGAACCACTAGATGACCGTTTCGTCCTATTGTGTGACTTCTGATAATAAAGAAAGAAGTTTATTGACTAACCAAATCGAATGTTATATACACTACGTGAGGAAACAAAATCTATAAGTGGTTTATATATATTATACCTTGTAAAATAAAATCATTCCATGGTCAGTCGTCTTCACTTGTCATTGTTCGACTTGCGATCAGTCCACTGTATCCAAACCCAAGTTCATTCAGAAGTAATGAGTAAGAAGTTATACAATCCAACATATGTAATAGGTCTTTAAAGATTTGAATGAAACATTTCTTTATACCCTTTTCATGTATTTATTTTGATACGTATGTATGGACAGGTATACATGTAATAACTTTATTCTCATCTATTAGAACTGTTGAACTTATTTTTTCACTTGGTGTTGTGTACTTGTATTTTCCCATTGTTATTTGGAACTGCAACTAATTAGTCGCTTGTTGGCATATGTGCATCCTATGCGGACTGCCTCGATATTGCCTGAAGTTACAAACTTTTTAAACAAAGATGGATAGTGGATAGCAGTGGAATCCAGGATGCGCATCTTGTCCTATTTGGGACTCGTCAGCTGGATGTACTTGAACCTTAGAGTTGATGTTCACTCTAGGACTCGAACTCAGTACCTTTCGCTTCAAACGCCATAGTGTTATCCACTTAGCTACTGAGTCCTGATAGCCACCTGCTTATGCAATGGGGTGAAGTTATATTCACTGGGTACAAGTCCCAGAGTGAAAATCAACTCTGAGATGCAGGAACATCCAGCTGACGAGTCCTAAATAAGAAGAAACGCGCGTTCTGGATTCCACTGCTAGCCACTATCCATCTTTGCTTATAAATGTTGAACTTACTGTCTTGATGATTTCATGAAGACTTCATACATATCAAAGATTATTTTAGTTAACTACAATACTGACTACAACTGTATCATTGTTACCTTCATTTAAGATATCATACAAATGAATATTTAATTGTATTGTGACGAGCCGTTTCCAAAACCTGATAATGATACACGGTATGCTACACACTAACCTCCCCAATCTAGCTGACTACTTGAGTGAGAACACAAAGGTGAATGAGAAAGTATATTGGGCTACCAAATAAAAATGTACAAATACTCATTCATTCATATATCACTCTATCATTAAGAAATCGGCCTATTTCTTAGCTAATGAAATAGACTTGTCCTCTAGATCACTTCTGATTGGCTTATCATATTAAAAGAATTAAAGGCAATTAGCCTCAATGTATTATGCATTTTGTGTAGATATGAAGTTGTTTGAAGTATTCCACAAGGAATTCTGTTCAATCTGGGTACTATCTAAGTAGAAAACAATAGCTTGTATATATACATAAGTGAGAATAAGTTTTTATCATCATAAGGTTTTTGTGGAGATTGTAGAATTTTCATAATTTGAATCAAAAACTGATCTTATACTGTTCATAATCATATGCTCACTAGTGACTAGCTTCAAAAGACACTTCCTGAAGTTCTAGTGAAAAGCCTAAATCAATGGAATTTAATCATGTCTTGCATAAGACAGATATACACCACAGTCATTGAAAGCACGTCGCACAATATGATGAATTGATTAAAGATCAGAGGGGTTTTTGTGGAAAATTTAGTATTTTCATAGTTCAGATCATAAGCCAATTGAAGCTAGACCACAATGGAAAACCTGGAAGCAATGGACAGCCGTTTCGTCCTATTAAGTGCTCTGGCACGAGACTAGAAGGTCTTGGGTTCGAATCTCGCGAGTGCGGGATCGTGGATGCGCACTGCTGAGGAGTCCATAATAGGAAGAAACGGCCGTCCAGTACTTCCAGGTTTTCGATGGTGGTGTAGCTTCAATTGAACCATGATTTCAACTATGAGAATTGATTGAAATCAGAAATGTACAACGTTAGAAGCCAAATTAATGGTATGAAGCTTAGGCACTCATACATCAGACCGAAGTTCCTGAGTTCAATTTTCTGTAAGTGAGGTTAAGGATCCACCTACAGATAGCCTCATACTAGATCAAAAAGGTTATTCAGTGCTTCCACGTTTTCAACGATGATCTGGCTTAGATCAAATCATGATTTAGGCTAGGGAGACCATCAGCTGATCAATGTTAGACCATCATCAAATTGATTAGTTCATGATTTCATTGAAAAAAAAGAAAACTTAACAATCTACACAACCCAATTACTAATGATAAAGACAATTTACTTTGCTATAAGTTTTTCATTTGATTCTTTAAGGGCTTGATTTTCACGTTTTGCATCATCAAATGCATATTGAAGCTATAAATTAAAGAAAATTAAACAAATGGATATTTTTATCAGAAGGGGTTTTTTGTGGATATTTCAGTATTTTTCTAAGTTGAAAGCATGAGTCAATTGAAGCTAGACCATCAAGAAAAACCTGAAAGAACTGGACGGCCGTTTCGTTCGATTATGGGACTACTCAGCAGTGCGCATTCACGATCTCTATCGATTAAGTGCTCTGGTGCAAGACTGGTAAGTCCTGGGTTGGAATCTTGCGAGGCGAGATCGTGGATGAGCACTGCTGAGAAGTCCCACACTAGGATGAAACGGCCGTTCAGTACTTTCAAGTTTTCCATAGTGGTCTAGCTTCAATTGACTCATGCTTTCAACTATGAAAATGAATATTTAAAGCAATTAGTGTTCCTTTGATAAATTTCGACAGGGTTAATAAGAAGACAAAGATTATCAGAACTATGTGATATATTAGCGCTTTTGTGAAGTTGTATAAAAGTGTAAAAGGGTATATACTAAGGTTTTTTGAAGCCTTAGCCATACGAAAATTCAAACCCCCCTTTTTGTATTCAAAAACAATTTGTTCTCACATTAAACCTACCCTGGTGATATTAGCTTATTATCCATGTTTCCTCTTAACCCCCTCCCCCAGTTTCTTAATTATGCTATAATCTTACAAAGTAATGGTAACCACAAGGAATGATTCTTTGGTTCAGATTCTCTCATCATCTTTACTCTTTTTTTTTTCTAATTGATTGACAGTACTTTGTATTCTCTAAATTTTCTGTGCTTCATTATCATTATGTGGTTACTATACATACTGGTTTGTATTGTTTAAAATTATTCTGATCGAGTATCTGTTATATCGCGTTGAGAATAGAGAATGGTAACTGTTGGGATCCACTTATGGACTAATACTAAACATATATTTTTATTGTGTAATTGATAAGTAACCGAACTATGCACATTCGTGTCCCTCTTATTATAAGCTTTATTTTGATCCATGAACTATTATTATATGATTTACCTTTCTTGAGTTATGTCCAGTCTATCAATTACAGTCTCCCACATTCAGAGCCATTTTGACTAGATATTGTACGAATATTGTTTCCTATTTTATGGTGTGGTATGATCTATTTGGTTTGTATATAAACCCAATATGTTTGAAATACATGACTCGTATCGCGAAGGCTGAGATTTGCGTTCTGGACTCAACAGGCAGGGTTAAGCAAGGGAAAGAACCGATAAAGACTCTAGAATGTTTGGACGGGTTTTATTCGTCATTGGTCTGGTCGATAAGTCACTGTTCTCTAATTGGCGGTATCATTACGTTATATATACTGGTTTGGGCACAAGGCCACAAGTTATAATAGTATCAAAATCTTCTAAAGTTCGTCTACTTCTCATGTTTAGATGTTGTATGCCGCTTGCTGTTATGCAGTCTATAATAGAACCGCTCGTATTAAAATAGTTCAATCTTTCTTTAATTTGCGAATATTGTAGGCCAACCGGAAACATAATCGCATTTATCAGATATAACTACACTTTTACATATAGTTTATTCTGGTTCTAACTTTAATATTGACAGTGAACCAATCGTTTATCAACATTTAAAACTGTCGACCAATGTAAAATGTAAGGAATGCAATTTCAATCCTTTAATTATATTGCTATATGGTTAGGACAGTTTTACTCTAGTGTTGAATCAATCAATGCAAATCTAACAATTATTTTCTTGTTGTATTTTGATTATTATCAGAAGGAGTTTTGTGGAGATTTCAGTATTTTCGTAGTTGAAAGAATGAGTGAATCGAAGCTATGACGATAGAAGTAACACAAATTGAAAGAAGTTAAATTTAAAAACAATTCATATCAGAGGGGTTTTCATAGATATTATAGTACTTTTAACAGTTGGGATCATGAGTCAATTGAAGCTAGACCACCATTGAATACCTGGAAGCACTATGGTGGTCTAGCTTTAATTGATTCATGAACTCAACTGTGAAACTTACTATAATATCCACAAAACTCCTTCTGATATTATTCAACATATGTTCACTAGTGACTGGCTTTAAGAGGTATTTCCTGGAGTTCTATAAAGAAGCAGTTACCAGTGGAGTTTAACCGAGTCTGTTGTGAGATAACAACTCACTGAAGATATTAGTGGGTGTGTCGCTCAATTTCGTGTATTGGTTGAAGTTAGACATCAACACCGTTAGATGCCGGCCAACTCAGTGGTCTAGAGAAGTTGAGGGCTTGAGCGCGAAACTGATGGGTCCTGGGTTCAAATCTCATGAGGCGGGATCGTGGATGTGCACTGCTGAGCAGTCCCACAATAGGACGAAACGACCTTTCAGTGCTTCCAGGTTTTCCATGGTGGTCTAGCTTCAAATAATTCATGATCTCAACTATTAAAATTACTATAATATCCACAAAACTCCTTCTGAGAATAAATTATAATTTTTAGCAGAGATTAACAAACGAAATGAGAGAAAAGTTGGTTCATAATATCAATAACCCCAGCCTGAAGATACCATGGTACTATCAGAAGACAGCCCTAAGCAAGGGAATGCCAAGATTGTCACTCTTAAAATATTATTTTAGCAAACTCAAAAGAACAATAGAAAATGACTAAATACTTCTCACTGATTGGTCCGACAATAGAATAAACTAACCAATAAGATTATTCTGAGTAAACTTTTATCTGATTGGACAACGATTGAAACTGTTAATAACCAATGAAAATACTTCATGTAAACCATTATTCAACCCAAAATTTTATTAGTTTTTGTGGATATTATGATAATTTTAATAGTTGAGATCATGAATCAATTGAAGCTAGACCAACATGAAAAACCTTGAAGCACTGGACAGCCTTTTCGTCTTATTATGGGACTCCTCAGCAGAGCACATTCACGATCCCACCTCTCCAGATTCGAACCTAGGGCCTATCCGTTTTTTGCTTGAGCGCTTAACCTCTTTAGACCGCTGAGCTGGCCGGCATCCAAAGGTGTCAATATATAACTTCAACCAATCCACGAAATTGAACAACCATTCACCAATATCATCAGTGAGTTGATATCTTCCAACAGACTTGGTTGAACTCCACTGGTTACTGCTTCTCACTAGAACTCCAGGAAATACCTCGCGGGATTCGAACCCAAAATTTACTAGTCTCGCGTTCGAGCGCTTAACCTCTCTAGACCACTGAGTTGGCCAACACCCGACGGTGTTCATACACAATAATAATAATAATAAATAATTACCTCTAATATTTTCAATTGTTGTTTAGATGCCAAATTATTATCAGATTGTAAAGAGAATAATTTTTGTTCTAATTGACTTGATTCACGTGTTAAACGTTCAATTTCTATGACTAATTGACGATTAGTTGATTGAATTATATTATAATTAGATTCAGCTTCTTTAATACGTTCTTCTAAATGATTAATCAGGAATTGCTTTTCACGTAATTCTCTTTGGGTACGTATTAAATCAAGATTTTCTTGTAAAGCAATCCTAAAGATGAAATGAACAATGAGTATTAGAATAATTGAAATGGGGGGGATGGTAAGTGAATATTAAGAACTAGGAGGTATTGGAGAATCATGGGACTCCTGAAACATTCCACCGGTGGACCGGTCACAAACTTCTACATCGAATTGAAGCCTGAAGATTCAACTCGATGGTAGGACGTCAGTGACGACTTCACAGTCAATGAACCACACTTCACATTTCCTATTAATAAATTGCAAGAGTTTGTGAGTTATGATTACCGTGTAACAGCAGAGATTCTCAAGATGAAACGAATATTGAGTATTAAATGAATTGAAAGGGGGGTTGAGGGTAAGTGAATATTAGTTTAATGGTATTCATCGTCAATCGATCTTTTTTGGAGGAACCATTGAGAAGAAGAATATATTGGATAGTCATTTCGTCTGTGTATGGGACTCCTTAACATTCCACAATCAGTATCTTATAAAAAATAGAACTCAAGATTTTCAGATCTAGTACAGAACTCTTAGGTATTAGAATCACTTAGTCAGTTTCCACTGACTCAATGCCAACCTCAGTCAATTTGTGATGATCACTCATTTCTATTGGCACATTGTTGCACTGATGTAGGTGTTCACTAGTGAAACGTCTCATATAAAATGAATGTTGAGTATTAGATTAATTGAAAGAGGGGGGATCAGTGAATATTGAGAACTAGAAGATATTGGACAATCATGGGATTCCTTAACAAAATTCCATACTCAGTATCCTACAAAGGATAGAACTCAAGATTTTCAGATCTTGTACAGAACTCTAAAGTGTCTACCAGTGGATCGGTCACAATTTTCTACATAGAAGTGAAGCCTGAAGATTCAACTCGACGATCGGATGAGAGTGCCGACTTCACAATCACTGAACCATACTTTACACTTACTACTGATAAATTGCAAGAGTTTGTTAGTTATGAGTTCTGTGTAACAGCAGAGAATAAAGCTGGTAAGATTTTCTCGCAAATTAATTCTAAAGATGAAATGAATATTGAGTATTAGATGAAATGAAAGAAGGGGGGTAAGTGAATATTGAGAACTAGAAGATATTGGACAACCATGGGACTCTTGAAACATTCCATACTCAGTATCCTACATAGGATAGAACTCAAGATTTTCAGATCTAGTACAGAACTCTTAAGTATTAGAATCATTTAATCAGTTTTCACTGACTCTATTTCAACTTAGTCAATTTGTGACAATTTGCTTTTTTTAAACACATAAATATTGGTACAAAGGAGCACCAGATATATATTCGCCACACAAATCTCATTTAATTTGTGTGAAGGCTGTGATACTGACCAGGTGCCCAAACTGGAACAGTTGGTTTTCTTAGGGAGCCACACTCGGAGCCTTTGACCTAAAACTCTGATCCACAAGGCAGTGAAGCATTGTGGGAACATGAAGTCCCATGGTAGCTGGTAACCAATGATTGATTCATACTTCATTTGTTCCCTCAGGATACTGGAGCCCATGTGCACCATTGGTTTGGAATTGTGGTTTTCCTACTCTCCTAGGTGGACTTGCCGTGTCCACCAACCCTGTTAAAGCGCCGGACATTCGCTTTCCATCCTCTCAATTTTGTAAACAACACCCCCACCACGAGACGTCAGTGAGTAGGACTTCCCTGGCAGAGGTTATATACGCGTGGCCATATGAGAGCATTTCGAGAAGGAGAGCGGACTCTTCTCACTTTCGGTCGTACCGGGGTATTTGGAGGCTTTAATTTGAATAATAGTTAAAAACTTTTAAATTTGTGGATTGGAGAATTGAAGAAAGAAATAAGTTTAATCATTGTTTTACCGATTGTTATTGAAATCATTAGTAGTAAGTAGTGATATGCCCGCAGTTTGTGAATTCAACTTGGAGACTTAAACTTTAAACATGAAAAGTGCTGAATGGCTTTGATGTCGACATTGTTTTCACAAGTGGAGAAATTCAAACACTTCACTTCTACCCGAAGTTTGTTCTGATGATATCGTTCAGAAGAATGATCAAAGTTCCATGACCAAACCATTCAGCTCAGAGAACAAAACTCCATCAATATTTAGAGTGTGTCTAGAATTAAAGTTGGAACTTGAAACGATAATATTCGTACCATTCAATATGTGCGATGTCAGGAAGGTACACATTGGAGATATTAGATGATGGTTGCTCGGTATCGTGAACTGATTAAAATTAGACTTGCACATCATAGGATATTGACCCAGTAGTCAGAGGATAAGCATTCGTTTATGAGACTTAAGGTCTTGGACTTGATTCTTTGCTTCGAAATTGTGGATGAGTAATGGTGAGAGGTCCCATAGTTAGACGAAAAGGTCTATCAGTGATTTCAGGTTTTCGTTGATCGTCTTAATTGGATCAGTTGGTGATTTCAATAAAATTAAACCTTTTCCACAACGTAATACTGGTAATTATCATGTCCTCCCTAGTAACTAGATAAAAAATGAAATCTCCGAAGTTCTGGTGCAAAGTGACCAATGGAGTTCAACCATGTCCAATAAGAGTTAATAACTGACTTATTTTTCAACAGAATTTTTTCAGATGTTTCTGCATTTCAGAGTTGATGTTCATTCGGAACTCAAAACCAGTAAGGTTGGCTTCAAACGCCATCGCACTGCAATAATGGATATCAAGACAACCTTCATAGAAGTTCCATATACCAACCAAGGGTAATCAAATTTCAATCAGAAATATCAACAACAAGATAATCCAAATCATTTCAAAATGAATTTTGAAAAAACTCATTCCCTTTATACAAATGAATGACTATCTAAACTTAAGGGCTAAGTGAATAATGAGATGGCGTTTAAAACAAAAGGTACTGGTTTCGAATGACACAATGAATATCAACTTTGAGATTCAAGTATTCCGAGTTAATGACGAGTTCAAAATAAAACAAAACTCTCACCTTAGATCTGACTGTCAACCACATTCTATTTATATCATAATAGTAATATCAACTCAGTCCACGCTGCGTTTTCATAAATCATCCAAGGCTGAATAAAATTCAGTCAAACAATACTTACTAACTTACTTACTTACGCCTGTTACCCCGCATCGAGGAGCATAGGCCACTCACCAGCATTCTCCATCCAACCCTGTCGTAGGCAATCCTTTCCAGTTCTTTCCAGTTAACATTCATCTCTTCCATGTCTCAGCATGTTCTTTGGCCTTCCTCTTTTCAGCTTCCCTTCCGGATTCCTAGTTATGGATTGCCTTGTAATGCACATTGGTGATTTCCTTAATGTATGTCCGATGCAATTCCAACGTCTTTTCCTAATTTCCTCTTCAGCTGGAAGCTGGTTTGTCTTCTCCCATAGAACGCTGTTGCTGATAGTATCCGGCCAATTGGTGTTGAGTATTTTGCGTAGACAACTGTTTATAAATACTTGTATCTTCCTGATGATAGTCGTAGTAGTTATCCACGTTTCAGCTCCGTGCAGTAGGACTGTCTTGACGTCCGTTAGGAAGATTTTGACTTTGAAATTAGTTGACAGTTGCTTAGAGTTCCATATATTCCTCTATTGTAGAAATGCTGCTCTTGCTTTGCCAATCGTCGCCATTACATCTTCAACCGATCCTTCTTGTTCATCAATGATGATTCTCGGGCACGTGAACGTTTCCACATCTTCCAGAGTTTCTTCATCCAGTGTGACTGGGTTGGTGTTCTTCGTGTTGTATTTGAGAATTTTACTTTTTCCTTTTTGCATGTTAAGCCCTATTGATGCAGAAACTTCTGTCACATTTGTTGTTTACAGCTGTATTTGTTCGTGTGTATGAGATATGAGGTCTAGGTCATCTACGAAGCTCAAATCTTTTAATTGATTCTGAGATGTCCATTGTATTCCGTGCTCCATACAGTCAAACTAACTGTCTCAAGGTTCATATTGGATATCCTTAATTTGATATTGTTTGATAGACAATTGTTTTGAGTTCCATATCTTCTTCAATTGTATAAATATCGCCCTTGTTTTGCCAATCGCCCAATCAAACAATTACTTACTTACTTACTTACTTACTTACTTACTTACTTACTTACTTACTTACTTACTTACTTACTTACTTACTTACGCCTGTTACTCCCAATGGAGCATAGGCTGCCGACCAGTATTCTCCAACCCACTCACTCTGTACTGGGAAACAATCAAACAATGCGAATACCAAAGTAATTCTCATTAAAAAAAGAAAAAGAAAAGGGGGGGGAACACTTTTTTCCCCATAAACATCACCTTTGTTTTGATGTGACTTGTTCACCAAGGGTAACTAAATTATTCGTATGAATTTTCTCTTTTATTTGTAATTCTTCTTTTAATTGATCAATTAATTCATTACGTTCTTTTAATTGTTCTGATAATTTTTGTATCGTTTTTTCACTGAATTATAAAAATAAAACAAATGAATGCTCATGGCGATGATTACATTATATACTACTGATATCCATAGATATAAGTAGTATGTAACATTAATAGAAAATGAAATGCCTGGCAACAGAAAGTTAATAATATCGAAGAGAAGAGAAGAAGAAAAGAGAATAGTTGGCATGGAAACGAAAGAATAATGAAGTATGAGACAATTGATGGATATTTTGCAAACGAAGTATTTACTGTATGAATTCACTTAATATTGTTTGTTTCAATCTTCCCAATGATCAGTCTCATAGTAGCATATGTGCACCGTGTGCGGATTGCCTCGATATTGCCTGAACTCACAAGCATTGTAAGCAACGAGGGATAGTGGCTAGCAGTGGAATCGAGTTTAAGGCGCGTTTCGTCCTACTTGGGACTCGTCAGCTGGATGTACCTGCATCTCAGAGTTGATGTTCACTCTGGGACTCGAACCCAGTACCTTTCGTTTCAAACGCTATCGCGTTATCTACTCAGCTACTGAGTCCTGATATCCACTTGCTTGTAAGATTCTTAACCTTGACTAAGAGATTTTGTAATGTTGTATTAAAATAAATTCGATTGTCCCCACTTGTATGTTCTCATTCACTACAGTATCACTAACTGATTTTATCTAGATAATTAGTGAAAATGAGGAACCACTGGAAAACTGCTTCATTGGAGTATGATACCAATTAGCAATATAAATCACTGAATATGGATTGAGTAATTTAAAGGTCAAGCACTGGTTGAAAGATCTGAAGTTCTCGATTTCAAACCTTTGTATGGCTTTGAATAGGTACTGGTTAGGAGTCTTATTCTAGGATGGAACACGTGTATAGTCCTTCTTGATTTTTAATGATTGTCTAACTATAGTCAATATGTAATGTAAGCTAAAAAAAAGTGTGAATATTTCAAACGATGATGAAAACCGATAGATTTTTCATAGTTGAAATCACGAGTCAATTGAAGCTAGACCACCATGGAAAACCTGGAAGTACTGGACGGTCGTTTCGTCCTATTATGAGACCCCTCAACAGTGCGCATCCACGATCTCGCCTCTTGAGATTCAAACTCAGGACCTACCAGTCTCGCGCCGGAGCACTTAACCGATAGACCACTGAATCAGCCTGGATCCAACGGTGTCAATGTCTAACTTCAACCAATTCACGAAGTTTGAGCAACCGTTCACCAATAGTCTTCAGTGAGTTGTTATCTCACAACAGACGTGGTACCGACAGATGATTGATTTTTACGAGGGTTACCTTTTGTTTGACCGATTTGTTACTATAATATGTCTAGTGAGCATACAAACTGGGGTTATGAAACATCACTATTTTATAGAATTTAGAGTACATTAATCGTACTCTATTCAAGATATCCATTCAGAATGATTGCTTTCAGTGTTATGAAGTTCTTGATGGTAGATGGTTTACTTGAACTGCTTTCATTATCATACTGGATAACATGTCTAGGGCTTACATCATGTAAAAATATGCGTTATAGTTATTGCAAAAGCTTTAAATCATTTCTTCCTGATATCAGAAGGGGTTTTGTGGAGATTTCATTAATTTTATAGTTGAATTCATGAGTCAATTGAAGCTAGACCATCATAGAAAACCAGGAAGCACTGGACTATCGTTTCGTCCTATTGTGAGACTCCTCAGCTCCGCGTATACGCAATTCCGCCTCACGAGATTCAAACCCAGGATCTATAAGTCAATGGAGGACGATTGGTCAACTTCGTGAATTGGTTGAAGTTAGACATTAACACTGTTGGATGCCGACTCATCGGTCTAGAGTTTAAGCGCTCACTTGCAAAACTGAAAGTACCTGGGTCTGATTCTCGCGAGGTGGGATCGTGGATGGGCACTGCTGAGGAGCCCCACAACAGGACGAAACGGCCATTCAGTGTTTTCAGGTCTTCCAGATATCTTTATTTATGATCGACTGTCTTCACAGATTTTGCTTATTTCAGTTACCTTTGTACTCAATTTGTCTATCTTGTTTCATTGACCTCTAAACATGTGGCTGGTTAACATTTTTGTAAGGTTTGATAGCTCAGATTTATGTCGATGCATTTACTGACTTCAAATGGATCCGGAAGCCATGTTTCTAGAAATGTTCTAGCTAGAGAATTTCCAGAATCATGGCCTCCGGATCCATTTGAAGTCAGTAAATACATCGACTTCAAACTGAGGAAGGAAGACTATCTCTTCTGAATCACTAGACTTAGTCCACTGTGATTTGATTTGTTACTGGAATTTAAGATAGCCATTTAGACGTGGCAACTTATAATCAAATTGACTTCTGATGATCATCTAGGATATTTCAAATTAATGAACAGGAATTTGAAACAAGTGTACTACCATAAATAAAGAACATTCTAAAAAAATATAGAAGTGACCGGGAACATGTTGATATACAAGAATCAAGAATGTGCAACTTATTCATATTGACTTGAAAGAATTATTAATAAATGATCAAAGAACTAGCCTGAGATTTTTCAGACGGGGGTTTTGGGTAGATTTTAATAATTCAACTAAAGCTAGACCACCATGAAAAACCGATAAGTCTTAGGTTCAGATCTCACGAGCGCGAGTATGGATTCGCACTGCTGAGGAATCTCATACTAGGATGAAATGGTCGTCCAGTTCTTCCATGATGATTTCAATAATTCAACTAAAGCTAGACCACCTTGGAAAACTGATAAGTCCTGGGTTCAAATCCAACGAGTGGGATCATGGATGTGCACCGCTGAGGAATTGAATGTGACCAACTTGGTACTAGGTAAGGATGGTAAATCGATTGATGAAGTAGTGAAACTTCACCAGTTGAGATGGCTGGGACACTTATTACGTATGCTCAACCACCGACTGCCACGACGTGCAATGTTTTATGGTGTAGGAGTAGGTTGGAAGAAAGCTAGGGACGGCCACACCAAAAACGTGGCATAAATCCATGAAGTCACTGACAAGTGGACTGAGCCATGCTGGTAGGTGTAGACTACCTGGTTGGGATTCGCCAGATGATAGCAATCGATGGTTAGAGACCTTGAATGACATGACTCAAGATCGTTTGCGATGGCGCAGGTGCATCCACTTTTTGTGTTCTCCCAAATTCTAAACTTCTGAATTCTTCATGTCTCTAGCCTTTTTCTCTTTCCAAATTTATTCCACTGGATTATACTCCTTCAATAACATCTTCAAACTCTAATCTTTCACATAATGCTTATACTCTTACTACCACTATGGGATTTGAATGGACAACTGCATCTCTGTGCTAGTGTGGTACGGCAACCCGAACTGATGTACGTTCGTACGTACGAAGTTCTACGTTGTGACTGACTTACTGACTGTTCGCTGAGGAATCTCATACTAAAATGAAATGATATTCCAGTTCTTCCACGATGATCTAGCTTTCATTGACTCAACTATTTATCTAAAATGTATAATATCTATGTATACTCTATAACTTACAATGCAGAATTTTGAAAACGTAATGTTTGTATAACATTAGAATTATTTATTGGTTTTTCTCCAACACAAGAATTACGACCTGTTGTTTGAATAGTTGCGGAACTCGCTTTCCGAGCTGAAAGTGGCTAATAGTTGATGAAAGTAAAAATAAAAAAAGGAAAAACAAAACGGTTTTGATCAAATCAATTTTCATAATCAATAGTTGATGTATTTGGTTGTACTATTGTGTAGTGAATGAGAATATAAGTAGAGACAGTCGAATGTATGTGAATAAAAAATTACATCTTAGTCAAGTCTAAGAACCAGAGTGAAGATCAACAAGTCTGAGATGCAGGTAAATCCCGCTGACGAGTCCCAAATAGGACGAAACGCGCCTTAAACTGGATTCCACTGCTTCCCACTATCCATCTCCGCTTACAATGCTTAAGAATTAATGATATATCGGGGCAATACGCACAGGATTCACATATGTCAATAAGTGACTGGTCAACTGCAGTCTTAAACATCAATTGGAAGATTCAAATAAACAATACCAAATGAATATGATCCATATCCAGTAAGTCAATCAGTCAGCTACAACGTAGAACCAGGCACATTTATGCATCGGTCCAATTTGCCATACCTCACTCGTTAGCACAACAACATGAACACCGGATTCATAGAAGTAGTTAATCTAATGGTGGTAATATATACAAGAAAGGTTTTATATAAGGATATAGTATAGGAAGGAAGACAGATATGGAGCAATTTTAATCTCAAGGTTTAAGGGAAGATAAAGAGTGTATACACCTACGCCATTGTGATCGATTCAGAACCATGTCATCTTGAGTCTCCAACCATTGGTTACGATAGTCACGCGGACCCCAACCAAGTAGTCTGCATCTACCAACATGGTTCAGAATAGAAGTTAGTGACTTCAAGCACTGGTGACACGTTTTGGTTTGGCTGCCCCTAACTTTCTTCCAAAAATACCCAATACTAGTCAGCATTACGCGTCGTGGTAATCAGTGTTCAGGCATACGTAACACGTGGCCTAATCATCTCAGTCGATGAAGATTCATGATCTCATCGCTTGATTTACCATCATTCCCTAATACTGTCTGTCTAACCTCATTATTACTTACCCGGTGATCCCAGTAGATGCGAGCAATATTTCTAAGGCATCTGTGGTCAAATATTAGTAACTTACGAGTATCTTCTACTTTTAATGGCCATGTTTCACAGCCGTAAAGTAGAACAGAACGAACTGCTGCGCAGTATACTCGTCCCTTAATTGATTCATATTGTTTAAATAAACAATGGTCATCACTTCAAAGTTTTATTATAATAAAACTTATGAGCAAATAGATTGAAGGAATACTTAATGGCATAATAGGCACTTGAAATGATGAGTAATGGATTCAGTGAATAATCATAGTACATTAACATATTCACATGGTAACTTATCTATCTGAGAAGTCTCAAATAAAATGAAGATCATGTTTACAGTTTGATTGTTTAAACACATTGTGAAGTAAACGGAAACTGATAAACACTTACTGCACTGCCAATTCTTTGTTTTTGAACATTTAACTGATTTTGTACTAATGCTAACTGTAGAGAAAAAGAAGAAGAGAAACGTTAGGGTTAAAATTGTAAAATGAAACATATACTATTTGAGACACATCAACTACATGTATCTGCATCTTAAAGTTGATGCTCACTGCGAGACTCGAGCCCGGTACCGTTCACTTCAAACGTAAAGGCAATATAGAGGTAATACGCAGAGGATTGATATACGTCAGACGAGACTGATCAACTGCAGTACTAAACATCGATTGAAAGATCTAAATAATCAAATTGTATGTATGATAAACTATCATTTACCGAGTGACAACTTGAATGCGGTTGTAATAATAGCCTCATTACAGTCAGACGGGCAAATTAAACGAAGTTATGAGGCTCTAGTGAGGCGTGCTGGCGGCGTCAATAAAAATGTACTGCATCACTTAGATTTATTAAAACTTAATCGATGGAACTTGTTTAGCATCATAAATTAGATAACGTCAATGAATGTTACCATTTCTATCTTCAAGTAGGTCAGTCACAGCCTTAAAAGCTCATAGATAATTTGTCTCACTTTCATACTGGATAACTTAAATATTATTCTTAAGTAGAGTATGTATCATTTTAAAATGTTCAGATAATCCGCTGTTGATGATGTCCAAACTAACACAAAACTTAGAGCCATGTGTTCTTAGACTTGAAGTTATTGGCAAGTTTTTCACTGTTCACTACATACGACTTATCGAATACCTTGGATCGTTTTTTATGTCTTTAATGTGGAAGAACACCATATTAGAGTGTAATTTTCATCACAACTATTTGATATGAACCTGTACAGTGGATGGCGGGCTTGCCTATTGTGATGAACCAATCGAGCTACACTAGCTGGAACAATCGTTAGAAAAAGTCGACCCTTAAAATGCACACCTCGCCTTATCCCATGGATATCCGTCTTCGGCGGTAAGATACCAACAAGTACGAAGCTAACACAAAAACTACCCACAAAAAGGTCGTATGTGACCGACCTCAAGCAGTTGTCCCTTGGGCACTACGGTCACGCTCTCAGGTCATTAAGACCACTTCTAACCCAATTTCTTATTCAGATACCTCTAGAAGAACCCTTACACGGTGTGGGCAACCGGGAAGTGATAACTGCCCTCATACCTTTAACAGCGCTCAATACTGATAGATATGCTAAATGTTTGGATTTGAAAATGAAACATTCTATGTGAATTGTACTTTGATATACACCTTCCAATCACTAAATGAATGGAGAACTGACCAAAACTTTCGAATAAGATACACTTATTGATGTTTACCTTTAACCCCATGAACATCAGAGATAAAAGTTGACAATCAACTTACTAGGACTCATTTCAATTGTTAAACGTACTTTTCGTGTCAATGTAGCATTTTTTCTTTCCAACACTTCAATCTGTTCTTGATAATCTTCTTTCAATACAGATCCAGGATCAGAATCTTTCTTATCATTAGCTAAACGTAAAATTTTAGTTGCCATTCTATCAAAAAAACAAACGAGATAAATAAAAAGAGAAAATAGATTCTATCATAATTTTGTTTACTTTTTAATACGTTCCTCTTGTTTACATGCATGTTTTTTTAATGTCAAATAATCATCATACAATCGTAAGTATTGATCTTCCAATTTTTCTTTAGACCATGAACTAATGGCATTTTTACTTTCCATTGGATAATTGTTGGTTGCTTTAAGCTCTGGTTATGGTTTACCAATTTATCAGATCTGTAAGGGAGTATTAAAGAGACGGAATAAACATATGAACTCAATATAATGCATGTACTAGCTCATTATAAATAAATTTAATAATCACGAAAAAGTTATCAACAATTTCAAGATAGGTCCATAGTTCGAACCCTGATGAGATTGTAAAACAGGACTAAAGAGCAGTCACATACTGGTATAAAACAGTTACTCAATGCTTCATAATTATGACTAGTTGCTTGGCTAAGATTAGTTGGTGATGCAAACTATTAAAATCAACAGCCTCCACAAACATATATGTACAAACTCATAAGTAATTTATGAAGTAACCAAGTGAACCGATCCTCATTTCTAAGAAAATGATTTTGTTATTTTATTTCCGATGTTCAGAAATCATCAACTTAGAGTTTGAAAAAGCTTAAAGTTGGGTAAAGTTTTCATATCAGATGAGCACAAGGAGATGGCATTAATGAAGTGAATAAAAAGAAGTGAAATGGTGTAGTAGCAGTAGCAATTCAAAATGCTAGGCTTTAATAAAGTAATTCAAAAAGGCGAAACAAGGTTATATAAAAAGGAATACTAGAATTTAAGATAGAGAAATGATATAGTTTGAATCTATCTGTGCCACTGTGAAAAACGTCAAGTCATATCACCTAACTTATGGAACAAATGATTACCGCTACTTTGTAGAACATAATGACTTCATGGACTGACACTGTGGTGAATGATACGTATGCCAACAGATATAAGTGGTATGTGGCCACAACTGGAAGTTGAATGCTTGACAGGAGAAGGTTAAATTGCAGAGAACAGAAAGGAAATCTGAGAGCAATCAAAATGACAACAGAATTAAAGGAATGATGAAGTAGGTAAAAGACCATAAGAAGGGAATAAACAAATAATTAATTTAATGTATGATTTTCATGTTTTACTAGGCCACTGTGTAATTTCACATAAAAAAATAAACTGTTTTTCTTTACCTAGGTTCTCGCTTACTACAAAACGACATTTTGACTTGGTCGCACACATCTTTCTTCAAGCTTACTCCTACACCAACAAACATCACTGGTCTAGGTATGTCATAGTTAGGTGTATGTAACGCACATTCTGATCACATCAATTGAGGAAGATTAGTAGTTTGACCAGCCTATTTGCCATCTTTGCCTGCAACCCTATTTCTAACCTCCTCACTGCTGACTCAACAGTTTCACGAGACGCGAGTAGTGATTCAAAGATACCTATGAGCAAAACGTTGTAGCCTAAGCATGTCTTCTAGTTGTACGTCTTTATTTTATACATGTAGAGTTGTGAAGAGAGAAACGATACGTAGCATACATGTTGAGATTGTTGTTTGGTGTGATACTATATATCAGCTAGACACATACAGACTCCATTTATGATAAATGTTAAGACGGGAATTACCATTGAAACCTGTATTAGGCATTTGAAACTAGCTGTGGAAATTCAACATTGTTGTTGATTACTAGAGAAGGTTTTAAACTGAGTGAATAGATGTTAACTAAAATATATACAATCTAGGAAGAAAAATGGAATGTTTGAGTGAAATGGAACTTTCGGGGGTTTCTAAAGCCAAAAGTAGATGTGTATTTTTATCTACGTGATTTAAATAACATTGAATTTTACTGAATCATACTTTTCGAACTTGATGTGTGCCATTTTGCATTACATTATCTAATATACATATGTATGTTAAGAAATGATGTGCTACTTTGAAATTTTGTCTTAACACAATCAACGTTTTCAGAAATACTCAGTCATATTTGGTGTGGTTGGTTTCATTTGTGAAAAGTATGGTTATCAAGTAAGTAATTGAAAAAATTTGAAAGCTGTTATTTTGAGTGAATAAGATGCTCTTGAAGTGATATACTCTACCAGTTAACTCAGTTTTAAGTACGGAAAGTTTTGCCTATTTTATTCATACCGATTCTGTTTCTTATTAAATGGTCATTTTAGAACAGTGTTGAAAATAGTGCATTAAGTGTAGGAATTCTGAGGGGAGAGCAAAGCACTGATTCTCTTGAACACAAACACTTTTTGTCTACAAAGAGAAACTTTATTGTCTCTACATGTAACTTCAAATTAACCTAGTGCTTCGTATCGAAAATTAGAAACTTCGTTAAGATTTATAGGGGATTGGATTTTAGTTACCCAACTAAGTACAGCAACTTAAAACAAACAGGCGTAGCGTACAAAACAGTCTGGAATTTTCCTCTTCGCTTGCATATTTTATTTCAAATACTGCCAAGATATACACATTAACAAAACAGATATCTATTTTACGCGGTCATTTTTAGTGAGAATCTTCACAAACGACATTACAAAGATAATTATTAAGTTCAAATATACAATATACTTCAAGAAGATTTTCTGTATTTTTCAAAGAGTTAAAAACTGTAGAGTTTTGATCGGAGCTTATTAGGTTCACTCGCAAAACGATGAATACACGCTATCAGAACTTAACACTTCTAACTTTGGAAAACTTCAATTATGGCATTATTCTCACCATATCTCAAACGATATGTGGGAAAATCGGCTTAATTTTTTACATAACAATAGAGAAACTTTATTTCAGGCGGCTGGTTAATATGATTTCAAAAGATTTGAACATAGAGAAATCAAAAAAGATTATGATCAGAGAATAAATATTTTCATCCATCAAATCACATACATTACAATAACGACAATCAGACAAGATAGCCTACAGGACTCCAAACCAAAAGTTACACTAGAAACAGATTCACATGATCAACACATTATAACAAAATCTTTTGTTGTAGCATATAATAAACCGATTGCAATTAAATAAAGTATTAATGATGCAAATCAAATTGTTCTTCTGACTCACCTATCAAACCCTGCATTTTGTCTGAAATCACGTACTAAATGATCGTCTATCTCATTGAAAACTCTTTGAGAGAACTACCTAAACGATTAAAAGGGAACGTGAGTGTGGTCAAAGAAGCTGATTTCTGATTATCTGTTTCTACCAGTAATAGATTACTAACGCCCTAAATTCAGGACAAATGTAATGACGGAATGTTCGGATGAGGTATTTTTATGCAGTTCGCGAAAGTTAACTACTATCCCCCCTTAAAGCTTCAGTAAAGTCACATCAATCACGTAAAATAAGATTGCAAGATAACTACTCCTAAGGAATCGTAAGTACTCCATCAATCGATATTGGTTTGTAGGGTTAGTTGAATGTTACTGCACTCTAAGCAAATCATTCCTGCATTCAAGTCAGTCAGTGTCAGGTTGTTGCCAATCCTCACCAAGGTCAAGAACAAACGACGATCATCAATTAATTGTGCTCTATGGGTTGTCCCGTGCAGCAGTGGTCTCACTTTGTTTATTGTGCTACTCTTACTAATATATTTATGATATAACATCGTTTGTGTTGTACGACCATCAAACCGGCTATGGTAACTGGATATCACGAATGAGCAATCCATGGTAAGTACCAACTGCAAGGCGTGACTTCTCCGTTAGCTGGTCGTTCATGCCATTCTCGTCTAACTCGAGTAAGCCTCTGAACATTCGAAACAGATAGTCATAGGTTTCGAATTACAGGTTTGTTGCTTTCCGTCTACTGTTGGTGTCTTAACTAAACCTAACGAATTTGAAGGGTGTTTACAAAACACATTTTTGCGTATTACGTCTGCACTTGTTTTCTTGTGAACGTATTATATTCTAGGCATGATGTTTTTATTGCTTTCACGATAACCTCGTGAAATACTGCAAAGAAGATTGATTTTGTAGCTCATAGGTCTGAATCCTGAAAAAAATTATTATCCTTCAAGAATATAGGAAGAAATATTTCTTCGTACAAAGTGAGGCTAAATCGAACTGCAAAAACGAGTTAAGGCTCCAAGATAAGAATTATTTCGGTTGTTGCTTTGTACCGTAACATTCCACAAATATTCTACTTTGCAATTTTCATGGTCGAAAGTTGGAAAACCTGGCAGGCATCTTCAAGAAATTTCAAAACTTCCCGATATTTTTAATGACAATTTCCAAGTTGATCAACCGAAAAGTAATTGCATTGAAATGTTTAGACATTGTAGGTTCCATTTAACTGCGACCAAATCTTTTTCGGGAAAATGGAGGACAGCACTCAGAGTAATGTTGATAGTTGACGTAATACGAGATTACTACCGAAAGAAAAACTTACAGAATTGATGGAAAAACCCCATTGATTCAAGATAAATCTGCCCCTCATCTTTGTCGTGATTAATTTTTTTCCTTTTCTAGGACTGCTTTGCTGTCCACTATATAGCCTAATTTGCTTAATTAATTTACTATGTGCGTAATTGGACGTTACCTTGATCTACCACATAGCTTTAGCTCGAGGTTTTATCCTGTACATTTACGATTAAAAGCCTGCTATCATAATGTTAGTTTTGTAGTGACAGTGGGAAAATACTAAAGACACGACTCTTCACACCAATTCCTAAGTTTCCCCTTCAGGAGTTACACTGTGGATTAGGTTAACGAAAATCAATGTTTAGAATAGAAACCGCATCAAAAATCGATGTGTATCACTTTCATCTTTATGCTAAGTACTTTATTTTATAGGGAGGCTTGCAGAAGTTTTTATGTCACAGAATATCTTACAGCTGAGATAGCGTACTTCATAAGAGAAAATGGAGCGAATCGGTACTAGCTTACGTAGATTAAGCAGTCATAGCGTGGTAAGTCAGCAATATGATATGCGACTCGTTATCTTGTTAGCAGAATTGCACTAAAATCGATCATAAACCTGAACACCATGAAGTATTTCGACTTTGTTAAGTGTCGACCACTGTTGATTTACGAGTAGCCTCTGCTTAACCTAAACGTGTAGTTCTTACGAGTATTACTAACCTATTTTTACTGCGTCTTATCAAAGAAAAGTTTCGAATTTCGGATACGTGAATTATATGCTGACACACATGGTCACTGAATTCATTAAAACACGGAATTTGAGCCTAATTCGTATGACATTATTTCAAAGGCAAGTAACATTGACAATATAAAATAACCTAACATTAAAGCTGACCCACCAAACACTGAAGTATGTATTGTGCAAAGTGACGTACTGTGCAAAAACTTATTGTTGAATATAGCCGATACGTGCTTCAGAGTTAACAACGATACTACCAAGAAGATGAAGTGGAAACCCCTGTCTGACAGAACCAAGTTAATCATCAAGCGCGACTGATATCATACAATAAAAAGCTTAAAACGAACTGTAGATAATAACCAAGGTAACAAAAACTGGGAAATATGGTTATACAGATCCTGAATGGAGGCCGACATACAAACCAAGGACTAGAATTCAGGAAACAGAAATACTATCGACGGAGATACTTCGAATCGTTCATTTTTTGTTAACTTGGTACGAATTATTTCGCTTTTAGTTTCTGATCTTCAAATGATAGTTACAAATATTTAAGAACATGTGTGCCTATTTGGAAATCAGCAACTTGAAATCTCAAGCATCTAAGCTTCATTTAAACAGGAATATGAATGAAAAATATGAGAACCAGTAATAATGGTGACGACAAATATTCAATGGCACTGCATACAAACCAACACATTAAACTTGAAACTACAGCACTGTTAGATCAGTGTCAAACATGATTACTTTAAAAGGCAAAGAGAACTCAGAACATAAAATTTCATATTAAGTATGGTTAACTAAATTATAACAAAGGGCTATCAATGGCATCGAGCGAACGAGCTGCGCAGTAAATCATATTGACAATGGGCACAACTAAGCATCAGCAGGCACTCTGTATTCCGTTCCTCTAATCTATAGGCAACCAAACAACTTCTTACACATGGATATAATCAGAAAAGCACCAAAATAAAAGCCAGATGCAGAAGTTAAAGAACATTTAAATGATGTCAGTATTTGGTCTGCCTTAGGGGAAAAACAGATGAACCAAAACAAAGACAGAGATCTTAATGTAACTAGAACGCATAACGTCAAACTATTTAGTGTCCTAACATGTACCTTTACTCTATGAATTTCTGGAAAACAGAACTCGTCCTTTGTTTGAAGCATATCTTTCTTCTTTAAATAATCATAAGCGGATACAATTAATCATTTCAGAGAACACTGCAGGAATTGAAAAAACAATAATGAACATATTTTATATATATTAAACGATGGACTAAAATTGTAAGAGAAATATGAATGTTTTTTTTCAAATTCTAGAACTATTTAGTTGTAGTAGTAAAGCTTTTATGAAGATAACGAAGACAAGGAAAGTAGAAAAAAATGAAGTAGAAACAGATATAATGAGAAGAATATCAGCAAGTCATAAATGCACAAATGATCACAACACAAAAAACATGTGTGGAACAAAAAGGAGATTCTGTTAAATATAATAGAGAAAAAGTTATATAAGAGATATAAGTATATGTATATATTTATGAGGGATAATAGTATTCTGAGAATAGTCCACTTCATAACGATCCATAGAAATTCACTACAATTGGAAACAAACAAAACGATGTAAGAATATTAAATTGAAAAATCATATGCTACTTATATGTAGAACAGATATTCTATTCAATCATTGTGTAACATCTAACAATTCTCCTTTAGAACAGTTAGAGATTTCACGAGTAGTAGTTGTGAGTAATGCAGTAGTTAGGAAAAGGGTACTAGGTAAGGATGGCAAATCGATTGATGATGTAGTGAAACTTCATCAGTTGAGATGGCTGGGACAAGTGTTACGTATTTTCCAACCACCGACTGCCCCGACGTGCAGTGTTTTATGATGTAGGACTATGTTGGAAGAAAGTTAGGGGCGGCCAAACCAAGACTTGGCACAAATCTATGAAGTCACTGACAAGTGGACTGAGCCATGTTGGTAAGTGTAGACTACCTGGTTGGGATGGTTAGAGACCTTGAATTACATGGATCAAAATCGTTTGCAAAGGCGAAGTTGCATCCACTCTTTGTGTTCTACCAAGTTTTAATCTTCTGAATCCTTCATGTCTCATCTTTTTTTCTCTTTACAAATTTATTTCATTGGATTATACCCCTTGAATACCGTCTTCAAACCCTAATCTTTCACATTATTGTTTATACTCTTACTACTTTTACCACTATGAGAATTGAATTGACAACTGTAACTCTGTGTTAATGTGGTATGGCAACTCGAACTGATGTTCGTAAGTACGAAGCTCTACATTGTGACTGACTGAGTAGTAGTAGGGCGAGTAGGGGTACTACAGGGAGTCCTACTCGCTCCTTGTATATTGAGAAGTGCAAGAAGCAGAACTGAGTGCACATGTGGTTTATTTTATCATTTTGTTCTGTCATATGCCCTGTGCTTTGAAACCCATTTCGAGACATAGAATTGGTGAAAGGGATAGTGGACTTTTCGTTTCGTTGCGATTGAAAAGGAAGATAGCGTGCTAATGCTTAATTTGCGTTTAGTCGCTTCAAAATTTCGATGGAGATGGTTGTCGATTGACATGCTGCGAATGGCGGACGAAATAAAATGCCTGGAGAATATCAAACTATTTTTATTATACGGCTGCAGCAATTAAACGAAAACATCGGAATTCTATCTAGTATTACCGAAATATAAATGGATTGGAAATAACTATAACCACAATAAATTGTATTTCAAGAGAACCCAAACGAGACTGAATACAATCATAATGAGTTGTACAACCACTGTTTATAAAATGGGAATTTAAATCTAGATACATCTAATTTTTAGCATTTTACTACGCACTCCACCAATAACAACAACAACAACAAATTATGATCGAACAGAAAAAGAATTTCGAGGCTACCAAATGCAGATCAAGTGACATTACGCTAACTTTTTTTTTAAAGCCCCCAAATGCCCTGGTACGGCCGAGAGTGTGGAGAGTCTACTCTCCCTCTCGAAATGCTCTCACATGGCCAGCGAATATAAAGCCTCTGACAGGAAAGTCCTACTCACTGCCTTCTCACACCACAGGTGTTGTTTACGAAAGTGGGAGGACGAAAAGCGAATGTCCGGCGCTGTAACCGGGTTGGTGGACACGGAGGGTCCACCTAGGGGAGTTGGAAAACCCTGATTCCAAACCAATGGTGCACATGGGCTCCGGTATCCTGATGGAACGAATGGCGGACGAACCTGTCATTGGTCAACGGCTACCATGGGACTGCATCTCCTCACGATGCTCCACTGCCTTGTGTATCAGACCTTTTGGTCAAAGGCTCGGGGTGTGGCCCCCTAAGAAAACCACCTGCTTCGGTTTGGGCACCCGGGTAGTATCACAGCCCACACACACAAATAGTGTGGCGCATATGTACCTGGTGCCCTTTTGTACCAATATATATGTGTTTAAATAAATAAATAAATAACTTTTTTAAAAGTGTGCTCTATAGAAAACATATATTCTCCACCTGAATTGAACTCAACTGAAATAAACGTTCTCACAGGAATAGCACATTAGGAAACTGCTTGTCATTCTAGTTCGGAACTCATCATTACTTAATGGCATCATGGCAACTAAGGCAACCTTTAGACTGCATAGTCGTTTCATAATGTTAACCTATTTCAAACAAAACAAAGGACTACTCGATAGTGCTGGTGAATGGTTGCACTAACTCCAGGAAATGATTGAATTTGATCAGTTGCCTGTTCTTACTATGATCAAAGTCAACATAGACGTCAATGGTTAGTGAAAATATGATGATCGTCTGAGTGGGATATTTGAGAAGGTAGTTTTCGTCGCAGACATCAGTCCTCGACATCTTTGACTTTCTCTACAGTGACTATGACATAGAAAATTATCAGCCAGTTAAATAGCTGATACAACTAAGTTCGAATTTGAAGAACTGAGGACAAATTGAAACGAGTACAGAAATCTGAAGCTATATTTCTCACTATGGGACTATAGGATTTTATGATACGGTCACCATATGTCGAAGAGTTGGCATGCACAGCTAAGGAATTAAGCTAAAACAGTTGTTCAGAGGTATCTGATGTCTAACAGCATCAGTCCATGACATAAATGATCAACAGGAGGAAAAGCCAAGTTGATTAAACACACGTTGTTTAAGCCGATATTTGAATAATCCAGAATTACTTCGACAAGAGTATGTGCATATATTCCAAAAAAAAACTAAAGATGTGAAGAAACACAATGACTGAACTAAGGTCAAAATGAACAACACAAGAGCAGAGACAATTAATCCAGGGAATCTAAATGGTCTTTAATAAAATAAACTATGAATGATAATTACTATATAAGATGTTCTTACCGTTGGTTTCACACTTTCAGCCAGGGGTTTCTTCTGTGAAACAATAAGAACAGACAAAAAGTAGTGAGGTATAGATACAATCCGGTATATATATATATATATATATATATATATATATATATATATATATATATATATATATATAGCCGGCACACCACTTTAGCCCCTGAATGCCCTGGTAAGGCCGAGAGTGGAGAGAATCCGCTCTCCCTCTCCAAACGCTCTCACATGGCCACGCATACATAGCCTCTGTCAGGGAAGTCCTACTCACTGCCTTATCGTCGCATTACTGTTGCTTACGAAATTGAGAAGACGAAAAGCCAATGTACGGCGCTGTAACCGGATTGGTGGACACGGAAAGTGCACCTAGGGGAGTTGGAAAACCCTGATTCAAAACCAATGGTGCACATGGGCTCTAATATCCTGAGGGAACAAATGGTGTATGAATCAATCATTGGTCACCGGCTACCATGGGACTGCATCTCCTCACGATGCTCCACTGCCTTGTGGATCAGATCTTTAGGTCAAAGGCTCCGGGTGTGGCCCCCTAAGAAAACCACCTGCTTCAGTTCGGGCACCTGGGCAGTATCTGAGCCATCACACAAATCGAATGGGATTTGTGTAGCGCATACATATCTGGTGCTTCCTTGTATCAATATTTATGTGTTTAAATAAATAAAACAATAAATATGCCGTGAAAACGTACCTTCAAATTAGTAGAGCCCCATGTTTGCTGACCTCCTAGACTTGAAGCTAGATTCGATAAGGTGCTGTCTAATGCATCAAGTGGATTCTTGTTTTGTGATGCAGACATAACAACAGCAGGACGTATTGGGACAGTTGCAGGGACAGGTTTTAAACCTTTTTAAACGGTAAACAAAGAGAAGTTTTGTGCTTAGTAATAGCAGTGCATTGAGTTATAAGAGAAAATATTTGGAAAGTGAATAAAATGAAAAAACTCTTAAGCATTAATTTCTCAGGAAAATGGTGCCAATTAAAATATTAAACAACGTGCACTAGACAACTGTTTTGTTCCAGTACACAACTCCTTACAGAAGTGAGGGGGCCAGCGACCTTGCAAACGAATAAATCTAAATCAGTCAAGACTTGTCGCGAATATAGTTTCATTGAGCCTTTAAACTAGGTTCTAAGTTATGGATGACTGAGTTGGGATGTGTAGAAAGCTATCATAGTGTTGAAAGTTAATATTTTCTGATGCATTCTTCATGGCGATTTACTGTTTGAGCTGGATAATCTATATACCACTAAAGTCATCCATAACTTTAAAATTTCAAGTACAACTTACTGACACACACCAACAAAAAAACTAGGTCGAGAAGGATTTCTTGTAAAACACCTTGAAGTACCTTTCATTTAGACATAGTACATATGATGTCGAATCATTTGAGATTGAGTAATATATCAAAGTTAGCTCCCTAAATACCCTACTGCGTAACAGGGTTGAGAAGGTCTTCTTTCCCTCTCGAAATGCTCTCACATGGCCAGGCGTATACAACCACTGCATGGGAAGTGTTACTCAGCGACTTCTTGCCACTGGGTTGTTTATACGAAATTGAGAGGATGAAAAGATAATTTCCGGAGCTTTAATCGAGTTGGTAGACAAAGAGGATTCACCTAAGAAAGTTAGAAAACCCTCATTCCAAACCAATGGTGAACGTGGACTCAGGGATTCTGAGTAAAGAACCTAATGTTGGTTATCGGCTACCATGGGACTGCATCTCTTAACGTTGCTCTACTACCTTGTGGATAAAAACTTAAGGTCAAAGGTTCGGGGAATGGCTCCCTAAGAAAACCACCTGCTTCGGTTTGGCCACACGGACAGTATCCCAGTTCCCACACAAATCGAACGACGAAATGTGGCGCATACATATTTGGTGCCTTCTTATATCAATGTTTAAGTAAATAAATAAATAAATTGTAAACCTCCCCTGGTTGTTATCTATAATCACATTTATTTCTGTTTTTAAACAAGAAAAAAACAAGCTGATGGTAGCATCATTTCAACCAAATCGTTAATTTCATTTAGTCATGGCTAATACTGTAAGGAAACTTGAGTTAATGAACATTTGTCTCGGTCTTTAAAATTGATCATGGCTGGTTGGTAGCTTGGTGGTTAGCAAAGAATAGATCTTATAAAAGACGAAAGTTTGTTAATCCATAGGGTATGTGCGTGTATGAGTGTATAATGTGTCTATTCTGTTGAATGATTAACATACTAGATAGCTGCATAATTGCGAACACACACTTGATGGAGGGACTCTGGAAGATTTAGGTACTTGGGAAGCATCATTGATAAACAAGGAGGATCTGATGAAGATGTAAAGGCGAGGATTGGTAAAGCAAGGGCAGCATTTCTACAATTGAATAACATATGGAAATCAAAACTCTCAACTAACTTCAAAGTGAGGATCTTCAATACGAATGTTAAGACAGTCCTACTGTATGGAGCTGAAACGTGGAGAACTACTACATCTATCGTCAAGAAGGTACGAGTATTTATAAACAGTTGCGTACGCAAAATACTCAACATTCATTGGCCGGATACTATCAGCAACAGCCTTCTGTGGGAGAAAACAAACCAGCTTTCAGCTGAAGAGGAAATTAGGAAAAGACGTTGGAAGTGCATCGGGCACACATTAAGGAAATCACCAATGTGCATTACAAGGCAATCCCTAACTTGGAATAGGGAAAGGAAGCGGAAAAGAGGAAGGTCAAAGAACACATTACGCCGGGAAATAGAAGCAAATATGAAAAGGATCAATAACAACTGGAAAGGATCGCCCAAGACAGGGTTGGATGGAGAATACTGGTGTGCGGCCTATGCTCCTCGACGAGGGGTGACAGGCGTAAGTAATAATTATGAACAATCAATGATATGAAACTTTTTGAAAGTATATCCTCAAACTATGTAATTTTAATTTTACCGTTAGAAAGAAAACAATCTAATAACATCTATGTATCACATGATGAAGATGTAAACCTTCTCAATAGATTCAAATAGTTTTCTTGACGTTATCCAAGAAAACATAACCAATCTAGGTTATATCATAAATTCTTGTTGATTCTATCCATTTTTTAATCGAACAAAAGTAAGCTGTAAAATAGTAGATAACAATCACTCAATCAGCCAGTCAGATACAACGTAGGACCAGGCACACATATGCATCGGTCCAACTTGCCATACCTCACTCGTTAGCACAACAAGATCAACACCGGATTCATAGAAGTAAATAATTTAATGGTGGTAGTATATAAAAGATAGGTTGTATTATAAGGATATAGTATAGGAAGGAAAACAGATATGAAGCAATTTCAATTGCAAGGTTTAAGGGAGGATAAAGAGTGTATACACCTACGCCATTGTGATCGATTCAGAACCATGCCACCTAGAGTGTCCAACCATTGGTTACAATAGTCACGCGGATCCCAACCGAGTAGTCTGCACCTACCAACATAGTTCAGACTAGAAGTTAGTTACTTCATACTCTGATGCCACGTTTTGGTTTGGCCGCCCTAGCTTTCTTCCAACCATCCCCTACACTAGTCAGCATAGCGAGTCATATCAATCCCTACAGGGAACAAATATGGGCAGGAATTAGCCACAACTTAACTGAACAAATAATAATGATGATAATCAATGCATACCTGGAGGCAGTGAATTATTAAATGATGTAGGGGGATTATTCACTGGTATCTTTGTAGTCGTAGAAGTAGTACCACCACCTACAGAATCTTTCTCCAAAAGAGGATCTAATGACAATAAGTCGTCAAAAACTTCAAATTAAAAAAAAATTATACAGAACATTTATAAAATGAAATCGCAGTATAAAGATTATTGAAATCTTCAACATTAAAAAAAATTAATAACCAAATATACACAGCTTTTTTACTCTCATTTTAACTCATATTTTTTTGTATGACGGCTTGTGATTAGAAGAATACTGTTACTAAGTATACATATGTCATATTTGATATTCAACTGCACTGTTAGTACAAAGGGTAGTGATATTATTCGGCTATGTAAAATGAAATAGTCAGCAGCTCTGGTACGGCCGAGAGTGGGGAGAGTTCGTTCTCTCTCAAAATGCTCTCATATGGTCACGCGTATATAGCCTCTAACACGGAAATCCTTTTCACTGTCTTCTCGCCACTAGGGTGTTGATTACAAAATTGAGAGGACGAAAAGCGAATGTCCAGAGATTTCAGCGGGTTGGTGGACACGGAGGGTCCACCTAGGTGTGTTGGAAAACCCTAATTCCAAACCAATGATGCACGTGGGCTCCATAGTCCTAAGGGAAAAAACAGCGTATGAACCTAATGTTGGTCACCGGCTACCATAGAACTGCATCTCCTGACGTTGCTCCATTATCTTGTGTATTAAACCTGTAGGTCAAAGGCTCCCTGTGTGGCCTCATATGAAAACAACTTGAATAGGTTAAGGCGTCCGGGCAGTGTCAAAGCCCTCACACCAATTGATGATAACTAATAATGGCCTAATTGTTATCATGCGGCGCATATGTATTTGGTATCTCCATGTACCAATGTTCATGTGTTCAAATCAATCAATCAACCAATGTGGGTAATACATTCATCACGTGTAAAAAAATTATGTGCTAGGGGTTTTGAGCTTTTGGTGCTTATCTGTATATGAGGGCTTATGGAAGTAAGCGCACACACATACACACAGGAGTTTGAAACTGGGACCTAACTAATTGAAATTAGGCCAGTTTATACGTAGAGTGAAACAATGGTTGGTTGTAAGCACACCTATTCGCAACTTATACTTGGTTAGAGCAGTTGGATAGTAGTATCATCACTAATAAGTGTCATCAGATATTATGACTCAAAGTCAATTATTGCATAGATATGTTATCTGGTAAATACAATCCGTACATATATTGGATCAACACCATCAAACGACCTGGTGTATTCAAGGGTAATGAGAGTTCGTTCTCTCTTCCAAAGTGCTCTCGTAAGGTCGCTACTTATCTATAGCAACTTACTACTTTCAAATGATGCCGGTGACTATACGAAAATAAGTGATGAAAATCCTAAACCGAGTTAGAGGGTTATTAAGATTCAACATAGAGGAATCGGGAAACACTGATTCCAAACCAATGGTGTACATGGGACGAAGGATCCTCAGAGAAAGAACGAATAGTGCAAGTACCTATTCCGATAACCGGCTAACATGGAACTGAATCATGTAATGTTGTTCTACTGCTTTCTGTATTAGAGATTCAGGTCAAAGGTCCGGGAGTAGTCAACTAAGCAAACTACCCTTCTTACCTGAAGCAGAACCTGTGGTATTGGTAGTAGTAGCAGTAGTATTGACAGCTGAAGGATTTGATTCACCCTCCTTTCCAACAGACTCAGTTTGAGCTGAGAAAGGAACAGGTTCAATATTGGTTTGTGGAATAGAATCATCAGTGGACAATAGGTCAAGACCAAGTAAATCATCGATTGCTGAATGATGACTGCTACCATGTACTGGTTCAACATGAGCTATGGGAGATTAGAAAGAAAAAGACAGATTATATAATTAATAAGCTAGTTCTTAAAAACAGTATAAGCAATAGAGCATAATATCATTAATATATTATGATCGACTTCCAGATAAGTTTGATTCGTTGGTAAAATCATAAGTTTGCAAAAACACAATGCAAAGAACAATAAACACTTCTAGACCATTCCAACTGACTAATGAATTGTATCACCTCCAATCATTCATCATGATTATCTTTAGGATACCATCAACAAACCAGAAAGTTTGTACTTACTTATCTACCTACCTAATTAAGAACTGTCAATGATTTTCTGGATTAATATCATGCATCAGGTTTGACAACTCTTGCCTTTCTCCCAACCTACTCATCCTCAAACTTAAGAGAAGAGATAAAGAGTGAATGCATCTTTGCCATATTACGTTTTCAACTATTGATCGCACTTATTGTCCTGATCTCAACCAGGTAGTCTAGATATATCAACATGGCCCAGATCAACAGTCAGTAACTTCATATACCGATGACATTTCAAAGTTGGGTACCCATAGATTTCTTCCAACAAACTACTTTTTACTTTATTTGAACACATAAATATTGGTACAAGAGGGCACCAGATATATATACGCCACACAAAAAATTGTCATTTTATTTTAATTGTGTGAGGGCTATTACTACGCCACCCATAAATAAACGCTGACATAGGCAGTAGAGAGAGCTTACATGAAAATATCTCAACCATCTCAGTCGATGAAGATTCACTACCCTATCAATCAATTTGGTATCCTTACATAGTATTATTATTTAACCCATTACTCTTTAAACATTAATCCTTTTAACAGTGAGCATAAGTAAGAACACGGTATTGTGTAATCAGTTGAAAGGGATAGAAAGCACAGCGGCAATAAATAACTGTAAACAATTATTAAGACTAATCAATTAAACAGGTGTTAAAAATGCAGCTGTCAGTTAGAGTATTTCGGAAGATGTAACTGTTATTCACTCTCAGTTCAGGATATTAACCAGGTGAGAACATTTTAAGTAACAATTCAACAGATTTTCAACTCCCCTTCAGTTACTATCTCAGTAACATATATCCCAATTAACCCTTATTACCACGGAAGATGTCTGGTGTAGGAGTAGGTTGGAAGAAAGCCAAGAGCGGCCAAACTATAAACTAGTATCAGTCAAAGAAGTCATTAACAATTGGATTGTCAGTTAGCTACAATGTAGGACCAGATACACATATGCATCGGTCCAACTCGCTATACCTCATTAGCACGACAAGATAAACACCGAATTCATAGAAGTAGTTAATTTAGTGGTGATAATATATAAAAGAAAGACCCGACCGTTGCTGCTACCTTGACGTGGTGGTCGGGCTTGCCTATCGTGATGAACCAATCGAGCTATGCTGGCTGGAACAATCGTTCCTCGAGGTCCTACCATGCCAGACAGGTCGGTTGAATAGCGGTGAGACTAAAAGCAGCAAACCCAAGGTCCGAAGGCGAAGTCGTACTGCTGACTGTACAGAGGTGTGAAAGCAGTAAGGTGTTTCCCTCAGACAACCAGCATGACAGCGATGCTGCCTTCCCACAAGGAGGGGTGGGGTTAGAAAAGGTCGACCCTAAAAATGCACACCTCGCCTTATCCCACGGATATCCGTCTCCGGCGGTAAGGTTTTTTTTGAAGAACGGAGCTAACACAAAAACTACCCACGAAAAGGTCGTGTGTGACCGACCTCAAGCAGTTGTCCCTTGGGCACTGCGGTCACGCTCTCAGGTCATTAAGACCACTTCTAACCCAATTTCCTTTTCAGGTACCTCTAGAAGAATCCTTCCACGGTGTGGGCAACCGGGAAGTGATAACTGCCCTCATACCTCTAACAACACTCAAGACCACTGTATTCATAATCAGTCTCCTTCTTCAATTCCTACTATTCCTTCTACCTTGACTTTCAACACTAAACTTCCTCTTTCGGTTCCCTCCTCAAGTGTCACCATGGCCAACGATTCTAGTGCGCGAAACGCTGTCCCAGGTCTACTAAAACCTCGCTCCAAACTACACATTGGAGCCTTCAACGTACGTACTTTAAGTCAAATCGGTCAACAGGCCTCCTTAGCTAAAACCTTAGAGTCGCGTACCATTGATGTATGCTGTGTCTCCGAAACACGCATACAGGATCCTAGTGTGGTCATTCACTTGACCTCACCTCGCCAAAATGGACAGCCAACGAAATACACCCTCCGTGTATCTGGCGACCCGTTGGCTAGTTCTCGCGGACTTGCAGGTGTAGGCATAGTACTAAGTACAAGGGCAGAACAGGCACTACTAGAATGGATCCCCGTTAACAGTCACCTGTGTGCTGTCCGGCTAAATGGCTCCGTAAGAACTCGGAAGGATAGGGACACACGTCGTTGCCTTTTCGTCGTTTCTGCCTACGCTCCCACTGACTGCAGCCATGATGAGGTGAAAGATGACTTTTACAGAAAGCTCTCTGAGCTTCTTCAGAAAGCTAAGCGCTCAGACATAGTAGTCGTAGCGGGTGACTTTAATGCCCAGGTAGGCAGCTTAAATCAAACAGAAAGACATCTAGGTGGGTGTTTTAGTATTCCGGCTCAACGAACCGATAATGGTGATCGTCTGTTGCAACTATGCTCAGACAATCGTTTATTTTTGGCAAGCACTAATTTTAAACATAAGGAGAGACATCGTCTAACAAGGCGACCACCTGCACCAAACCAACGATGGACTCAAATAGACCATATTGTCATCAGTCATCGTTGGAGAAGCTCAATAGAAGATTGTCGCTCGTATTGGAATACTTGTTTAGACTCTGATCACGCTTTAATACGAGCACGCATTTGTCTGCGCCTCAATGGACGCAGGAAAAGTAAACTAAGAAGACCCGTTAGGATTGAACTGGAGGACGAGAAAGCCAAATGCGAATTCCAGAGACAACTGAGTTCACATCTAGGCAGTTCTGTAAACGAGACTGACCCAGATGCTGCTTGGAAAGGCATACGAACAGTTGTGGAAACAGCAGTAACATCTATTAGTCATTTAAACCATAGGGCTCCAAAAAACCAGTGGATTTCTTCTAAGTCTATTTCACTGATGGATTCGCGTAAACTCATACCATCAGGCTCTGAACATGACGAAGAGCGTAAACAAATTAGATATAGGTTAACTAAAAGTCTAAAGAATGATCGTGAGCAGTGGTGGGCAACGAAAGCAAAAGAGATGGAAAAGGCAGCGGCTGTAGGCAACACCAGGCAACTATTCAGACTAATAAAAGAAACCGGAATTAAGAAGTCAAGTGTAAGTGAGACGATCTCGGAAAAAGATGGAACCCTTATCTGCTCTCTACCCAAACGTTTAGAACGATGGGCGGAACACTTTAAGGAGCAGTTTAGCTGGCCTTCAGCTACTGCACAACTACCCACTATTCCTAGAAAACCTGAATGGAACATTGAAGTAGGCCCCCCGACCCTACTCGAAGTTCAAAAGGCTATAGGTAATCTGAAACGAGGAAGAGCAGCTGGTCCAGATGGATTGGCTCCAGAGGTCTTTAAATATGGTGGTCCGATTTTAGCGATTAGGTTGACTAATATTCTGGCTAAAATCTGGGAGACGGACGTAATCCCATCTGACTGGTCACAATCTCCCAATATATAAGAAGGGGCCAAAATCATCCTGCGATAACCATAGAGGGATTAGTCTGACTAACATAGCATCTAAAATACTTGCCTCAATAATTATCAGGCGCCTAACTAAAACTCGTGAACTGCAAACACGAGAAAATCAGGCTGGCTTCAGACATGGTCGTGGCTGTATCGACCACATATTCACCATTCGTCAAGTTTTAGAGCACAGACATGCTTATCGGCGTCCGACAATGATAGTTTTTCTTGACTTGAAAGCAGCATTTGACTCTGTAGACCGATAGGTTCTGTGGCAGTGTTTGTCATTGAAAGGTGTACCTGAGAAGTACATAAACCTTGTGAAGGCTCTTTACTCGAACACTACCAGTCGAGTGAGAGCTTATGGCGAACTGTCATATGATTTTACAACCTCAAGTGGTGTCCGACAAGGCTGTCCACTATCCCCATTTTTGTTTAACTTCATTATAGACCTGTTGCTGCAAATGACACTCTCGTCGACTGAATTTACAGGAATTGATCTCCTACCAGGGGGACCACTAATCGACTTACAATACGCAGATGACATAGTCCTGTTTCGTGAAGACGCTGGCAAAATGCAGAGTCTTCTGTTGGAACTCAGTAATAATGCCAGGATGTTTGGGATGCATTTCTCCCCATCCAAATGTAAATTGTTACTCCAGGACTGGCCTACGTCAACACCTGAACTAAGGATAGGGAGTGAAGTAGTCGAACGCGTCGACAACTTCACTTATCTTGGAAGTCTGATCAGCCCTAATGGGTTGGTGTCTGACGAAATCTCAGCACAGATTCAAAAAGCTCGTTTGGCTTTTGCCAACTTACGTCACCTATGGCGAAGACGAGATATTCGTCTATCAATTAAGGGACGAGTATACTGAACAGCAGTTCGCTCTGTTCTACTTTACGGCTGCGAAACATGGCCATTAAGAGTAGAAGATACTCGTAGGTTACTAGTATTTGACCACAGATGCCTTAGAAATATTGCTCGCATCTGCTGGGATTACCGAGTAAGTAATAGTGAGGTTAGACGCAGGGTATTAGGTAACGATGGTAAATCAGTTGATGAGGTGATAAATCTTCATCGACTGAGATGGTCGGGCCATGTGTTACGTATGCCTGAACACCGATTACCATGACGCGCTATGATGACTAGTACTGGGGATTGTTGGAAGAGAGTTGGGGGCGGCCAAACCAAAACATGGCATCAGTGTTTGAAGTCACTAACTTCTAGCCTGAGCCATGTTGGCAGATGCAGACTACCTGGTTGGGGTCCGCGTGACTATCGTAATAAATGGTTGGAGACTCTAGGTGACATGGCTCAGAATCGATCACAATGGCGTAGGTGTATACACTCTTTATCTTCCCTTAAACCTTGAGATTAAAATTGCTTCATATCTCTCTTCTTTCCTGTACTATATCCTTATATACAACCTTTCCTTATATACTACCACCACTAAATTAATTACTTCTATGAATCCGGTGTTCATCTTGTTGTGCTAAAGAGGTATGGCAACTTGGACCGATGCATATATGTGCCTGGTCCTACGTTGTAGCTGACTGACTGACTGATAAAAGAAAGATTGTGTATAAGGATATAGTATAGGAAGGAAAATAGATATGGAGCAATTTTAATCTCAAGGTTTAAGGGAAGATAAAGAGTGCATACACCTACGCCACTGTAATCGATTCGGAACCATGCCACCTAGAGTGTCCAACCATTGGTTACGATAGTCACGCGGATCCCAACCAAGTAGTCTGCATCTGCCAACATGGCTCAGGCTAGAAGTTAGTGACTTCAAGCACTGATGCCACGTTTTGGTTTGGCTGCCCCTAACTCTTTTCCAACTATCTACTACACTAGTCAGCATTACGCGTCGCGGTAATCGGTGTTCAGGTATACGTAACACATGGCCCAATCATCTCAGTCGATGAAGATTCATATCCTGTGTCTAACCTCACTATTACTTACTCGGTAATCCCAGCAGATGCGAGCAATATTTCTAAGGCATCTGTGGTCAAATACTAGTAACCTACGAGTATCTTCTACTCTTAATGGCCATGTTTCACAGCCGTAGTGTAGAACAGAGCGAACTGCTGCGCACTATACTAGTTCCTTGATTGACAGACGGGTATCTCGTCTTCGCCATAGGTGACGTAAGTTGGCAAAAGCCAAACGAGCTTTTTGAATCTGTGCTGAGATTTCACCAGACTCCAACCAATTAGGGCTGATCAGACTTCCAAGATAAGTGAAGTTGTCGACGCGTTCGACTAATTATTGGACTGACCAATGTTAAGATGTTCAGACTATCTGCTTGAGATGCGTGTAACTGTCACAACCAATAGTTAGAGATTTTGAATGTCAAGACACAGAATCGTCTATGATAGCACAAGTGCGAAAGTTTCTAACGTTCCATTAGTCCCTGAACCCTGAAATCTCTTCACACATTCTTTTCTTTCTTCTCCTATACTTAATCTTCTCTATTACTACTTTAGTGAACGAGAAGTCAGGTGAGACAAACCTATTTATTATTTAATGCAAAATTACAGTGTTTTCATAAAATATGAACACCATACATCAAAATACATAATTGTCCTTTACATGCTTCATGATTCTTTTAACTCCACTTTTATTCCAATTACTTTCTGTTTTCTTCAATTGAAACTCCCCAATCTTCTGCTGGCATGCATGCCACTTCCGATCGGCACCACTACTTATATCTGTCAACTTAAGTAACATACACCACACTACTATTTCTATTATTTAAGGATTTGTTTTGAAATAATTCCGTTTCGCTGTGCTAGTGTGGTACGGCAACTTGAACTGATGCACATGTGTTGAGTTCTACTCTACCATATCATTGACCCTATATATATGTGTGTATACATTTATTAGACAATCAACAATTTAAACTAACCTTCTGATGATTTATTTGACCATACATTAGTATCAGTATCAGTTACCGGTTCAACTGGTTCTTCATCCCCAGCAAAAGGACTAGCACATATAGATGAAGCGTCAGTCTGTGCATTCACTTCTACATTAAGACCTTGAAATAGTAGACAAAACAAACATGGAATAATTTAGGAATGTAGAAGATATGATAGAACAAAATAAGATATTTTGAGATAATCTTGGTCAGTAAAACTTAATTTCAAACTATCATACGTATATACATCGGACTATTGATAGATCAGTGGCCACCTTTGCTAACTGAAGGGGTTAGCAATGAGAAATATACATTAACAGAACCAAAGCCTAGTACAATTCGACAGTATGACTTCCCACTCGATCATATATATATATATATATATATATATATATATATCCGACAGCAGCTCTTCTGGGGTTACTGTAGGTGTAGCGGGTTGAACTACCTGGTTTTAGTTTCGATTCCAAGACTGTCTTAATCTGGGGCTTGTGTTATTTCTGATCAATGTCGATTCCTTTCTTTATTAAACGTAACTGAATTGTGTGCGCTTACTGGGTCGCCGACTTGCCTTTTCTTGTGTCCTCTTTCCAAGCCCTCTACCTCCATCACACTGCTCTACATGCTTCCCTAATATACAAAGTACCTTCGGCTAGAAGCGAACCGCGACATCGGTCTCTATGTTGAATAAAAGAGGATTGGCCGTGACGCCATATCAGTATGTAAATGAATAATTTATTGTATAAGAAGGTTAGGGTTAAGAGGTACAATCGAAGAATACTTTGGAATTAATCATATTGTAGTGGAAGCGATACCCAAGGATGTTTGTAAGTAGTGTGTAACTGAACATAGAGTCGAAGTTACAACAATTGTGAAGACTTTCAGTGCATCAAAAACACGGCATCGGCAGAACACTTGGAGATCAGATAGATGAGAAGATAGTATAGATGGCAGAAAACAACGAAAGATGTAAATGGACGATTGTGGGCTATAAATATGTATTATGTAAATACCTTGTAGCTTTTCGCAATAAGCATACATTCCTACTGCCTATTGTCGTATTTGACATTAGTTATGGAGAAAGTTCTCTGACTTCAAGTCACAAGAATATAAACAAAATTGTCTTGAAGGATTCACAGATCATATTCCATACGTTTTTAATTCGATTTGTTTTTAGTTGATATTGTCTCTGTTTATTAGTCTTGCCATTTTTATCAATTTAAAACTGCTTCTGGCGAGTGCGGGATCGTGGATGAGCGCTGCTGAGGAGACCCATAATAGAACGAAACGGCCTTCTAGTGCTTCCAGGTTTTCCATGGTGGTCTAGCTTCAATTGACTCATGATTTCAACTAAGAAAATTGAACAAGAATTAAAACAAATCACTTAAATCAATTGAATTATTGAACATTGATTTACCTAATGATGATGAATTATGTTTTGTCTTATTGATACCATCCGTATTGTCATCATTAATTGCTTCACTATCACTTGCACTGATCGATGGTTGTTTTGGTGTAGTTTTTCCATATTGACGGCTAGGTGATGGGGGTGGACGAGCTGGTGATGGTGATCGTGAACGTGTCGGTGGCACTGATACAGTTCGTTGTTCCGATCTATGTAATAATTTTTTTAAGAATACAGTTTTGATATGATTTGAAAAAGTAAAAAGTTCACTTAAGTATTAAGGAGAGGACTTGAGTTAAAACCCACTATAATATCTCCGTCTGCTTAAGCAAACCGCACTAGGCTGTAGGTAGATTATTCGGAGGGTATCTTCGACCAAGAATTCGTGTTGATATACGAGTCTACATGCTACGAATTATTGTGCATCTTGATAGATGAAAATCCGATCCTCAGTTAAGCGCGACTACAAAATATCCCGCAGCTGCAAAAAGCTCTTAAGATGTTAATGTTCAGGACGATATGTAGTACACACATCTGGTTGTGCTCGTCAACTACACACGAACTAAGCAATCATCCGTTCAGCGTTTCGTGTTGATAAACCCGTACATCAATTCCTTGAACGTGTAGAATAAAATAGTCAACGATTTGAGCCATGATATACACTTCTAAGCCAGAGCACAAACAGTTTAGCACAAAACCAGCTGTATGCCAGACAGAAAATTCGTGAATGGCAAGTCAGACTACATTGTTCCAACAATTTAGAACGTATGGAATAGGAATAATAAATAGGCGTTCATATAAACAGTATGCAAATCAGAATGAACAAGCACACAACAATGACTTTATGCACTGACACATAGCCGTTGCCAGACCAAGCAACCTGGAAGTAACGAGAACACCAATAAGACCAGATGATAAGCTTGATAGGTGGAGTGGTGGTTTAATAGTTAAAACACTCAGCTCTTAACCAATGGGGTTGCAACTTCTAATCTCGCTCCACCTAATTCGGATTGATTGACTCGGTAGTATTATTAGCCTTTAAATCAACAGACAAAAATCTCATGATGTTTTAAACAAAAGTAAAATGTTAAAGTATTTAGCTTTGGTAGTATAGATAAAGTGTAATCTATATGGAGATAATCCGTTTTAAATGAGTTTCGAAGTGACAAGAATTGAAAGCTGATCTGTTGTGTTATATTTATCGTTCACTCAGTCAGTTATTAACAAATAATACATGAATACAATATGAGCTCGAGGGTTGTTAAAAGCAGTTGTCACTTTTGAGTTTCTTACATCGTGTAGAAGGATCATTCATCATGAGGGACATGAAAATAAGCAAACTGATAATGAATGTTTCATTATCTAGTCAGAAGCAATTTGCCATATATCTTTATTGTCCTGAATTGCCACATCACATCTTTGTCACATAACTAAAGTAGTTGGTTGAACGCAATCACAAACGTTTTTCTAATGAATATCAGTGGTAGTCGATATCAGTACTTTGCATACTTTATCATCAGCACCATAGTGAGGTGAGGTACACTGTTTTCTTATGCCAAACTTTTCCAATCCCTCATCCCGTTGTAGTAGAACAGTGAGACTGAAGATGTTGATTATATCTATGGTGAAACACCTAACTGTCAACACCACTCTCCTCCAGTACGGTTATCAGTACAAATCTACTCTTAATTTCTCCATTAACCAACCGACCTGTCTAACAACATAATACATCAAGCAAAAAATATCCTCATAACTCGTTACTACGATAGTCAAACCAGATGACGATCGCCATATTAAAACGCTAGTAGCAGTTATGGTAAGGTCCTGATTTAAATTCAAGCTGACTCAAATTGTAACATTATTTATTTATATTTTATTTAAACACATAAACATTGGTACAAGGAGGCACCCCTAGGTGGATCTTCCATATCCACCAACCCGGTTAAAGCGCCTGACATTCATTTTTCATCCTCACGATTTTACAAACAACATCCCAGTGGCGAGAAGGCAGTGAGTAAAACTTCCCATGCAGTGGTTGTATACGTGTGGCCATGTGGGAGCATTTCGAGGGGAGGGAGAAGACTCTCTCCACCCTCAATCGTACCAGAACATTTAGGGGGGGCAACAATACACGACACGGGGAATTATTTTACAATAGTAATACATAAAGCTTATATTTAATATGATAGCATTTACCTGCCCAATTGTGTATGTACTGGAGCTTTAACTGCACCTTGTTGAGTTGAACGTTTTACAGCTTCCGAACTCTTAACAAGGGTTTCGTTTAAATGACCTTTAGCCGCTGCGATTATCTCCTCTTGTAAAGCAGAAGGTAATCCATCTGAAATATAAAATTATTGTGGACATTATAAAATCTTCATAGTTTTTTTTTTAAATTACAAACTGATCTTAGTTAAACTATCATTAGAAACTTAGAAGAACTGGACAGCCTATTCTGTTCCAGTACAGTACTCCTCCTCCTCTTCCTAGGTTCGCTTCCCAGACCCGGAATCGTGGATATGTACTGCCATCAAAGAACGTCATACTGGGAAGAAACGGTCGTTCAATCCTTTGTTTTTTTGGTTGCTTCAGAACAGTATTTATTACGTACGCCCATTAACAGAATAACTTGACGTACAATGATAGGTGGTTTAGGTATGAACTGAAAGAAAGTTAGGGGGAGTCAAGATAAGATAGGGGATCAGTTGAGGAAGACACTGGTTGTTGGACTAAAGCATTTACGTAGATGCAGACTTATTTATTTATTTATTTAAATACATAAATATTGGTACAAGGAAGCACCAGATACACATGCGCCTCACAAATCTCATTTGATTTGTGTGAGGGCCGTGATACTGCCCGGGTGCCCAGACCGAAGCAGGTGGTTTTCTCAGGGGGCCACACCTGGAGCCTTTGACCTAAAGGTCTAGTCCACAAGGCAGTGGAGCATCGTGAGGAGATGCAGTCCCATGGTAGCCGGTGACCAACGATTGATTCATACACCATTTGTTCCCTCAGGATACTGGAGCCCATGTGCACCATTGGTTTGGAATGAGGGTTTTCCAAATCCTCTAGGTGAACTTTCCGTGTCCACCAATCCGGTTAAAGCGCCGGACATTCGCTTGTCGTCCTCTCAACTTCATAAACAACACCCCCGCCACGAGAAGGCAGTGAGTAGGACTTCCCTGTCAGAGGCTATATACGCGTGGCCATGTGAGAGCATTTGGAGAGGGAGAGCGGACTCTCCTTACTCTCGGCCGTACCAGGGCCTTTGGGGGCAGACTACATAATTGGTATCCTCATGACTACTGTAATCAATAGATTTAGCCCTGAAAATTTTATCTAGCTGTGCTAATGGTGTATGGCTACTTGAACCGATGTACACATGTTGCAAATTTAATGGTGTATTTGACTGACTCATTGAGCACACGACTACAGTGGAAGAGGACCACACTATTTTATCAAATTTAGGACAGATGAAACCAGACACAATGATTTAAAATATACCATGCCGGATGTGAAACCTTCCCCGTTAACTTCTATGAGAGAGTGTGTAGTATGTGAGCAGTGTTGATGAGGACTTCCAAAGATTATAACGAGAATAATCGCCATGACTACACTCTGGTTTCCAAGTACCACAGTAAAACATTGATTCTTGATAAAAATTACCCTCTAAAGACGATAATCATTTCATTGACATTGTGTTCAAGTGTACCCCACAAAATTTTTATTTTATATAACTTTTCCTAACTAACCTTCATCATTTAAGACGACAGTTGGATATGATGCAGCAGTCGGTTCAGTTGTATCATCGTTCAATTGTTCAGATTGGTCCAGAATATTAGAATCATGTGTTTTGTTTATTGATTCAGCATCTTCGTTGTAATCTGTGTTTCCAGTGGGCGGATTATGGCTAGATATCTTGTTAGCTTCAGTGCAGATTACGGTTTGACTTGGAATGGGTACAGGGACTGTTGGCTTCTTTGGTACATTTGGTTTGGTTGAAGTATGAGTCTCTTCTTCTTCATCATCTGATCTAGAAAACAAAACATAATCGCCATCAAGGATAAATTTTCGAGAATTTTCAAAAGTGATATATGCATATATATATATAGGATAGTTTACGGTAAAATTACTAGGTTACTAGCATCTGATCATAGTTGCCTTCGAATCGCTGCCTAACTATGTCAAGACTACTATGAGAGGAACGATGAATTTCAGTGTCGTGCACCTTCCAAGTGCAAATTAACTTTGCAAGACTAGCAGGACCCTGAACTTGGGCTCACTCTTTTGTGCCCCTGTGATGTTAGTCTGACTCCAAAACGTTAGATCTACAACGCGTTAGTGAGAGCAGTTTTGCCTTATGTTTTTAAAACTTGGTCTCTTCGAGTTGAGGATATTAGACAACTCTATGCCCCACGATCATTGTCTACGAAGGATTCCTGTTATTCACTTTTCTTCCTCTATCTATTCACAATCTCATCTTAGTGTGTGAATACATTTATTTTGGTGTCTTTTGTACTAATATACAACACAATATACATCAATCGAATCACACTTGACGAAGAAGCTTCGGAGGATGTGAAAACCTTTACATAACTGGGCAGCAACATTGATGAACACGGTTGGTCTGATGCAGATGTGAAGGCGCGGATTGGCAAAGCAACTGAAAAACATCTGGAACTCAAAGCAATTGTCAACCAACACCAAAATCATAATTTTCAATACAAATGTCAGGACAGTTCTACTGTATTGAGCGGAAATCTGGAGAACCGCGAAAACCATCATCCAGAACATACAAGTGTTTATTAACAGTTGTTTGCGCAAAATACTACGGATCCGTTGGCCAGACATTACCAGCAGCAACCTACTGTGGGAGAGTACAAATCAAATCCCAACTGAGGAAGAAATCAGGAAGAAGAGCTGGAAGTGGAGAGGATACACATTGAGGAAAGCACCTAACTGCGTCACAAAGCCCTCATCACTTGGAATCTTGAAGGTCAAACGAAAAGAGGAAGATCAAAGAACACATTACGCCAAGAAATAGAAACAGACATGAGAACAGTGAACAATCATTGGATAGAACTAGAAAGGAAGGCCCAGGACAGAGTGGGCTAGAGAATGCTCGTCGGCAGCCTATGCTCCACTGAAACAGGTATAAGTAAGCAAGTAAGTAATGAATATAACACAACAAATGTATGGATATACACTTTGTAGCATAATCGCCATACTAACAATGTTGATTGTTAACAAGCATACGCTCAAAATTACAAAAGGTTTACACAAAAACAAAACAAAAACCGAATGATTGTTTTTGCGATAAAACGTATTTATCAAGTGAAAAGATTCTGTGTGTTTTCGAAGCTTTGAGCCAAAAAACTTCACAATCATATGATGAATTTCTACTTATACCCTATCTACTTGGTCATACTGAGCCCCCGAATGCCCTGGTACGGCCGAGAGTAAGGAGAGTCCGCTCTCCCTCTCAAAATGCTCTCACATGGCCACGCGTATATAGCCTCTGACAGGGAAGTCCTACTCACTGCCTTCTCACACCACAGGTGTTGTTTACGAAATTGAGAGGACGAAAATCGAATGTACAGCACTTTAACCGGATTGGTGGACATGGAAAGTCCACCTAGAGGAGTTGGAAAACCCTCATTCCAAACCAATGGTGCACATGGGCTCCAGTATCCTGAGGGAACAAATGGTGTATGAATCAATCGTTGGTCACCGGCTACCATGGGACTGCATCTCCTCACGATGCTCTACTGCCTTGTGGATTAGACCTTTTGGTCGAAGGCTCCAGGTGTGGCCCCCTAAGTAAACCACCTGCTTCGGTCTGGGCACCCGGGCAGTATCACAGTCCTCACACAAATCTCATTTGATTTGTGTGACGCATATATATCTGATGCCCCTTTGTACCAATATTTATGTGTTTAAATAAATAAAACAATAATGATCATACTGAAGTCGGGTTCGAACCTCAAGACTTATAGAAATTTGAATGTATAAAAGATGTGAGAAATGACTTGAAATAACAAGATCATTCTTTGAAAATAGAAAAAACAACGTACCCTTTTTTACTTTCCAAAATTTGTAAGTGTTGCTCCATGGCTTGTATAACTTTTTCTGGCACCTGAATGAATGGGATTAATTAAACAAATAGACATTAAGTAGATATTGTCTAGTTAGTAGTTTGTATTAAGAATTGACCTTATAAAGAGAGCTAGAAAAAAAATCAAAAAAACACTGGTTAACTGTTTCGAACTGCCACAGAAATCTCCTTCAGAAGTGCGCATCCACGATTTCCATAAATATAGATCACGAAGTTACATTCTTGATGGAATAGTCGGTAGACACTACTGAATAGTTCCACACTAGAAAGAATTAGTAACTCAATACTACCTGGTTTTTAATAACTGTCTAGTTATAGTTAGTTTGTAATGCGAAAGTGTAAAACTTTCGCGACTATGATGACAGACTGAAATACTATGAAATCGGTTTGGTGATTCAACATTAATGTTATTTTCCGTCGTCATCTAAATATTTCGACGCTTCATTTTGAATTGGAAAATGTCTTCTTGATTTATTATTATTATTATCAGCTTTATTCAATATTATATTTTTGGTACAATATAGAATTCTCAGCACAAAGTACTTCAACAAATTTCCGTTTCTTACTTCTTCGTCCTTCCTGACGATGAATATTGAGTGATCGCCAGTTAGAACTTAGCAGCCCAGTCAATCGACATCTGGATAATGTACATTCTTGACGCTGCATATTGCCAGCAACCACGATATCTTTGATTAAGCCTTCTGTAACCTTTACAGCGAAAGGTCTTACACTTTTCAGAAACGCACCTGAATAGGTTGTGCGATTAATAGGCATAATGATGTATTAAAACAAACGAAATCAGATAACTTGTTGAAATATCTCGATGACAGGAACAGATAGCCCAGATGTTTAAACAGGCCGCCAAAATTTAGCTGCTCCTCAAGGATCGTATAACATTGGAATATTCCCTAGATATTGTTTGTAAGAGTTAGTATTTTCCTGTTGTGAATACTAATCACTGAGGCGTCGCATGTGCTTCTTAAATTTTAGGGCTAATCATGATTTAAATTTTCTAGATTACCCAGTTATTTTCTCACACTTAGATAATGAGAAGTAATAATCGGCAGGAAAAACCAGTTTGAGTTCATTTTTATGCTAACTGATACTTTCCAGAAAGACGTGCTTGCAGTCTTGGTAGAGCTGACGATCCTCTATGGGACTTCAAACCACACCGCCTAGTTTCACAGTGAGACTTTACCAATCAGTTATTTGGGCATTCACTGGAATTCTTAGTTCTGTTAAAATCAGGTGATAAAAACAATCGATTCTCCTGATAAGACAGTAGTTTGAAGCTTCTATGCTGCATATCGCATAGGCAGTATACATAATCAAAAACACTGTACAATAATTTCAAAAATGTAACTTGAGTGATACATACTCGTCGAGTGTAAGTTGGTATCAAACCTTTATGGTTTTCATTTATAATTTATTTCTGACATTTGAGTCTTTAAATTACTGAGTTAAGTATTGAACATGACTTCAATATATGTTAGGGTTATTAATATTATTTAGCCAGAGTAGGTATCATGCTGACATTAACTCTCCAGCTGAGCTTTCTCCCAGTCAAACGATGAAATGTATAAATTATTTATTTTATTTAAACACATAAATATTGGTACAAAGGGGCATCAGATATATATATGCGTCACACAAATCTCATTTGATTTGTGTGAATGCTGGGATACTGCTCAGGTGCCCAGACCGAAGCAGGTGGTTTTCTCAGGGGGCCACACCTGGAGCCTTCGACCAAAAGGTCTAATCCACAAGGCAGTAGAGCATCGTGAGGAGATGCAGTCCCATGGTAGCCGGTGACCAACGATTGATTTATACGCCATTTATTCCCTCAGGATACTGGAGCCCATGTGCACCATTGGTTTGGAATGAGGGCTTTCCAACTCCTCTAGGTGGACTTTCCATGTCCACCAATCCGGTTAAAGTGCTGTACATTCGATTTTCGTCCTCTCAATTTCGTAAACAACACCTGTGGTGTGAGAAGGCAGTAAGTAGGACTTCCCTGTCAGAGGCTATATACGCGTGGCCATGTGAGAGCATTTGGAGAGGGAGAGCGAACTCTCTTTACTCTCGGCCGTACCAGAGCACTTTGAAATTATCTCACGATTAGTCACTAAGATTGTGAGAGATACCAGACTGTCAGATTCCACTTTACGTGAGTAATTTGAGTTACCAAACAAAAACAATAATTACACATCTATATGTTTAGACATCATTATCAAGTTGGAACTTACCGGCTGTAGGCCTAGGCTATCCTTATCTCCAATTCCCAAACTCTATAGACACAAGAAAATTAACACGAAGGTATTAAAAAATTATGCATTGAAAAAAAGGTTATAAAACGTTTCGGCTGTAAAATACCAAGCACTTTAGTAACATAGTGTAATTACTAATATAGTGATGAATATATGCAACCGTATAAGTTCAATCTCCTTCCATTTATGTGACCTAACAAATTTCCCAAGGAACTTGATTACTTGGTCGTCGAGCTTCCATCGTCCTTCTGAACGACATCATTAGCACAAACTTGATTACTTTTCGACTAAGGGATTACATCTAATCAATAGTTTTCTCAAATTTTAATAATCCAGCTAAATGAATTTGTGAATCACTCCCGCTGGATTTTTTAACGAACACTTGGAAAGTCGGATTGAATACAAGTGCATTATAGTAAGAAAACGCTAGCGACAGACGGATATAAACAATTCAGTTTTATTTATTTTATCTAAACATATAAATATTGGTACAAAGGGGCATCAGACATATATATGCGTCACACAAATCTCATTTGATTTGTGTGAGGACTGTGATACTGCCCGGGTGCCCAGACCGAAGCAGGTGGTTTACTTAGGGGGCCACACCTGGAGCCTTCGACCAAAAGGTCTAATCCACAAGGCAGTGGAGCATCGTGAGGAGATGCAGTCCCATGGTAGCCGGTGACCAACGATTGATTTATACGCCATTTATTCCCTCAGGATACTGGAGCCCATGTGCACCATTGGTTTGGAATGAGGGCTTTCCAACTCCTCTAGGTGGACTTTCCATGTCCACCAATCCGGTTAAAGTGCTGTACATTCGATTTTCGTCCTCTCAATTTCGTAAACAACACCTGTGGTGTGAGAAGGCAGTGAGTGGGACTTCCCTGTCAGTGATTATATACGCGTGGCCATGTGAGAGCATTTGGAGAGGGAGAGCGGACTCTCCTTACTCTCGGCCGTACCAGGGCATTTCGGGGGAGTTCTATTACAAATTTACAGGATCACAATTATCAATCTGTACCACGTACCAACAACCAGGCTACTCACACATGTTATCAAGGTAATCCGTTATATCTTAGACATCAAACACACTATATATGGATTACTGTTATTACATGCAAAACTGAGTTCAATATTACTTGGAATTTACAAAAAAGACAATATAAGACCAAACTACGAATGTCCGTTAAATGGTTTCCAATAAAAAACAGAACTCGTTATTATGTTTAAAGAAAAAGGTGTAGTTGAAAAAGGCTTTTTTTAAAGCAATCCAAAAATGAATAATGGGTAAGTACTTACAATAAATAATAACACATACCTCAGCAAGTGTAAGGAATTCAGTAAGCTTTGATAATAAACCTGGAAAAGCATGATATAGGTCCAAGCCAAGACGACATTGTCTTCTTTTCAAAGTAAAGTATTTCTCTATACATAAATAAACCAATAATTATAAATACGAGGTTGTGGAAATTGTTGAATTTCGTTGAAATTGTGAACTGAACAATGTTAGATCATCATTAAAAACCTAGAAGCACTGGATGGCTGTTATGTTCAGGTGTGAGCACCCAGCAATCCACACGTGGGAATCGAACCCAGCACCTTTAGTCTCCCTCTCCCTCCCATATAAGTGTTAATGCCTAATTTCGATCAATACACGACATTGCATGGGAGACTGAAGGTCCTGCATTAGATTCTTATGAGCGGAATTGTGGATGCGCATTGATGAAGAGCCCTATAATGTTAATGTCGATTTGAGATAAATGTTAAGTCAACTTTCAACACATTCGATTTAAATTATAATTTGGTGTTTAGTGATAAATACTCAGTTTATAAATTCTAATCATTGTAACCGACTAACTTAAATGTACCTTTAAATTGGTTGAGATCAACAAAGCTTTTATGACGAAACTGGACTTTTCACTTGATTTAGTATAGAAGTAGTCTTGTTCACTGTATTGAAGTTGAGAAATACAGGCTTAATGAAATAACATATAACATACTTTAAAACACAGGAAACAAGATATTTTTAAGCTTAAATACTTGTTATATGGGTAGATCAATTCATCGTTGTCATAACAAACATGGCTGACTTGACAACACAGTACTTGTGAGATTCAGCTTTGAATCTGTTTCAAATCATTCGCTAACTTACTACATGATATTATGTTTTCGATGAGATTTTATATTTTAACTAATTTGGCTGACGATATCATCATACATCACCTACAGAATGTTAAACTATCGATAAAGAGTATCTTATTTAGTTGCAGTCAATTAATGACATTCGGAGAGGGTATGGAGTCCATAGATTAGGTTGCTTTACAAGCATTAGTTACGAGTGTTACAATTAGGATGTTAGCATTTCAACACTCCATATACTTAATAATTTCCTCGTTCATTAGAAATATTTCATTTACAAACGCGACATAGTAACTAGGTGACACTTAATCGGTTGATTTTAAGATCATCTTTAGGATCACCCAAGGCCACCATTATGGTTTAGTTCTATAGGATTCAGATTCAAGGAGAGAGGAGATATGAATCACAAAAAAAGAAATAAAAGAATGAACACCATAATATTACAAACAAATACGTCAAATTCAGAAAAATCCACACGATCATTTACAAAATTATGTTGGCGTTGTCATAGAATCTCATTTTCATGACAACTCTAGGAATCCACTTTTCAAATCTGACAATAATTATTATTGATGTGAGGAGTTTGTCCAGATTATTGAATTCGGAAGTTCAGATCAAGGACTAACGTGAGCTAGACAACCGCTGTATACTGGGGAGCCGTAAACACCTGTTGCTTCCTGGTATAGGGCACGATCATTCCAGACTCAGGACTGACTCTACTACCCTATATGTAGTGTCGTGAGTGAGCATTGCTAAAGGGTCTTTGACAATGATGAAACAGTCGTGTTAATGTTCTTTGATTAAAAAACCGTTTTCTAGTTAAAAATCAATTTGCGATGTAAACTACATGAGAAAGAAAAAAAGCCAACAACTATACCAAGCTGATGTTGGACAACTTACCTATCAAATTAATCATACCCTCATTATATGAAGCAAATAGACGAATCAGATCTTTATACAATAATAGGAAAGCAGCGTTAATGATTGCATTGTTCAAGTCTTTTTCCAGAGCCTATAAAAATGGAGAATAACTGACATTCAGTAATTAGCTAAAACTCATGCAGAACTATGAGTTTTTTTTCAAAAGTACGTATGACAAGATAGACACTTGATTTAATTTAGTTCACTGTACTGAATGGTTACATTAAAAAATAAGCCATTCGACAGTTATTTGACTCAGTTGGTACACGATGAAAATAAATAAATCACGAGTAAACACAAGTTCATAATGGTGTGGTAGAATAGTTATGCTTGAAGTAGGGTTTGAATAATGTCACCTATGGCGAAGACGAGATATTCGTCTATCAATTAAGGAACGAGTATACTGCGCAGCAGTTCGGTCTGTTCTACTTTACGGCTGTGAAACATGGCCATTAAAAGTAGAAGATACTCGTAAGTTACTAGTATTTGACCACAGATGCCTTAGAAATATTGCTCGCATCTACTGGGATCACCGGGTAAGTAATAATGAGGTTAGACACACAGTATTAGGGAATGATGGTAAATCAAGTGATGAGATCATGAATCTTCATCGACTGAGATGGTTAGGCCACGTGTTACGTATGCCTGAACACTGATTACCACGACGCGTAATGATGACTAGTATTGGGTATTTTTGGAAGAAAGTTAGGGGCAGCCAAACCAAAACGTGGCATCAGAGTATGAAGTCACTAACTTCCAGTCTGAGCTATGTTGGCAGATGCAGACTACTTGGTTGGGGTCCGCGTGACTATCGTAACCAATGGTTGAAGACTCTAGGTGACATGGTTCTGAATCGATCACAATGGCGTAGGTGTCTACACTCTTTATCTTCCCTTAAACCTTGAGATTAAAATTGCTTCATATCTGTCTTCCTTCCTATACTATATCCTTATATAAAACCTTTCTTGTATATATTACCATCACTAAATTAACTACTTCTATGAATCCGGTGTTGATCTTGTTGTGCTAACGAGGTATGGCAACTTGGACCGCTGCATAAATGTGCCTGGTTCTACGTTGTAGCTGACTGAGTAATATATAGTAAATCTTAGTACAACAATCCAGTTTATAAAGAATGACGAATATATGGGGAAATGATAAAGGATAAATTTGGATGTTAGTCAGTTATGTTCAACTTGGAACCTGACATAGTTGCATCGGTTTAAGTTGACACACTATATTAGAACGACGAGGTAAAATTTCCTCAAGACAAATCACAGAGTAGAAGAAGTAAAAAATTCAACAGATAGCGTAAAAGATTGGATGTAAGAAAAGATAAGCCAAAGGCATAGGGAGATTATAGCGTTCAGAATCTCTAGTCATTAGTTACGATGGCTGTGTGAACTGCAACCAGGTAGTCTACACCTAGCTAAATAACTCAGTCCAACTGTCAATAACTTCATAGACCGATGTCATGTCTTTGTTTGGGCGCCCTAAGCTTCCTTACAATCTACTCCTATACCGAAAAACATCGCTCTCAAAGTAAGCGGTGGTCGGGCAGATGTGATACATGTTCCATCCCCCTCAGTTGGTGAAGATTCAACATCTTTATCTATTATCATTTGCCTAACTTCGGCATTGCTTGCTGAGTGGTCCCAAAATACACAAGCACTACTTTGAAGAGAACTTTGGTCGAATACTATTAATATACAAATATCATCTGTTCCCAATGGCCATGATTTGCATCAATAAAGTCGAGTAGACTGAACTGTTGCACAGTAAACTGTTCCTTTGATTGGTAGGCGGACATTTCGCCTATGTTACAGGTGACACAAGTAGGTGAAAGTCACCCAAGCTTTCTCCATCCATAGAATAAAATGAATACAATTTCTGGTTGTTAAAGTGATCAACAGAATGCTGATTGTAATGATACATAATGTGATCGACTATTCACGAAATGGGATTATTATTACATAGGCCACCGAACGTACAGACAGGAAAATATGTCTGGATATTTTCGAAAATATTTTTAAGAAAAATTAATGCAAGTAAAAATGACAGCATTGATATTCTCACCAACAAAACTTACATCAAATTCTAATAGAGTTAATATTTGAGATTGCATCACAGGAAGAGCTTTCAATAACTAAATAAAAAAAACAAATGATCAAACACTAAAATGATTGTGGAAGTAACCACTAACTAAATAAACCAGTATATTTCAGTAACTTACTTGAACACAAATATTGATAGGAGGAAGCACCGAATATATATGCTCCACACAAGTCACTTGATTTGTGTGTGGGCTGTGATACTGCCCGGGTGCCCAAACTGAAGCAGGTGGTTTTCTTAGGGGGCCACATCCGGAGCCTTAGACCTAAAGGTTTGGTCCATAAAGCAGTGAAGCAACGTCGGGAAATCCAGTCCCATGATAGTCGGTGACCAACAATTGGTACATATGCCATTTGTTCCCTCAGGATCCAGGAGCCCATGTGCACCATTAGGTCAGGTTTTCTAACTCCCCTAGGTGGATCCTCCATATTTATCAACCCGGTTAAGGCGCTGAACATTCGCTTTTCGTTCTCTCAATTTCGTAAACACCGCAGTGGCGAGAAGGCAGTGAGTGAGACTTTCCTGTCAGTCGTTATATACACGTGACCATATATGAGCATTTAGAGAGGGAGAGCTGACTCTCCTTACCCTCGGCCGTACGAGGGCATTTGAATGAGAGGAATTTACTCATTGAAAACAATAGAGGATGATCGTGTAATATCGTGGATTGATTGAAGTAAGATCTATATACCGCTGGATCTAGACTCAGTGGTATAAGGGTTAGGCATTCGTACGTGAGGTTAAAGGGCCTGGGTAGTTGTGGGCATGCACTGCTGATAGGTCCCGTACTAGGACGAAACGACCATCTAATGGTTCCAGGTTTCCATTGGTCTTCTAACTTATATGGGTTCGCAATATCAATAAAATTTAACGATCTCCACAACCCTACGGTGAAAATTGAAATAATCAGTGAGTTGTATGATTAGTTGTTTGGTATGCCCTTATGCATAAAATTTAAGTTTTTTATAATGGAGGGAATATGGGTTAAAAACTTCTTTTATAACACAAATTCATTTTCACAGTTTAAAAGTTACTAGAATTTTCAGAAGTAAGAAATATTTGAGCGGACAATTGCTTCCAATAACACACTGATCTACAGGTTGAAAAAAGTTTAGAAGGTAATGTTACCTAACAAATAATTTTTCCACAGGCAGCTGAACTGATCTGGATTAAGTCTATGTCAGAACATAAGAGACATTATGATGAATCCATATAGACAAGTCTATCAGTGTTAACTAAAGTAATTCATATTTTTATAATTGACTGATCACTGATCACAGTAGCTGACTGACTGATTAGTGACAAATGTTTTCCATGTCAAGTCCTTCTTAGTGCTGATTGAATTTACTCGACCACGCTGCAGTCTGGTCACTAGTCTAAATGACTAGACATCGTGTCCATTATACTGAGATGTACAGCAGTGGTTAGGAAACCCTGCTCGACTAAGGTTTCGTGCCATATGGTACTTATCAGCAAGACATACCTGTAACTGGTACTTTTTGGGGGATTCGATCTCGTGTTATATAGTTTCACGGTTGCAGATGTTACCATTGTACTATTCTGGTCACGACTAACTTCCTGTATGACTGAGACACATTTACAACGAGTGTCAACTGACTGAATCTAAAAGCGTTAATCGGATAAGAGATCTAATATGCAAGTGAGTAAATCAGTATGGCTTCTTTATCAATAAAGGGAGGTTGATATCCTCTTACATTTTATTTTTTGTCGAGTTCAGTTACTTGATTCTAAAGGTGTTTTGGGTCCTAAGCACTTGGAGTTATATAATTTTGGTTATTGTATGGCAATCCAAACCGAAGTACGTGGAGCAAGTTCTTAACCTGAGACACAATGGCTGAAAGCCAAGTGGATTAAAGACCTATTTATTTATTTAAACACAAATATTGGTACAAAGGGGCACCAGATATATATGCGCCACACTAAACAACGAGGATGGGGAGAGGAAAAAAGTGTAAGGTGCATGTAAGACTGAGCCATCTGTGTTTTAAATCATTACAGATGTTTCTTATCACGGAACTTTATACTTATGACTAGACGTCCATGATGTGATTCCATCATAACACCAGAAATTAGTCTTACCTGGATTTTAACATTGTCACAGGTCTTAAGTATGGAATAACACGACTGACTAATAAGTGAAATAAGGCTGAAAGTGGCACAACGGAAAAAATATTCACACACAACAGTGAGGGTTGATCTGAACTAGGAAAATAACTCCTTACATAATTTTCTGTTGTATCCCAACTTAAAATCATGTCTTTGAAAGCACAACAAAATATTGATTACAGTGATAAAACTCACGACCCACAACATAAATGTCGCACAACAGAGGTTACCTTATCAACTGGCATTGTTCGTAATACACCATCATCACGCCTAGTGGAAACAAAGCCGTGTGACCATAAAAACATGTTTAAAGTCAAAAACGGAACAGTTAAAGAGAAAACCCGGATAAGTAAAAAAAACACTTAGGTTTTAGACCCCGTAAACAATATGCAAATCAGTATAATTAGAAAAAAGTAACAGGAGGAATATCACAAGACTGAAAGCAATAATACTAACAATAATGCGAATCTAGAAGTGGAAGAACAAAGATAGAAACCAACAAAACCTTACCGTAATTATAAATGACAGTTTGATCTGATAAAAACTTTTTGATTATCAAAGGACACATCAACCGCATAAATATTGTCTATGAAAGCATATAAAATTACGATTACAGATGACTTAGTGATACTCTTCACATGTGGAAATGCCAGACTGTTAGACGTACAAATAAGCTTGATTACAACCTTTGCAGCCAGTTAGTTTGAAATTTTAATATGGTCAGAATTTTAACTTTATTATTGACGACACATTACGAAATATCCTAAGTAAAATATTCTTTGATTCATGAAGACTTAATAGTTCTAAGAGAAATAGCTGAACAAACACCAACTAGGACTGCGAAAATTGCACAAAGAGTTAACGTAGGCTAGATCCCTGTATAGACTATTATCGGAAGATATAAGACCATAGACAAACAATGACAACAATCTCAAGTCTCTACATAAAGTGAGCAATTAAATATGTGCATATAAATATAACCCAAGTTTCCTCAAGATACTCTAAATAGTTGAACTTGAAAAGGACCTAAGAATAACTTTGTCAACAAAATATAACTGACAATACTAATAGTATAAAAAGAGAAATTTCAAATTAAAAAATAACATACCCTCGCTTCACTTTACAAAAGTCGAAAGCCATAGCTCTATAAGAGGCAATTTTTTCACTCAAGTATTTTGAATACTTGCGAATAAATATGGACATTTCATAAGCTAAAAAGATTTGCCATCATTACTAAAAATGCATACATTGAGAGCTTGTTTTATCATTAAAGTGTGGGAGATCAATTGGACAGTTATTTGAGGCAAGATAATGAGAAAATTTCTATGATGAAGCAATGAGAAGTTGTAATTCGTTACCTCATTCCCAAAATTCATAAGATTGTGAGTGGTTATAAGAGCTTTGAAAACAATCACCCATGACTTCTCTTGTGTCCTTTCCACAAGAAGTCCAGCAAGTAGTGGGATAGATACATTCGGTTCATTGCTACAGTTTACTAGATCTATTTAAACTATTACTTTTCAAACTAAACCATACAATCAATGTGCTTTTTCTTGGGAGCACCTATTTCCTCTGTGGTCGCTTTCGCTACGACTTTCCCAAGACCAGAACCTGCCAAACTATACTTCGCTTGCGTGACTCTATCCATCAAGCTTTGACCTGTCCCACTCCCGGCTAACTGCTTAACAACCTTGCTCGCAGCTTTAGCACTCATTACAACGGTTGATGAAAAGGTTTGATTCTCCCCCTTAAAGGCTCCCTGATATGGAGGTCAGCGTTCAATAGTTTCAAATCAGAGAGGATGAAATAGAAGAAGCATTCTCTCATCTAGCTTCTGTATATATGAAAAATAAACAACCGACGATATCAGGTAGATACATGAGGGTTTAAATAGAGGCTTAGAAATGAGTGAGAAATAACGAGTTCTAGTTCAAATTGTAGTAGTAAAAATTTCCCGAAAAACAATAGCTTTCTAAGTGTTCGACATTGGATGCTGACCACGTTGTTTAAGTGGACTTGTTTAACTGAAGGCAATCGGTCATGAATCCGTACCAGATCACGTTTCGACCTAGCGTGGGACACTGCTCCTACGTTCACTAGCCAGCCTAGTATAAACGATTCGCGATATATTGACAACGTATCAAATATATCTTTCCAACCACTTCTCGTCTGACTTCTGATTTTCATTGGTCTGGGGAAAGCTTCGCATATAGGTGCTACTGGTAGCAGGTTGTGAAATCAGAATGCTAGTCGTATCTTCAGTGGTGAAACCGACGTGATCTGATACACCAAGCCAATAAACTGTGAGTCTGTTCCTTTTTGGAGTATCATTATTCATTGTTTTTCTTTATCTGATTTATATATATTGTGATATACCTTTTTTCGGAAATATTTTAATTATATATTTCTCGTTCTAATATTACTATGACGGAACAGTCACCTAAAGTTTTTAAGTTACAATCTATTCCCCTGTCATCGATTCAATTAACTACCTTCTGGCCTGATAATATCGAGTCCTGGTTCTGCTACGCAGAAGCTGACTTTTGCGGGTATGGAATCACGGACTCACGCTCACGATTGCTGGCGGTAGTTAAGGCGTTACGGCGCGAATTTAACAGGTCCGTAACAGCTAATATGTTTACTAGTGATGTTCCGGAAACTTACGAAACTCTCAAACGGTCGATTCTAAAACGCAGAGATCTAACTGATCGACAACGGTTAGACCAACTATTTAACAGTATCTACCTGCGACATGGTTCTGCGACGGACATGTTGATAAGGATGAGAGAAGTCATAGGTCAACGAACGTTCGATGATGGCCCATTCAGACAAATCTTCTTGTCTAAACTCCCGAAACAGGTGCAGACGTTGCTCGTCTCGTTCCAA